CAAAGACTTACATAAAAAGAAAATATTTATTGGTAATTAATAAACTATTAATTTGTCAACATCTGTATGCCAGACAAAATGTGCTTTTGAATTTTGAGCAAAGCTTTCAAGTTTGATATGACATTCTCCTCTTCAATTTTTGGCATTCTTTCAAATCCCATCTACAAGAAAAGTTGTCATCCACATTGCCTTTTGTTTTTATCTACTAAAATAATTATTTAGTGCTGGTTGAATTATCAACTTTTTAAAGAATTTATTTATTATTTCTCACTTCTAAAATTATTATTTAATTTCGTGTATTTAAGAATCTATGCACGTTGCTTCATTAATTTATTGTATATTGTGGAAGTATATTTCTTATGGTTTTTTTATAACATAGGTTTTCTCCAAGTGTATTGATTAGATGTAATTTGCTCGGCAGTGATTAATACTGACAAAATAGAAGTAAGTGGATCAATCAAATATCTAAACTCGTCCGTGAAGATCTTTTTTCATCTGTAATAATCTAACGTCTGTTCTTTTACATAAAAAGTTTGAATTATTGCTACCTACCGATTCTCGTTGATTGTAGAAGTATATGTCATGGCTCTGCAGCTCGCCGAACATGTGAACACAAAATACTTCCAATTAAACTCTAAACTTTCAACATCTCCAAATAATCATTATAACATAACAACACTTTTATTTTTTCATAACTGAATAAATCCTCAATAGTATTTTAGATCCATCAATTAATTGCATTCATTATATCTGTCAAGTCTTCATGAACTAATCATATCAACTGACTTCAAATATTTCATATTCAATCATTTAATAAGTCTGATTCTTATCTCCAAATATATACACCAAAATAATTTATAATTACATACTTCAATTATATTAAAAAAAATATTAAACATACATAGTAATTTTTCCGAACCAAAATAATATTTATTCTTCCGAAACCCAAAATAATATACACCAAAATAATTTATAATTACATACTTCAATTATATTAAAAAAAATATTAAACATACATAGTAATTTTTCCGAACCAAAATAATATTTATTCTCGGACCGATGATACTATTCACAAACCGGTTACTTACTATTTCAGACACAGAAAAATGGGGCGGTATATATCTTTAAAGAACATAGAAAGTAGAAAATTAATAATTTTTTATCAAAATCATGAAATTTCAATTTTAATAATACATGCATACAGCAACAGAGCTAGCCTAAAAAACAAAGAGGGCCAAAAATAAAAAAAATAAAAATTTAGAAAGCCAAATTAAAAAAAAATGATTACCTCCTATCCCCTCTTCTGTCAATGTATTATTAATATTATTTAATAAGAAAATTCAGTTTGGAAATTATCTGAAAAATACTCATTAATCATATGTTTTGGGTATGCATAAGTTGGTTTCTTTCTGTTTTTTCAAAGGTTGGACAGGAATGGGAAAATTATATATTAACAGAAAGGAAAGTGGAATTGTGGACTGGTTGAGCAATGGATTAATTAAAGTTAATAATAAAATAAAGATTGCACATTCTCAATTGAATTCAGATTAATCCAGGGAATATATGAATGGTGATTGAAGAAGCAGGACCCACCATTTCTTGACTTTTGATCCTCAAAGATTGGAATTAGGTGTTTCAATATTACAACCTCAATTTTGTAATATGTGTCTTTTTTCTTTTTTTTTTTTTCCCTGTCCTGATCGCATTTTTCTTGTCTTGGATCATGCACGTAAATAAAACTGCTACGCGAAATGCATTATTAGCTGACAAGCCACCATTAGCACTTCAACATTTATCATTCCTATGCCATTTTATCTATTTATATTATTTGACTCAATGTTCACATTTGGTGCCACTTCTTGATTGAATAAATTCAAACATTTCAAAAAAAAAAAAAAAAAGAAAAAGAAAATCTCACATATGATTATTATCAATATGGGATTAATAATATACATTTGAATCAATAGGAGCAAATTGCATTATCAGATGAATTTTATTTATAAAGTCAGAAGTTTAAAATTTAAAGTCGTCAAACTTTATTTGAATATCACTCTAATTTAAGGGTATGGCACGTATAAAAACTATACGTTAAGCGTATGGCACGTATAAAAACCATACGTATAAATGGGTAGATAAAATATACAAGAAGAATTCACCTTTCTCATACTTCAATTCCAAATTTCTTATCAGTGCTTTGTCGTGTCCCTTACTCGTATACAATATTCTAAGTGGTTTACTCCTCCTTTATCACTCACCAATTCTTGAACCTTTTTCTTCCAATAAAATATTATTTTCATGGGAAATCAAGAATAATTATTCTATAAGTTTCAAAAGCAAACTATATTTATATAATATAAACACATATACATACCTTAAACACCAAAATTAATTAATTAATTAACTAATATTATACATAAATAGTCAAGCTAATGCTTAATTGCTTAGCAATTAATATTATTCAAAAAGACAAGAAATGGAAAATATTATAAATTATCGATACTAGCAGTAGTGTTTTTGTAGTGAAGGTTTATATCCATATAAATATATATTTTGTAGCTTCTTATTATAATAACCTAACAAGGATCAACCAAGACGAAGACAGTTGAACAAAATGGAAGAAAGTCATATAATTATATTTAATAATTTTGTTAGAATTAATTATGCTCTAATCATGTTTATTCCCACGTCCACATGGGTTTTTATATTATAATAGTTTGATTTTTGTGAGTGTGTGAAAATTGAATTATTCCATTTTGACTCAAAGATTGAATTCAAAAATGTTCTTTAGCCAAAAATGTTATTTAACCTTTACAAGTTTGCTTTAATAAAGTGTGGAAATGGAAAAGGAAAGAAAGTGAGCAAAGGGCACCAACTACTGCGGATTAGCGTGAAAGGCACGTGCAAATTTTGTCTCTTCTATGAGTTAGGTGTGAAAAGTTTGAAATAATTAGATAGAGGAATACCTAAAGCCCATCACCTTGTAAAACTGTCAACTTTTGTAGTCTATTGTTTAGAATTTTTAAATTATGTGAATTTATTTCACACTTTAGGTTTTAGATGGAAGAATTTATAAATTCTCATAATCTCAAAAATATAATAATAGTTTTATATTTAGAACATGAATATGAACTTAAGATTTTTTTTTTTTTAATTATTGTTCATAGAGTCAATAATAATCGAAATAACCAACACATGGATTTAAATTTTATTTTTTTTATTAATTTGATTCTTACGTGGATTTGAATTTGAGATTTCATAGCTCTAAGATCAACTATAACTTCATGGAGTCAATTTATTAATTCTTCAAAACTTACATATATACTGAAATAAACCAATTAAATGTGGTCTGGTTATTTCTGCACTAATCCGAGGAGCGAGGGATTTTAGGTTCGAGTTTTCTCACTAATAATATATTAGTCCATATCAGATTTTACTTCATGTTTAATCTAGAAATAATTTATCTTGAAAGGGAAAAAGAACACCAGCGTAGCAAAAAATAACGATTGCTATGGAATTAACCAGGAGAATAAGAAGAAACCTTATCCATATCTTCAATGCCTACGTTCACATGACTCAAGATATTGAATGATTTTGCCATTAACGAAGAATTGAGAAATTGCATAGAATTGCCTAGTTTTATTTATTTATTTATTTTTATCTATCAAAAGGTCAAGGAGAAGAAATTAGTGTCTTGAAGAAATTAATATTACAAATCCAATCATACAGCGGACCAGAATTTTGCAGTGGAATACGCATGGGTCAAGAACAATAATTGAAAATGGGAAGCCAAAAAAAAAGGCCCAAACGAAAGTAATTTTAATAAAAAAAAATTTTGTTACTTAATGATCCGATCACATTATAATACTAAATTACAGGTACAAATTTCGCAAGTAACAGCTGCGATTACTGATCTGGGAGAGTGGACTTACCACGTGGATGCTGCTGTTTTTTCTAATATACGATTGGTCGGTATGGAGGCCATTTTTGAAGATAATGAAGGATACTTTTTGTGCGCTATTTCAAGCTTCTACGAAGGTAAACCCTCTCCACTTATGGTAAAAGGTTTGACCCTGCGATTCACTTTACAGTTTATAGCTAGGCATATTCAAGGTGCAGGTACTATTCTAATAGAGTATTTTTAATATTCTTTCGTCAAAAATTAGAGATATGAGTGAATTGAGTATAGTTATTTCTGATTGTATTTTGTTATTAGCCTCCATTCCACTAGTCAAAGTTCATTGGATTCGAAGACAAGATAATATAGATGCTCATCGTCCTATCGTTTTAATCGTGTTCATATTTGGGACTCAGTGCCAGACTGTTTGATGATTATTTTTCCTTGAGATAATATATGATAATTCTTCTCTTTCAAAAAAAAAAGAGGATAATATATGATAATTCATTCCTTTCAAAAAAAAAAAAAAAAAAAAAACTAAATTACAGGTCTAGCAATAGCATACTATGTTTCATATTTAATACGCTATAACGAAATATAATGATTTGCATTTTTAACGTAACACTAAATTACAAATGCATTTGATTTTATGAATTGAAACACAGACTAACATATCATCAATGGATCAAGAAAGGGACCAGGCTCTAGACAGATGTTTGAAGATGAAGAAGCTACTGCACATGCCCATTAATTTACTGTTTGAACATAGCCATAGTATATTATTAGTCATTGTCCACATTCATATCTTATAAAAGGGATGCCCTAAAAAAGAAAAAAATTTGGGACTCAGTGCCAGACTGTTTGATGATTATTTTTCCTTGAGATAATATATGATAATTCTTCTCTTAAAAAAAAAAAAAAAAAAACTAAATTACAGGTCTAGCAATAGCATACTATGATTTCATATTTAATACGCTATAACGAAATATAATGGATTGCATTTTTAACGTAAACACTAAATTACAAATGCATTTGATTTTATGAATGAAACACAGACTACATATCATCAATGGATCAGAAAGGGAGCCAGGCTCCTAGACAGATGTTGAAGAAGCTACTGCACATGCCATTAATTACTGTTTGAACATAGCCATAGTGATATTATTAGTCATGTCCACATTCATATCTTATAAAAGGATGCTAAAAAAGAAAAAAGGAATTTCAATGCCAGTAAGGAATTTATTCCATAAACTTGAACAATGTTTCACAACTGACAAATGAGCAAGAAAGTATGAGGAGTCTGTTACATCATGCGCCTCTTAATAAACAGTCCCAAACAACTTCCCACCAAAAGTGGCCACATCCATCCATTAGAAGATCCATTTTGAAAGCTGCATGTTAGAAATTTGCATCAATGTCAGGCCACAACACAGAGCAAAGTAAAACATTCAGTACAAAGTAAAAGCAAGCAACAAAAACTGCATTATGAACTACTATTAGATGCAACAATTATCTTTCTAATCCATATCAACAGCTAAACTAGCAACACATTCATTATTGCTGCCATTAATTTTCCGTTTTACCCATCGCCGATTGTCATTAAGGTGCTTGCACACATCTTTCAGCAGATGTGTCCCAAGTGTATAACCATTTCCATTATTGTGCAAAGAAGGTTCTGCCATAGATTATGCCTTCACCTGTGTTATAAACAAATTTCCATTTAACTACTATATTACAGCAATTGACACTAAGCAACAATCAACTGCATCTGCTGAAGTTTGAGCTACAAGGTGTAATCTCACATGCATGCACACACACAGTCGCCATTCCAAAACATTTCAATAGTTGAATAATTTACAAAGATAAGTATTCAAAATTCAAAATGATTTTTAAAATGTAAGGACATTGAGTGCAGATGTCAAATATGACAAATGAATATATTGGACTTATTCACTTTCAGTTGGACATTAGAAATATTCAATTCCAGGTAAGTTAATATTGTTCTGAGTTTAATTTCTCCATTAAATGAAGTACAAATGAACAAACAACTCAAATTAATTATTTTTTTTGTACCCATTTCATATTAGACTGCTCTATTAATATACAGGGAAGACAAAATGGCCTTTGACTTAAACTTGGGAGTCCCCATAAGCATGGTTACTAGAACTTTGGAAATTGAAGCAGCTTGTCACATGGTTGTTAAAGCAATTAGATAAATAAGCTCTTTAAAAGGAAGGGTGCATGTTTCACACTATAGGGATTAGAAGAGGGGGACAGAGGATTCTGAATTGCTGGTCATAACATTCTTGAACTAAATTTACACAACAAATTTTGATCCAAAATTCAAATTGATAGGTACATAGGTGCAATTATATCATAGAAATAGTGCCTGAAACTTCACATCTCGACACCAAAACACTGCCTTCACCTGCATGCAAATGAAAATAGGGAGGCACTTCCTTTGAAAAGCATATGCATGTGTTCATTTTTGGGAAAAATGCAATCAAAAACATGCTGAGCAAAAAAAGTGTTTAAACAAGACAAATGTTTTTCCATGCCAAATATACAAAAATTAACAATTCCCTATATTTTTGTTTACTGGAAAATAGTGTGAAGTTACGTTTTGAAGAAATAAGACAAAGGACCAGCTAAACGCAAAACTTGGGCAGTCCTCATTATTTAAAAATAGAAAAATGCAGAAATGAACCATCAATGATCCCCTTTGGTCCAGTCTCTTAATGAGAAGCAAATGGAACATAGAAAGGGGAAGGAATACAAAGAGATTGTATAATCATATTGTTTTAATGATGAGAAGTGGATGGGATTAAATTGGTAAAAAATAGATGGGAATCTTTAAGGTAATGTGCCTGGCTAAAAATTACCATACCCAATAGCTTGTGACTGTTTTAGTATATTCAACCTACTGGAAAAGATACTAGCAAGAGAGTCCTGAAGAAAATCATAAAATGCTGAGTAAAATTTTCTCATTAGTTCTCAACTGCAAATGAAACAAGGAAGCTCAGAATAGTTAAAAAATTCTTTCTTCTTCTGTTTTTGGTTGGGTTTCAGAGACACACATTAGAATGGATGCCAGTGGTTCAAGTCTAAAGTTAGTGGTATGAAATGCGATATAGTTCTCATCCAGAATTTATACAAGCAATTAAATGCTCTTTTTGCTAATCCTTCCCTTTGTAGTTTCTTGCAAGAAAAAGGCACCCCTTTTCAATATTTACATCAACCACCTGGATTTTAGTAATTACTAACCACTTCCTAATCCGAAAGGTGGGTTTCTCAATAAGAAGGAAGATAGCTCCCACCATAATTTATTTTTTATGTTTCAAAAACTTATGCAATAGAATAAATTATCCTGAGCATTCCCAAAAAACATATAATAACTTTGAACTAGCTGATCTACATTAGCAATCCAATCATGTGACGTACTACATTAAAACCTGGACTCCTTTCATATTATTATTCATTATCAGCAGGAGAAATTTAACCATTTGAGCTTCACTTTAGAACCAACCAAAATCACAATCGATCAGCTATCAAGTAATCGACTAGGGAAAAAAGAACAGACTCCAAAAGTTACTTACAAATTAATATGGACCAAAAATCCTAAATTACTAACAACCACCAGAAGTTCAGTATTTGATCAAAAATAGTTTGAATCTCTTCTGAATGGATATCTAGATGATCGTATACCAAGAGATATATAAGTTTCCCAAGACTGAGATTTTCGTCAAGCCCTAATTGCACTATACCGTCAAACAACTAAAGGACCAAAAAGAAACAACCTCTAAATTTTGCGAAGATAATTTCAATCAAAGGTAGTTCTATTACCATACACCAAAATCGATTTGTAAACAGAACAAAACAGAGGAGCTTCAAACATTTCACGCTGCAAGATAGAGTAAATATATCCATGATTCATAAATTAAGATCCACAAAGAGAACATTAGAAATTCAAGCAATACGCTAATCAACCAATAACCCCTCTAAGAATATCCAGCAGCAGAATCCCAAACAATAAAAGGGCAAATGTTAAACACGCTGCACAACTAATGGTTTCCAAATCCAATAAACCACAAAAAGAATCATATTCATGGAAAATTTAGTTAATTAAACAATTAAAAAATCCTAAACATCAAATTCTCAATCAAAACCTAGACCAAGCAAGACCTGAAATTCAGAAAAACTATAATTAAAGAACAAATCTTTAATTAAACGGACTGCCTAAAATCCAATAACATCAAAACCTAACCCACCATCCAAAAATCCCCAAATTTTCAACAACCCATCAAAGATCGCACAGAACCAGAAAAACAAACATAAGACCAAAATCTAAGAAAAAAATACTTACCACAAAAGAAACAAAGGAAAGATAAAAACTTGTTGCTTTTTGCAGCTAGGCATTGGCAGTTTTAGGGATGAGAGGAATAGACCCTCCCTGTTTCTGGGCTTGTTTGAGCTTAGCCTCCTCTTCGCGGATCTTTTGCATCTGAAGCATTCTCTCCATGAGAAGCTCGTACTCACACTTCTCGTAAGAGTGGCGTTCGTTTTCGCATTTCCATGGGAGATAAAACTCGGCCTGGCGGCACTTGTTGAGTGGGATCAGAAGGTGAGCGCATTGGTCTCTGTACGGGATAGGGACCTTTGCCTCCACCATCTCTGCTTGTGTTGCTATCATTGGCTTTGATGATCCTTGGACTTCCATAATCGATTGCCTCCGCAAATCCTTTTTGGTTTCAAAGACAATTTCGCAGCTCTGGCCTCAGTCTCTAATCCCTCTATATGCTAATTGATTGTGGTTTTTGGGTTATTGGTTGCTATTGGGCGTGTTCTAAATGATTAAGCTTTTGGTTTTATGGCTTTTATGTCGCGGTGTTCTAGCTTACATTTCTATGGTCATTTGGTGTATTTTCCCATTTTCCATATTTGTTATATAATTAACACAAATAAATAAATTTATTTTAATTTTTTCAAATAATTTATTTCTATTTTTTGAAAAAAAAAATTGTATCAGATTGCTCTAAGTTATTCTTTGGACATTAAAAGAGTCAAATTTCCTTCTCATTTATTAAGCTTAGTGAACTGAATTTAAACCTATTTATCAAGCTCATTTATTAATAAAAAATAAATCAAGTTAAAGTAAAAATTATTTTCAACTATAAATTTATATGAGCCTAGTTAGAATTTGGTTTTCAAGCTTAAATTTAAGCTCATATGTTTAAACCGAATTTAAGCTCAAATATACATTTTGAGCTGATTTTAAGTTCAATATAGCTCGGCTCAAATTCTACTTATTCTCGGATTAAGTCCAAGCCATAATAAACCTACTCATACTATAATCTCGAGTTATTTTGTTTCTCTATAGGAATTCTTATTGCTTATTTTTCTTTGATTTTTCAGAAAAAAAAAGTAATTCATTTTTATTTTTAATTTTTCAACTTTATCAGGTGAATTTTATCTTCAGGTACTGTCACTCTTTTGCCATTGATGGTTGATCTCTCTATTTCTAATTATCAACAAAATATAATTTTATTTGATTCAGGATAAAATAATCAGAGAGTATTAGATCATGCACAATTAGAAAGAAAATAAAACTTAAATAGATACATAATTTCATGTAAACTGCTAGCTTATAGTTAGCAGGTTGTTATAATGAATGAAAAGAGCATGTAAGAGTAAATTAAAAGCCTCTCCAGGAGCACCACTTTGCTTCTTTCAAGATTAGTTAAACCTTTAATATATTATTTAACTACCCTTATTTGCATATATAAACACCCTTCAGTTTCTAACATACATTCTAAAAAATAGCAATGGAGACACAGATTCATATGCATGAAGATGTCCAGGGGCAATCAACAAAGAGGTTTGTTCCTCTAGTTATCTCCATAACCTTGCTTTATAGAACTTAATTAGTTGAAATTTAATTAATTAATCTTCACAAGATGATTGGATTCCATTGCTAGGTTGAGGGGCAAAGTTGCTGTTATAACTGGCGGAGCAAGAGGGATTGGGGCGGCGACAGCAAAAACATTTGCAGAAAATGGGGCTAGTGTTGTTATTGCTGATATCCTCGACGAATTGGGTGGCAGTTTAGCTGATTCAATAGGAGGAAAATATATTCATTGTAATGTCGTTAATGAAGCTGATGTAGAAGCAGCTATTAATCTTGCATTGGCTTGGAAAGGCAAAATAGATATCATGTTCAATAATGCTGGTATTGCAGGTCCTGGTGGAAGCATAACCAATCTCGATATGCAGCAAGTAAAAAACTTATTCTCAGTTAATGTGGGTGGAATTTTTCACGGGATCAAGCACGCTGCGGCAGCTATGATCAAAGCTCGAACTGAGGGTTGCATCATATGTACTTCGAGCTCTGCAGCTATAATGGGAGGATTAGGGTCACATCCCTACACATCGTCGAAAGAGGCTATCCTTGGATTGATGAAGAGCAGTGCTTGTGAGTTAGGCGTGTATGGAATTCGAGTTAATTGCATTTCGCCTCATGGGGTTCCTTCGGATATGCTTGTTAATGCGTATAGAAGGATACTGGGGAAAGAGGACATGCAGCCTGAAGAAGTGAGCAAGATTGTGGGGGAAAGTGGAAGTCTTTTGCGGGGGAAATGTGCGAGTGTAGAAGATGTAGCTCAGGCTGCATTGTTTCTTGCCAGTGAAGAATCCAGGTTCATAACAGCACATAATCTTGTCATCGATGGAGGTTATACCTCTGCTAATAGTAACATGTCTTTCATTTACCAATAATCAGATGGAACACAAAAATAGCATATAATGATTAAAAAAACAAACAGAAGTTAGAGCAATGCTCGACTTCTAGGACAATATATCTTCTGTACAAAATTTATCACTTTCACCCTCTCTCTACACTAGCATAAGCTCCATAACCTCCATTATCACGGCCAACTAGTTGGATAGTTTAACTTGTTAATATCTGATTTGTTCACTGTCTTTCTTCCCCGACTAACCTGTACTTTTCTTCTCATCGTCCCTTCTTCAACGCATCCTTCTTGTTCAACAACAGTGAAATCATCCATGACAGTGTGATTGTGGAGGTGTCACTGCCCCCTGCAATCAAATTCTACACATGAAATAAAGTTCAATTAGTGTATTGCTCAACTAATGTTAATAATTATATATATAAGAACAAAACTCACCAGACAAGGCAGTTTTGTTGATCCTGTCAGAAGCATAACCTTGTCTTCAACAACGGTGTAAAAAGAGACGGTGAAAAAAAAAGAGAGTCGGGTTGGAGAAATTAAACCCTAGGTAATTTTGGGTAAAAGAAGGGCATATGAGTAATTTTCTTATGCGGACTAATGTCCTTTAGCCATGTCAACAAATTTTACCTTCCCATGCAAATGGCATTTTCAGCGAGCCAAATTGAGCTAATAGACATTGTAAAAATTTGGTGTATAAGACTCGAGATTTCTGCTAATATTATCAGTCACGAATAATGTATAAGACCAATAAAATTATAACTTCAATGGGCATTGCCAAAATATAAAATTATGGATTTAACAATGCAGGTAGATAAGAAAGCTCATAAATGAAGATTTCATACACAAAAATACAATTTACAAAATACAAACTCTTCCATCGCATTCATTTTATCAATTTCAAACAATTCCAGTATATAAACTAAAAGATACGAGCTTTCAGAAAATTACAGCTGATGATATTTTAGAATATTACAAAATCACATGCACATAAAACCGAATTAACTTGAAACTGAGACTTATTGCAAAATATAATAGAAATCTTTTACAACAAGAGATTCTTCAATTCTAATAAAGTTGTAGATCCGAAAAATTTAAAGAAACAATTAGCTTCATCAAGGAAACATCTCCATATCCAAGTATTGTAATATAAGAAGTACTCTCGAGATTTCTACTCGTATTATCGATCATGAATAGTTTATATGACCCCACAAAATTATAATTTCAAAAAATTATAATTTCAATTGGAATGCCAAAATATAATATTTTATGATCTAATGATGCAGGTAGACAATGAACTTCGCAAATTTAGATTTTAGCATGATAACACAAAAATACAAGCACAAAAAATTGCAGACCCTTCCCTCATATTCATTTTATCATATTTCCAATCGATTTGATCATATTAAACACAAAAATACGAGATTTTAAGATAACCCTAAGAAAATTCTATCATGTAATCAAGTCACAGCCGATGATATTTTAGAATATTATAAAACCACATGCACATAACACCCCATTAACATGAAGTTGACTTTTGTAAAATATAAGAAAATTTTTTTATAACAAGAGATTATTCATTTCTAATAAAGTTGTAGATTCAAATATACTCGGTCTAAAAAATTAAAAAAACAATTAGCTTCATTATCTAAGTATTGTACTAAAATAAGGACTCTCTAAACAATTGGTGTTACAAAGTATTTTGTCACACTAAGCTCCTTCAACATACAAAAACCAAAATCCCTTTCCATCTCTCTCCAAAGTTGATTCTTTTCCTCCTTCTGATACATAGTTATCTAATACACATGTCTGCCAAATTTAAATCTTAATGTTGAAGTAATCTGGATCGAAATGATGTAACCTCACGTACCCATCTTCACCTCCGCTTGAGAAGCTGCAAAACCAGAAGCACAATATACAAGTCATACAACATTTAAGCTAACTGAAATGGTTCAACATCAACATCTCCGGTTAATGTATGTTTATTAAGAACTTTATAACAATAATTCTCTCTCTCGGTATATATCATAGTAGTTTAGTTCGTGTTTTAGTTTTACATGTATTCTTGTGGATACAGAAACTATAGAATGGAAAATAAAATGTATTAACAGTTTGGTTTTATAGTTCAGTTTTAGAAAACCCTATTTCAGGCATAGATCATGGCTAACATTTGAAACATGGAGGGGGAAAAAATGAAATCTCAATGATGACACTCCGACCCTGAAATTGAACAAACTAATTTTCGAAGTATATAACATACAAAAAGAGGAAAGCATACCTTTTCCCATCAGGGTTGAAAGCCAAAGCATTTATAGGTCCAAAATGACCTTTCACGCCTCCAATTTCTTCTTGAAGAATCTAAACATGGAAATGCAAAGAAAATGCATTCAAAAGATTGCCCAGTCATAAACCTAGAAAGCATAAAGAAACATCACCAGCATGCAAAGTTAACCTTGTCATAGAATTTGGCTTCGAATTTCCCAGCACGGTGATCAGTGGTAGTCACAGCTGAAGCATCCTGACCACCTCCAAGCACAACCTGTAGCAGAAAAAGGAAATTATGCTCGAGCAAGATTGTGTGAAACAGAAAAGATATAGTTATCAAAATTTATAAGTCAACACCAATTTAATCATTAAAATAAGCCATCAATCAGTAAAACACAAGTGGATCCAGTAAAAGAAACCTGTTAGAAATTGTCTACTCTGAAACCTTTGCACCAATTGGAAATAATTGAAATCAGGGTATACATCAATTTTTATGCTTTTCATAGACAGTGGTTTTGACCAAACAAAACTGTGGTTACACTTTAACGAAACACCAGTATAACTAAGTTTTGGCCAATACCATTGTATTTTAGCTGCCTTGACCACTAAGACAAATAATCCATCTACACTTACATGATCAAGAAGTGGAGACATAGTAACAGCATTGACTGGACGTTCTGTCACATAGGTCTTGATAAGAGTCAACGTTCTGATGTCCCATAGCTAAAAGTTGCAGAAAACTAGTTAATATAAGAGCGAGGTAAACTTCAATTTACAAAGAGAAATACCAGGAAGGACAAGAAGAAAATTCATAAGTCCAAAAAGATATAAAATAATTGAACATCTACCTTTGCAGATTTATCTAGAGAACCAGTAACAAAGTGTGAACCATCAGAAGATTTTGTAAGTGATGTTATCGTCTTCTTATGCCCAACTTCTTTATCTGACTCTTTCAAAAGCTTTCCAGTCTGCAAGATTGACAGGAGATTACAACTTCAAACTTAACTTCAGATGAAGCAGCAAGAACTCATTAATGAAGATCAAAATCTTGAGACAAATGCAAATGAAACTTCCAAACCAGGAGAATACTCACAAGGGCCATTGCACAGACATGCAAATGTACATGCACAATGACACAACAAATTTTCCAATGCTCCATATAAGCATCATACAAATTGCTTCTTATGAAAAGAACTAGGTGATTTGGAACACAAGAAGCTCCCAAAAGAGCCAGCCAAAAGATCATACATTCAAAATCATGCTCTAAGATTGTCATATGGCTAGTTTGAGCCATCCATAATATATTTGAATTAGATTCAAGTCATATTTTATGTTCATTTGGGATTGAAAGCAATTAGATTATTTTCAATTGAATAAAATTTAATTTTAGAGATGGTATTTGGAAATTGAGGTTTATAGGCATGAGCAGAATTTCATTATAAGTGAGTGTCATCAATATATTTCTTTCTTTTTTTGCAACCATAAAATTTGAGATCCAAATTCATTGCATGGAACATCAGAAACCTTGCAATCCATTCACCAATTACACTCAACATACATAACGTGCATCATTTTTGCCTCTTCTAAACCAGGTCTGTAAAAATAATCCACCAAAAAAATAAATTAAAAAGACATTTCCTGGAGCTGTCCTAAATATTTGGGAGTATCTTAGTCATGGTTCACTGCTAAAGCAACTACACAAGTAAACAGATAGTTACCTCAGAATCCCATATGCGAATTACAGCATCCTCTCCAGCACTTATAATGGTCCTGTTCAAAGGTCCCCAAACAGCTCTGTTAATTCTTCCCTGGGGACCCTTGAGAATCAGTACAGATTCGCCAGTCTCTAAAATATGATATATTTACAAATTTAGATAAGCATAACACTATAAACAACGACCTCCTAGTATAAACAACAAAGAACTGAGATGAGTCATATGGACATCCAAACATTAGTAAACAATTCAGCATCTACATTAACACAAACTTATAAATTCATTAATATATAAGCGGGTTAGTGCCTGATGCATGCAAGTTGGTGTAGAACAAAAAGAAACTATTTTAAATAAGGATGGCCTCAGTTATGGAACTAAAAGATTTAAATAATAACTAATGTTATTCCCCAGCCTTGATATTCCAGAATAATAATTCTACTCCCTATTCTTACTACCTCTTCAAACTAAAATTAAATAATTATTTCCCAAATTCTAAAATGCTCTTGCAAAATCACTTCTAAACATTCTATCAAGAAAACAACAGAACTTCAACTGCATCCAAACAATGAACAATAACAACTTCAAATAATTTATTGCCCACAAAATGAATATGAACTAAAGCCAGAAAGAACTTGGTATTGTTACATGTAACAGCCCAACTGCCTCAGCATGAGGACCAAAATCAGAAGCCAATATGTTTACCACAGATCATGAGCTCTCAGTTGAAGTTTTTATAAGATTGGATTAAGCACAAAGTTATCGCCCCATTGATATGTATACAATTTATGCAGCAACGAGAGAGAACAAAACTCCCCATCGTCCTGCTTGAATAGTTATTAGGGTCGTACACTAGTAAATCTTTACTGAAGATAAGAACAATATAACTTTCATGTAAAATAAAAACAGCAATTGAAGCATATACATAACCATATAAAAACAACTTACGGTCAGCAGGATCTCTTGCAATGCGTTTTACATGAATAGCAGAAGGTAATTCCATAAATGGATCAGTGGTAATAACAGCAAGTTTATCGCCAACTGAAAAATCCACAGCTCTAGCAGGCGAATCAAAGTTGAAAGAGTACAATTGAGTCCCTGTTTGAACATTCCAGAGCTTGGCTGTCTGGTCCGCACTCCCAGTTATTAAGCGCATTGAATCTCCTAAATATTCAAAAAATTACACAAAATAAATAATTTACCCGATTGAAGAAACATATTTCATATCGAAAAAAAATATCAATCAATCTAAAACGATATATATAGCAGAGAAGAAAGGGAACTTACTTGAGACATCGCAGCACCAAACGGCGCCATTGTGACCGCGGTAAGTACCCAAACGCTCGCCGTTGTCGGCGAACCAAACGGTGGGAGTGTGGTCCTTGGCGCAGGAGAACAAGAGATCCCCTTCTCTGTTATACTTCAAAAATGTTAAGGGCCTTTCGTGCCCTTTCATCAAAATTGGTCTCATCTTTGCTAATGTTGATCTGCTCCTGCTACGATAAGTTTTTGAGTTAGGGTTTAGAGGAGCAGGGCAGATTCGAAGAGTTTTCTATCTTTTGTTAGGATAATATATATATTGTAGGCTCTTGGCGGTTAGGCTGAGAGTGGGCTGTTGGGTCTATTAGACAGGCCATATCTGGCCCAAGTCTATTCGTTTATTTATGAAGTTATGTTTTTTTTTTTTCCTTCACATATAATTTTTACATTTCAATTTATAATTTAGTCTCCATTTAAACTTATTTTCTAAAAGGTATTTTGATTTTAAGAAAAATTAATCAATAAAAATTAAGTCATATTGGAAAAAAAAAAACTTTCTTTTTAGAGAAAAATATTTTCCAAACTTCTACAAACTTATTTTAAAAAAAATTAAATATTTAAATCAAAATTATTATAAAAAAAATACATATCTAAATATACACCTAACAGCCGATCACGCACAACTACCACGAACTATCATTTTCATATATTTTTATCATATTCAATAATAAATTTTTGAAAATAAAAATTTTTTTAATTCAAAATGTTTTTTTAGTCTTAAAATTAAACTTTCATAAGTTGAACTAATTTTCAAAATTATTATATATATCAAAAGGGTGTGGGAGAATTACTGTTGCCATAACAGTATTTTTCCCATTATGCCCTTTTATTATCCTGCCATTTAAAAATAATAAAAAAAAACAACAAAACAGCATAGACCTACGCCTGCAAAAACGCTACTGCATAACAGTACTTTTACACTTAGACCTTTTATTTTTATTTAATTACATCTTTTATACTGTAATATTTTTTTTAACCCTTTTGTTGTTCTTTGATTAAATTCTTGCCACTATAGTACTTTTCTCCCTTATTCCTTTTCTAGTTTTTAATTAGATTTCCATCCAATAATTTGCGAATTTGTTAAATTAATTTTTTTAATTTATATAAATAAAGCTTAATATAAGTTTTAAATTGCATTTTTTGAATGCATAATTATAAATTAGTTGAATAGTTTATTTTGTAATATATATAATTGATGTACCAATTGTTTATAATAAAAAATTATTAAAGGTTAACTTCCGTTTATTGATTTAATTTATTTTCATACTTTTTATTTTTTTAACTCGATTAATCATTAATTTATTTTCATACTTTTTATTTTTTTAACTCGATTAATCATTAAATGTCATATATCTTCAATTTTAAAGTTTTGATAGTTCAAGTCCGTACATATCTTTTAGCATTAAGTATTAGCAATATATGTATTTATAATATAATAAATAATTATCTATCAAATATTATCTATTAAATACCCATAATAATTTTTCTAAGCAAATTGAAGATTAATACTTTAAACTTATATAACGCTCTACTAATACTATTTTTAGAATAATATTTTTTATTTTTTTATTAGTTCATCAATAAAATAATAATTGGTAAATTAATTAAATCCAATAATAATAATAATAATATCTATAAAAGTTTATATTTTTATATCATTTTCTATCTAAATTGACTCAAATTAAAATTTAAAAGATAAAAAATTAATAAAAATTACTTGTCATTTTATTTATATAAATTGTCAACTTCATTTGAGAAATATTATATATCTAATAGATTCACACTAAAAGACTTTTTTTTTTTTTTTTTTTGTTTTTTTTTTTTTTTTGGCATACGTTCACATTAAAAAAAAACTTTAATTGAAAATTTTTTAATTGAGATATTTTTTTTTTTTTTTTTTTTGGCATACGTTCACATTAAAAACTTTAATTGAAAATTTTAATTGAGATATTAAGTGGATAAAATATTGATTTTTACTCAAAATAATGAGTTATAAAATTATAATAAGTAACTTTTTAAAGATAATAGATAAAACACTAATTTCAACCTTTACTATATAAAGTCGGATGTACATGACACTTAGTATATACACATATATATAAAAAAAAAAGTTTCATATTATCTATAGTATTTTATGTATTTATTTTTAACTAATTATTAATATAAATTGTCTATGATGATTATTTAAATAATAAATTAATGATAAAATTAATTTCATTAACAATTATATTAATTGCTATTATTATTATAAATTATTTTAAAATTATTATAGATTGAAAATAAAAATATATTGTTAAAAAATTTATAATGAAATTGTGTCAACTAAGACAAAAAGGAATATATATGAACTTTCAATCTTATTTGATTGAAAAAACATTTATATTTGTATGTAAAAAATATTTTGACGAACCTCTACAATATGACATTATCAAACTGCATAGATATTGTTATAGTTTCTTATATAATTACGTATACATGATAACGACAATATAATATTCATAATGTTGTACACAAGTTGAATTATTATGTACAAAATCAACAAATATATAAAACCATACATAAATTTTTATTAGAAAATGTCATATTTTATTATATCATGACACAATTTTAAAATTATATTTATCAATATACAGTTTATGATAATTAACTGACGCATCACGTCGAGTTACATGGTCGTTCGAACTAAACAATTGGATTTAAATATGGTTTAACAAATTAATCATACGTACGAAAAGAAAGGATATGGAAGGGAATAAATACTAATTATCATTAAAATTTTAGAAAGTACAACCCAACATTCAAATCCAACAGCATAATTTAAGAAAATTAATAAATATTATACAAGCAAGCTCCTTCTAAACTTGTAGGAGCTCACATCATCATAACTGTAATAACATGAATTCTTTTGTTTATGTACAGAACCATTTGCTTTTCTGCATATGATTACTACTTACTATACCATCCCCTTGTAAAAATCTTAGGAGGCCTTCTTCTTTTTGTATTTCTTGGCACAGACAATGTAGACAAGCATGTTCAAGACGCTGAGACCAGCTAAGAGCCAGAAGTAATAATCAAGATGGCCCTTATTCAAGTTATCCGGAATCCATCCCGGATTCCCACCTTTAGTTGTGAAGTATGTAACCACAGTAAGAATAAAAGAGCTCAAATAATTGCCCAATGATGTTGTCAGAAGCGACAATGCACTGCATAAACTCCGCATTGCATCTGGAGATTGTTCGTAGAAAAATTCAAGCTGACCGATGAATGTAAAGACCTCTGCAGCACCTACTAGCATGTATTGAGGGATTTGCCACAAGATGCTAATTGGCACAGCAATACTCTCATCAACCAACCCAAGCTCTTTAGCGAGCTGCAGGCGCCTAATCTCTACCACGGCAGCGGCAGACATGGATAATATTGAAATGAAAAGGCCAATGCCCATTCTTTGCAACTCAGAGAAGCCCCTCTCCTTGCCTGTGAACTTCCTTGCAATTGGAACAATGACCCTATCGTAGATCGGCACCCAGCAAATAACACTGACAACATCAAATGTCGATAAGGAGGCGGGAGGAATGGTGAAAGAACCAACTTTTGTGTCCATCAACATCCCTTGCTCCACAAACATTGTAGACATTTGGGCATAGACTGCAGAAAAAACAATTCCAGTGGCCCAGATTGGGAACATGCGCACCAAAATCTTCAATTCCTCTACCTGTGTCACCGTACAAAGCCTCCATGGGTTTGAGAAGTCCCCACTTTTGGCCTCAGCATTTGAAATTACAGCAGCTTTATCGAGGCACCTGCAAAGAAAAAAGATTCTTGCTTAAAATTGTTGGATGTCAAGTGTCAACCAAATGATAATTCAACACAAACGGTAACAGAAAATGTAGTGTAAAGACAATTATTCAAATTAGGTCACACAATCCATAAAGAGATGACCAATTATTAGGGAGACAGATCAGATGAAACAATATCTAATAATTGCTTCACAAATTACATTAAAAAATCCATAAAAGGAGACAAGATAGCAAATTACAAAAGCCCATGCCAATAACTATCCAGGTAGAGGTATGCACAATTGCTAGACAACATGTGCGAGTGAATCCACTTTTCCAGCCATTTAATTCTCTCCTAAACCTCAATTTATGAATCCAAATTTAGATTAATAAGACCAACCAAACATAAGTTAAAAGTAGAAGAATGGACAAAATTTAACAGAAAACTGACAGAGAATAGGAAACTCCACAGTGACAGCTTGCCTAGCACTGATTTGTATTCCATAGAAAATTAAATAATCCAACAAAGAGAGTAAACAGAATTAAAAGAGATTTCAATCCATTCTCTATATTGTTTCCAACAAGCCCCCGTCTAAGAGTCACCCCAGCCCCACCCCAACCAAAAAAAGTGTTGTGAAACTTTTCAGAAGCAAATGGACAGATGATTCAGCATGCATAAACTATGATTACTGAGGAGAATGAAGAAGACAATTACCTCAATTCATTGCTATGCTCCAATTTTCTGCTCCCTTCGATGGCAGAGATTCCTTCTGGTGTTTCATAAAGTAGACTGCTATCTTGAGGTACCTCCATATTCCGCTTATGGAATGATGCAACCAAAACTTGGCACATCCTTGTGATAGGACTCCCTCCTGGTCTCTGAAATCTGTAGAGAGGAGTGCCTGAAAAGAAGCTTCCTATAGCAATGGCCATAAATACTGCAGGAATTCCAAATCCCAGACCCCACCCAGCATTGTCTTGAATATACACTAGTAAACTACTTGATACAAGAGCACCAATATTGATAGAAAAGTAGAACCAGTTGAAGAAAGATCCCTTCTTCACCCCTTGAATATACACTAGTAAACTACTTGATACAAGAGCACCAATATTGATAGAAAAGTAGAACCAGTTGAAGAAAGATCCCTTCTTCACCCGTTCTTTAGGATCAGTGTCGTCAAACTGGTCAGCCCCAAAGGATGAAACGCATGGCTTGATACCACCTGTCCCAAGTGCAATTAGATAGAGACCAAAGAAGAATACTGCATACTGAGCTGGAGTTGCAGGAGGGCATAAAGAACCAGCACATTCAGCTGGCTTTAGTGCAGGAATTGATGCTGAGAGTGTTAAGGTACACATTCCCTGTGCCAAGTAAAAAGTTTTTTCTGTTATCATACATTCTAAGTAACACATAGAACACATCCATGCAACAGCAAGCAATTCAGGAAAGGAAAAAACATAAACCTGATTCAACATAGCAAAGATGTCCTACAACCATCACAATCAACAAGTTAACACAACTTCATCCTAACTTTACCTAAAGGATGTTTATAAGATTCTCATGTGTCAATGGCACAGTCAAGACTATAAACTTTATGCTCTGAGGGTTTCAAAGGATACACAAACAAGAAAAGTTTAGAGAAACACACACCACAGTTTGCAAGGATAACATCAGAGGAAACAAACCATAGTTTGCAAGGATAACATCAACACAACATATGTTCACCTGTATCCTTGCTCTCTCGCAGTATTATCTACACTAGATTGATTATCTTAATTTTTTTTTTTTTTATTTCTTCAATCCCAAAAAAGAAAGCATCTGTTAAGCCCTTCTCCAAAAAAGCAAGTACATGAACAATTTGCCATCAGTGCTCATTCTGGCTCAATATAACTAGCTTTTTATTTCTTCAATCCCAAAAAAGAAAGCATCTGTTAAGCCCTTCTCCAAAAAAGCAAGTACATGAACAATTTGCCATCAGTGCTCATTCTGGCTCAATATAACTAGCATGGTGATTAATGTTCAAGTTACAGCTAGAAGGATTCCTAGTTAAAGTTTAAGGACACCTTTAAGCCACACTTATTCGAGTATCCCGCAATTAATCTTCTTCATGAAATCCTTAATCATTGATTGAATTAAATAATAAAAAGCATAATTCCCTGTGATCAAGGCACAATAATTAAATTTGTGAGTTTGCACAAATTTTTCCAAGAATTGGTAACTCAAGTAGTAATTAAATTTAAAAGATGGGTCAAATTTCAAACAACATGCCTTCAACTTCAGTTACTCCTTTTTCTAGTGGAGCATTAATAGACAATAACTAATAGTATGGCCTCTATGGACAATAACTTTAAGATCTTTTTGGCGATTTATTTTTCATTTCTCTTATGTCTCTATATCTTTCTAAAAATGTTGCTCTTACCTGAATGGAATAGTAAAAATGGACCTACACAGTCAACTATTTAGGATTAAGGCTTAGTAGAGTCTATGAAGATGGTTCCATCAAACCACCACATAGTTGACAAGAAAATTAACAAGAGTGAAATGCATGTGAAGATCAAAGGGAAATAAATAAAGAAAAGCTGGATCAAATTCAACACAGATTATAGAATCATTGGTTGAGGCAATAAATTGAAACATAAATAACAACCAGCAGGTTTATCCTTCTCAGCAGCTTGAGCAACGTGCAGAGGAGTAATAGACAAGTGAAAAAACAATTGAACTGAAGTACTAAACGTACCACATAAACAAAAATTACAGAGTTCAGACTTCAGACAATAACTCACAATAAAGTAGATCGTGGAGAAAGCAGCTATTGTCCAATATCTTCCCCAGTAAGCATCAGCGAGGACAGCTCCAATAAGGGGTGTAATATAGCAAGTGCCTGCCCAGGTGGAAACATTTCTTGCAGCAGACACATTTCCTTCATGCAGCTTATTAGTAAGATAAGTAACAAGATTGGTGGAGATGCCATAATAGGCCAACCGTTCACAACATTCATTACCTGAATGTTATATGACAAAGGTCAAAAAATGGAGGATACTATACACAAGGAAACAGTATGAATAATAATAGTAATAATAACGATACCCAAAATAAAAGGACAAGCTCTCCAATTTCCAGTATTCTGCTTAAGGGCAGGATTCCCGTGAAGGTCAACTGAGCCATCACCAGTGTAAAGCTCCTTGCTTTTGTTCTGAGGACAAAATATGAAACGTTGTACACAGGTAACAGAGTGCAAGCGGTGGTTACAAAGATAATGGCATAGCGCAAGGTTCTATTTTTCAGGTATTCAAATACACAAAAATTATATATAAAAACAAAGAACAAAGTAAATTTCAATATGTTACATATATTGAAGCCAGATCATCAAGTAAAGTCATCATACAGATATGTACTAAAAATTGTGCGCACTCTTCTTTAATGGCCTCAATGAGGAAGTGATCGTCTGATCAAGTAATGCACAAAGGTAAGGAATCATGGGCATGCACAGCACACAAAAGTTCACACACATACCTATTCTAATGTGAATTCACTCACACAACCTTTTCCTACAAGCCATAGTTCAAATGTAGCTAAACTTTAAACAGCCAAATCTAAATACTTAGGAATTTTAGCAAAGGCCTATAATTAGGAATTGGGCAACTGGCAGAAAGAACTCAGTTCATTAAACAATCTGAAATTGACTGTTATTATACCCTGTGAAGCCGCAGTAACAATGCAAGTTTCAGCAATAGTCCACCAGAGTTTTCGTATGCACTAATTTAGCCTCATTTCTGTTTGCGTTTATTTAGTTTAAGGGGGCAGGAACTGAAGAAAGCATAGTATTGCATAACATATGCTCCCAAGTACAAGACGCCCAAATCTCTCATCATCCATAGAACAAAGGTTATGGAGCTCACATAAGGGATCAAAAGGTAAAGGTAATCTAGATTATGAGCAAACAGTTAAATGAATCTTGGAATGCTTACCATAGAAAAATCAGGAGATAACAAAGAAAAGCACAGATCTTTCGTATCAGATGACATTAAAATTTATTGAAACTTCAACTAAATCCATCTCCAAGGTATAATTCAATTACAGCTAGTGTTGCATACAATACATTACAAACAAAAACGAACTTTTACGTATATATATGTTTATCTAACAAAATAAGGACGTGATTTTACACAGTCAAGCACCATAAGATACAATTAAAACATGAAAAATTGGTGAAAATAGCACAGTTTTAATTTCTTTTAAAAATAATAAAAAAAAACAGCCAGACAGTAGTTTCAAACTTGCTAAAACGAAACGATCTTCAAACCAACCATAGTCAACCCCAAAGAGCAAGAATGAATAAAAACTTGCAAATTGCAATTTCATATTTTGATTCTCCATAGAAAACTTCAAAATCCTTAAAAACCTATCGAAATTCGAAACCCAGCTATGCATTTCATAACTTCTGGGTTTTAATCTGTCTTCAATTGATTTCAACAACAACATCAAAACAAAAAGTCGCCAGACTCCATAATTTTACAGCTGATGCAATTACTTTGAAGTTTAGTCAACATCAATTAGGATAAATCCAATAATCGATGCAAATTACTGGAAAATAAACAGCTTCAAGAGAAAAAGAGAGAGAAAGGGGACCTCTTCGAGAAGTCCATCCTCCAAAAGCGGTGTCTGCTCCTCAACCGAACCCATATCTCGATTCTTTTCTCTAAGTCCATCCTCCAAAAGCGGTGTCTGCTCCTCAACCGAACCCATATCTCGATTCTTTTCTCTCTACCTCAAGATTCCAAGAAGAAGATAATTTGTCTATGAATCCGAAAGAGAACAATATACCAATAAAGATACTATATACAGAGATGACGTATAAAGATTAAAGAGGCGGGTGGTGGACTGGTCGCTAAGAATAATAATCTAATGGCAGTAATAATAATAAGAGCCTAAATTTCCGATCCTTTTCTTGGAGTGTACACCCATTCTGTTTTCCGTTTTATTTTCTTGTTTGGAATGTTAGGCGACCATGTTGAGTTCAGTTTCAAGTTTCAACCTATCTTCTGAATTGGAACATCCACTTCAAATTTTCTGACATGCCAAATTAATATTATTGTTTATAATTTTGTTAAAACAAATTACTACATTTGTATCATAATTTTTATCCTAATTTCACTTGTGCACAAATTAATAGAATTTAGTTAAATATAATTAAATTATATAATTTTTCCTGATATACCCTTATAGTAATATCTATTAAATTTAAATAATTCATATTAAATTGTTCTTGAATTAATTCATATAAAAAAAAAAAAAGAAAAGAAAAAAGGACCATAGTTATGGGACGAGAGAGTATATATTTGATGGATATTTAGTTTTCTTTTTTTAGAAATATATTTATGTTTGAAATTAATTCAACTTAACAAGTGAACCTTTTTTTTATACTATATAGTTTTGAGATAAATAATTCTTTAATCAATTGGGTCCACCAATGAACAACCACTTAATCATTGCAGGAAAAATGCTCAATTTAGTTACCCATCTAACGTGGGTCTAGTTTTCAATTTGGACAAAAATGACCTTTTTTTTTTTTTTTTTTTTTTATTTGCCAAACAAATCTCAACTTGTGCAAAATGATCAAATCACTCATATTTTACGTTAGATCTTGGAGTGCATACTCAACGTTTTTTTTTTTTTTTTTTTTTGCCAAAAATCTCAACTTGTGCAAAATGATCAAATCACTCATATTTTACGTTAGATCTTGGGAGTGCATATCACGCGGTCAAACTAAAATTTTAAATTAAAAAATTGTTAAAATGCCTAAAATTCTTAAAACTCCATCTCACACCCTAACTTTTTTCACTTCGTCTCTCTCAAAATTCCTCCCATTCTTGGCGTCGATTTTCTTTTTTCCTTTGATAGCACAACAATCTCTGCTATAAACTATGAAAAAGGTGCGTCTTTTTTCTTTTATTTTGCTTGAGCAAGACTTATTCAGCGAAGATAATTAATGAGTTCTTGACTCTAAATCTCTAAAGAAAAAGAAATCTATTTTTATTTTAGTAATATTTTTTTTATAATGGGTCTTTGGTTGCTAAGGCAATTAATTGGATTCGAGTTTAAGCTGTGTCTCTGTTACTGTGAAGTTCTTTAATAGATTTATTTCAAATTTAAACTTGAAAGTTTTCAAAAAATAAAGTCTTTGATAGATCAAATTGTTGCGGTGATTTGGTTTTTTTTTTACTCTAATGGCTAAACTTTAACTAGGAATCCTTCTAGCTGTAACTTGAACATAAATCACCGTGCTAGATAACAGAAGAGACACTTGGATTTCCTCCACTTGAGCCGCTAGAGTTAAAACAAACCACTGCAACGATTTAATCCATCAAAGACTTTATTTTTTAGAAACTTTAAAGTTTAAACTTAAAATAAACCTATAAAAAAAGTTCACAGTGAATCCATATATGTGATTTCACCCTCAAACCCAATTAATTGCCTTAACAACCACTGAAGACCCATTATAAAAGAAATATTACCAAAATAAAAATGGATTTCTTTTTATTTTGGAGATTTAGAGTAAAAAACTCGTTAGTTATCTTCCCTAAACAAGTCTTGCTCAAGCAAAATAAAAGAAAAAAGACACACATTTTTCATAGTTTATAGCAGAGATTGTAGTGCTGTGAAAGGAAAAAAGAAAATCAACGCCAAGAATGAGAGGAATTTTGAGAGAGACGAAGTGCAAAAAGTTAGGGTGTGAGGTGGAGTTTTAAGAATTTTAGGCATTTTAATAAAATTTTAATTTAAAATTTTAGTTTGACCGCGTGATGTGCACTCCCAAGACCTAAAGTGAAATATGACTGATGTGATCCATTTTGCGCAATTTACTGAGAAAAAGGTGATTTTTGTTCAAATGGAACATTAGACTCAAATTAGGGGGTAAATTGAGCATATTTCCTATAATGATTACGCAATAATTTAATGATTAAGTAATAATTTAATGATTAAGTGATAGTTCATTGGTGGACCCAGTTGATTAAAGAATTATCTATCTCAAAACTATATAGTATTAAAAAAGGTTTACTTTTTAGGTTGAATTAATTTCAAACATAAATATATTTCTGAAAAAAAAAAAAAAATTAAACATCCATCAAATGTGTACTCTCTCGTCCCATAACTATTGACCTATTCTCTTTTTTTAAATCTCTCAAATTATTTTTCTTATAAGTGAATAATATTTTAAATTCATTTTTTCTCTTTATTTTATATGTTTATTGTTAATAAATATAATATTCAAATTACTGTTATTTCATTGACTAAAATCTTGACATAAATAAAATTAAAATATTAACCTTTAAACTTTCGTAAAGCTCAATTTAATTGAATATTTAACAATAATTTAATTAATTCAAGAACAATTTAACTATAGAGAGAAAAGAATTGAAATATGGATTCAGTTGAGCAGACACCGCTTTTGGAGGATGGACTTCTCGAAGAGGTCTCCTTTCTCTTGAAGCTGTTTATTTTCGAGTAACTTGCGTCGATTATTGGATTTATCCTAATTGATGTTGACTAAACTTCAGAGTAATTGCATCAGCTGTAAAATTATGAAGTCTGGCGACTTTTTGTTTTGATGTTGTTGTTGAAATTAGTTGAAGACAGAGACTAAAATCCAGAAGTAATGAAATACATACCTGGGTTTCGAATTTCGATAGGTTTTAAGGATTTTGAAGTTTTCTTTGGACAACCAAAATATGAAATTGCAAATTGCAAGTTTTTATTCATTCTTTCTCTTTGGGGTTGACTGTGGTTGGTTTGAAGATCGTTTCGTTTTAGCAAGTTTGAAACTTCTGTCTGTCTGTTTTTTATTTTTTTATTTTTTTTTTATTTTTAAAAGAAATTAAAACTGTGCTATTTTCACCAATTTTTCATGTTTTAATTGTATCTTATGGTGCTTGACTGTGTAAAATCAGGTCCTTATTTTGTTAGATAAACATATATATACGTAAAAGTTCGTTTTTGTTTGTAATGTATCGTATGCAACACTAGCTGTAATTGAATTATACCTTGGAGATGGATTTAGTTGAAGCTTCAATAAATTTTAATGTCATCTGGTATGAAAGATCTGTGCTTTACTTTGTTATCTCCTGATATTTCTATGGTAAGCATTCAAAGATTCAGTTAACTGTTTTCTCATAAACTAGATTACCTCACTTATGTAGCTCCATAACCTTTGTTCTATGGATGATGAGAGATTTGGGCATCTTGTACTTGGGAGCATATGTTATGCAATACTATGCTTTCTTCAGTTCCTGCCCCCTTAAACTAAATAAACGCAAACAGAAATGAGGCTAAATTAGTGCATACGAAAACTCTGGTGGACTATTGCTGAAACTTGCATTGTCACCGCAGCTTCACAGGGTATAATAACAGTCAATTTCAGATAGTTTAATGAACTGAATTCTTTCTGCCAGTTGCCCAATTCCTAATTATAGGCCTTTGCTAAAATTCCTGAGTATTTAGATTTGGCTGTTTAAAGTTTAGCTACGTTTGAACTATGGCTTGTAGGAAAAGGTTGTGTGAGTGAATTCACATTAGAATAGGTATGTGTATGAACTTTTGTGTGCTGTGCATGCCTGTGATTCCTTACCTTTGTGCATTACTTGATCAGACGATCACTTCCTCATTGAGGCCATTAAAGAAGAGTGCGCACAATTCTTAGTAGAGTGGCACAATTTTTGTTACATATCAGTATGATGACTTTACTTGATGATCTGGCTTCAATATATGTAACATATTCAGATTTACTTTGTTCTTTGTTTTTATATAAAATTTTTATGTACTGATATTTATACCTATATAAGATTTATAAGGTTTATATATATATATAAGTATGATGACTTTAACTTGATGATCTGGCTTCAAATATATGTAACATATTCAGATTTACTTTGTTCTTTGTTTTTATATAAAATTTTTATGTACTGATTATTTATAAGCCTATAATAAGATTTATAAGGTTATATATATATATATATATATATATATATATATATATATATAATATATATATATAATAAGATTTGATATATTCTATTAGTCATCATGTAGGATATAATAAGATTGATATATCTATTAGATCATGGCTTCATGTACCAAATATTTTCACATACAATATTTTTTTCCGACAATATAATGTAGAAGTAGAATAAGGGTGAGAAAAATACTTTCATTTAAAGTTTTCTATTTATTTAATGTTGTTTATATTTAATTTAATAATAGGAAAAAGTCATTCTCTTTCTTGTTTTCTGACATATACAAATATAAAGTAAATAGAAAAAAAATATTGGAAGTGTCTTTCTTGCTTTGACCCGCGAAATATTCTGGTTTTTTTTATCTGAAAGAAAAGGAAATAATACCTGAAAAATAGAACCTTGCGCTATGCCATTATCTTTGTAACCACCCCTTGCACTCTGTTACCTGTGTACAACGTTTCATATTTTTTCCTCAGAACAAAAGCAAGGAGCTTTACACTGGTGATGGCTCAGTTGACCTTCATGGAAATCCTGCCCTTAAGCAGAATACTGGAAATTGGAGAGCTTGTCCTTTTATTTTGGGTATCATTATAATTACTATTATTATTCATACTGCTTCCTTGTGTATAGTATCCTCCATTTTTTGACCTTTGTCATATAACATTCAGGTAATGAATGTTGTGAACGGTTGGCCAATCATGGCATCTCCACCAATCTTGTTACTTATCTTACTAATAAGCTGCATGAAGGAAATGTGTCTGCTGCAAGAAATGTTTCCACCTGGGCAGGCACTTGCTATATTACACCCCTTATTGGAGCTGTCCTCGCTGATGCTTGCTGGGGAAGATATTGGACAATAGCTGCTTTCTCCACGATCTACTTTATTGTGAGTTATTGTCTGAAGTCTGAACTCTGTAATTTTTGTTTATGTGGTACGTTTAGTACTTCAGTTCAATTGTTTTTTCACTTGTCTATTACTCCTCTGCACGTTGCTCAAGCTGCTGAGAAGGATAAACCTGCTGGTTGTTATTTATGTTTCAATTTATTGCCTCAACCAATGATTCTATAATCTGTGTTGAATTTGATCCAGCTTTTCGTTCTTTATTTCCCTTTGAGCTTCACATGCATTTCACTCTTGTTAATTTTCTTGTCAACTATGTGGTGGTTTGATGGAACCATCTTCATAGACTCTACTAAGCCTTAATCCTAAATAGTGGACTACGTAGGTCCATTTTTACTATTCCATTCAGGTAAGAACAACATTTTTAGAAAGATATAGAGACATAAGAGGAATGACAAAGAAATCGCCAAAAAGATGCCATACTATTAGTTATTGTTTATTAATGCTCCACTAGAAAAAGGAGTAACTGAAGTTGAAGGCATGTTGTTTGAAATTTGACCCATCTTTTAAATTTAATTACTACTTGAGTTGCCAATTCTTGGAAAAAATTTGTGCAAAATCACAAATTTAATTATTGTGCCTTGATCACAGGGAATTATGCTTTTTGTTATTTAATTCAATGAATGATTAAGGATTTGATGTACAAGATTAATTGCGGGATACTCGAATAAGTGTGGCTTAAAGGTGTCCTTAAACTTTAACTAGGAATCCTTCTAGCTGTAACTTGAACATAAATCACCAAGCTAGTTATATTGAGCCAGAATGAGCACTGATGGCAAATTGTTCATGTACTTGCTTTTTTGGAGAAGGGCTTAACAGATGCTTTCTTTTTTGGGATTGAAGAAATAAAAAAAAACTCGAATAAGTTCTTAAGGTGTCCTTAACCTTTAACTAGGATCCTTCTAGCTGTAACTGTGAACAATAAATTCCCGAGCTGACGTTAATATTATGAGCCACAGAATGGAGGAGCACTTGATGGCGGCAATTGCTTCATCCTGTACTTGCTTTTTTGAAGAAGGGGCTTAATTCAGATTGCTTTCTTTTTTTGGGATTGCAAGAAATACAAAAAAAATTAAGAATAGATCAATTGTGGTAGATAATAAATCGCGGAAAGCAAGGATACAGGTTTGAAGCATAAATGTGTAGTGTTGATTGTTATCGATCGCTTGCAAACTAATGGTTAATTGTTTGCTTGATGTATATCCATTTACTGCAAGACTGTGGTTTGTGTAAATTCCCTATACTGTTCTCTTGTTCGGATGATATTCTTCACAAACGCACCCTCAGAGCATAAAAGTTATACAGTATAGTATGACATGATCTGCCCTGGATGACAAATACACCGAGAGATCTTATAAACATCCTTTAGGTAAAAAGATTAGATGAGTTGTGTTTAACTTGTTGATTTTGACGATTGTGGAACATATTTGCTATGTAAATTAGACTACCACGCGATGTTTTTCTTCCTATGTCCTGAGAATTAAGCTTTAGCCTGTGTGCCAACTGGAGGATCGGTAGGTTTCTATATGTTACCGATAGAGTGTATGATAACTAGTATTAAAACACTTTTTAAATTGGCAAACAGGGAATGTGTACTTAATCACTCTCAGCAATCAATTCCTGCAGATTAAAGCCCAGCTCGAATTGTTTGCCGGTTCTTTACCTTAACACTCTCAGCATCAATTCCTGCATTAAAGCCAGCTGAATGTGCCGGTTCTTTATGCCCTCCTGCGACTCCAGCTCAGTATGCAGTATTCTTCTTTTGTCTCTATCTAATTGCACTTGGGACAGGTGGTATCAGGCCATGCGTTGCATCCTTTGGGGCTGACCAGTTTGACGACACTGATCCTAAGGAAAGGGTGAAGAAGGGATCTTTCTTCAACTGGTTCTACTTTTCTATCAATATTGGTGCTCTTGTATCAAGTAGTTTACTGGTGTATATTCAAGACAATGCTGGGTGGGGTCTGGGATTTGGAATTCCTGCAGTATTTATGGCCATTGCTATAGGAAGCTTCTTTTCAGGCACTCCTCTCTACAGATTTCAGAGACCGGGAGGGAGTCCTATCACAAGGATGTGCCAAGTTTTGGTTGCATCATTCCATAAGCGGAATATGGAGGTACCTCAAGATAGCAGTCTACTTTATGAAACACCAGAAGGAATCTCTGCCATCGAAGGTTTATGAAACACCAGAAGGAATCTCTGCCATCGAAGGAAGCAGAAAATTGGAGCATAGCAATGAATTGAAGTAATTGTCTTCTTCATTCTCGTCAATAATTATAGTTTATGCATGCTGAATCATCTGTCCATTTGCTTCTGAAAAGTTTCACAACACTTTTTTTGGTTGCGGTGGGGCTGGGGTGACTCTTAGACGGGGGCTTGTTGGAAACAATATAGAGAATGGATTGAAATCTCTTTTGATTCTGTTTACTCTCTTTATTGGATTATTTAATTTTCTATGGAATACAAATCAGTGCTAGGCAAGTTGTGACTATGGAGTTTTCTATTCTCTGTCAGTTTTCTGTTAAATTTTGTCCATTCTTCTACTTTTAACTCGTGTTTGGTTGGTTTTACTAATCTAAATTTGGATTCATAAATTGAGGTTTAGGAGAGAATTAAATGGCTGGAAAAGTGGATTCACTCGCGCATGTTGTCTAGCAATTGTGCATACCTCTACCTGGATAGTTATTGGCATGGGCTTTTGTAATTTGCTATATTGTCTACTTTTATGGATTTTTTAATGTAATTTGTGAAGCAATTATTAGATATTGTTTCATCTGATCTGTCTCCCTAATAATTGGTCATCTCTTTGTGGATTGTGTGACCTAATTTGAGTAATTGTCTTTACACTTACATTTTCTGTTACCGTTTGTGTTGAAGTATCATTTGGTTGACACTTGACATCCAACAATTTTAAGCAAGAATCTTTTTTCTTTGCAGGTGCCTCGATAAAGCTGCTGTAATTTCAAATGTTGAGGCCAAAAGTGGGGATTTCTCAAACCCATGGAGACTTTGTACGGTGACACAGGTAGAGGAATTGAAGATTTTGGTGCGCATGTTCCCAATCTGGGCCACTGGAATTGTTTTTTCTGCAGTCCATGCCCAAATGTCTACAATGTTTGTGGAACAAGGGATGTTGATGGACACAAAAGTTGGTTCTTTCGCCATTCCTCCCGCCTCCTTATCGACATTTGATGTTGTCAGTGTTATTTGCTGGGTGCCGATCTACGATAGGTTCATTGTTCCAATTGCAAGGAAGTTCACAGTTCCAATTGCAAGGAAGTTCACAGGCAAGGAGAGGGGCTTCTCTGAGTTGCAACGAATGGGCATTGGCCTTTTCATTTCAATATTCTCCATGTCTGCCGCTGCCTTGGTAGAGATTAGGCGCCTGCAGCTTGCTAAAGAGCTTGGGTTGGTTGATGAGAGTATTGCTGTGCCAATTAGCATCTTTTGGCAAGTCCCTCAATACATGCTAATAGGTGCTGCAGAGGTCTTTACATTCATCGGTCAGCTTGAATTTTTCTACGAACAATCTCCAGATGCGATGCGGAGTTTATGCAGTGCATTGTCGCTTCTGACAACATCGTTGGGCAATTATTTTAGCTCTTTTATTCTTAATGTGGTTACATACTTCACAACTAAAGGTGGGAATCCGGGATGGATTCTGGATAACTTGAATAAGGGCCATCTTGATTATTACTTCTGGCTCTTAGCTGGTCTCAGCGTCTTGAACATGCTTGTCTACATTGTCTGTGCCAAGAAATACAAAAAGAAGAAGGCCTCCTAAGATTTTTACAAGGGGATAGTATGGTAAGTAAGTTGTAATCATATGCAGAAAAGCAAATGGTTCTGTACATAAACAAAAGAATTCATGTTATTACAGTTATGATGATGTGAGCTCCTACAAGTTTACAAGGAGCTTGCTTGTACAATATTTATTAATTTGCTGAAATTATGCTGTTGGATTTGAATGTTGGGTTGTACTTTCCAAAATTTTAATGATAATTAATATTTATTTCCTTCCATATCCTCTCTTTTTGTACATATGATTAATTTGCTAAACCATATTTAAATCAAATTGCTTTATTTATTTATGAAAAAATAGTTGTTGCTCAGTTGGAACGAGCATGTAACTCGACGCGATGTATCGGTTAATTATCATAAATTGTTTATTGATAAATGTAATTTTAAAATTGTGTCATGATATAATGAAATATGGCATTTTATAATAAAAATTTATATAAAATATGGCATTTATAATAAAAATTTAATATATATATATATATATATATATATATATATAATATATATATATATATATATATATATATATATATATAATATTTTACATTTTGTTGACTTTGTATTATAATAATTTAACTTCGTAAACAACTTGTTGACTTTGTATATAATAATTTAACTTGTAAACAACATTATAAATACTATATTGTCATTATCATGTACACGTAATTATATAAGAAACCATAGCAATATCTATACAGTTTGATAATGTCATCTATACATTGTTAAATTTTAGGCAATTCTAATATTTGTTAAAAAATAGATAAAAAGATAAATATAAATAAATAATTGAGAGGAAGAAGAAGAAAAATAGGAATATGAACAATCTTAATTTTTCTTATTTTTAATATCCCTACATTTTATAATTCTTTATATTTTATATAGTCATCATTTCTGAAGCGTATTGTAAATATATGAATCATAATTAACATATAATTATCTATTTGTTTAATACATAACTAATAAGGATTTCAACATAATGAAATTATTGTTTGCTCAAGAAAAAAGGCAATTGGAGGGAGAAAATCTGATTTTTAATCTTGCTGAAAGCCCATTCATGGGCAATAAAAATGGATTAACTTGAATAGAAGGAGGAAAAAAAATTGAGAGAAGACATACTGAAAGCTTCAATAAGCCTAATTCTGAGAAATAAGTAATGAGTTTGAAGTGATTTTATGTTTCTTTGATTTGAACTCAATTAGGTAAATGTTGTTTTTAAGTTATTGTAGGAGTTTACCCTATGAGACCTATAGTGCCTGCAATTGGAAGATATTAGGGTGTAGGAGTGCATTTTGCAGGCTCTGCAGTTAAGGATATGTCACCTGGTGATTGGGTCATTCCATCTCCAACCTCTATTGGTGTGTGTCTTTTTGCTTACTTTGATTGTTGCATTATTAATTTTTGGTCATTCTGCAATATTATTAGTTTTCCTTTTCTTAATAGCCAAGGGCCTAAGGCATCGTTTCTTACAGTTGTTTATTTTTATATTGTATATATTATAAATATAAAGCTGTTTTTAGTTTTTAATTACTTATTTTCTCAAAACTATATTTTTTTTCTAAAATTATTTTTTCCTTTCTTTTAATTCATGATGTGAAAAATTCTTTCAATTATCAAATATCTCCCTTATTAAGCCATTAAAGACTCTAGTTAAAAATAAAGAATCTAAAAAAAAAATAAAATCTAAGACAAAATAATTAAAACTATTTCACATTTTAATTTTTAAATTCAAAGTTAAATTAATTATTGATTATTATGTATACAATCAATTGAATAAAAATATAATATCCAAGTATTATGATAAATAAATAATACTAAATGACATTAGATAATACTAAATGACATAGATATATATAGATAGGAGAAACATAATAATAAAATATTAAAAAATATTTACTAAATAGAGAAAGAGATGCGAAAAAAAAAGCACCTAGAATTTTAATAAAGAGATAATAAAACTAATGCTTATATTGTTATGGATAAATAAATAGACATTTAATAATAATAATAATAATAATAATTAAATATAATAAATAATACAACTTTATTGAGGGACAAGCTTCTTGTAAAAAATGAAAAAAAAAAAAGGAAAAATGTAGAATAAAAACAGAAATAATAATAATAATAATACAACTTTATGAGGACAAGTCTTGTAAAAAATGAAAAAAAAAAAGAAAAATGTAGAATAAAAACAGAAAGCACAATTACAGAAACCATTATTCGTGGTTTCATAAAATTTATTTTTTTGTTTTAAAAATCAGTTTTCTACAAAGTAAAGAAAAAAAATTAAACAAGTTTAAACAAACAAAATTTGCTTATTTTTTAAGGAAAAAAATGAAAAACAAAAAACTTAATATAAAACAAACAACACCTAAGTTCTTTTGCCATTTCTCTTTAGTTTTTATGTAGTATTGCTGCTTGACTTTGAATGCAAATTATGATTACTTAATTGTAATACAAAGTTGAGGAAATAATATGTACTCTTTGCAACTGAGGAACACACAGATAACTGTGAAGAATATATATATTGCAAGTTTGATGACATTTGCTGATGAGAATTCAATTGGAACTCTCATTTTTTGCTTTGCTTGATTTTACAAGATGATAGTAATTGTAAATCTTTATTGCTTGATTTTTTGGCCACCACAGATGGCAGTTCTGCTGCCTCCGAAGCTCAGGTTTTTCGCTATCTCACATTAGGTTCTTTTTTTTTTTCTAAATAGGCAGACTATGTGATCTATAATGGCTTTAGATGATTGCTTATTCTTTTAGAAAAGAGAAAAAAGAATAAGAAATAGTTAAATTTCAAAGCCTTTGAAAGAAAACAAAAAGCAAAGTGTAGTTACAAAATATTACGATAGACCTCCTTCTGTGATAAAAGTGAAGTGAAGAAAGGCCAAGAAGATATCATGTTAGTTTCATATATTCAATAACATGGTACTGGCTATTGGAGAGCTGTCCCCGCAAAATACAGGTTTGATCATTCTTATAATTCCAGCAAAGTATAAATATCATGTTAGTTGGAAATTGTTTTTGTAACACCTGCAGAATTTATGTTGCATGTAGCTATAAGTATAATCAATGCCATGGGGTTTGTGATAAAAATGGGTAGCTATGAACAAAGTTCCAGGATTTACAATAACTCATGTTATTCGTGTAGCTTCAAAACCTCAATATTTGCTTAGGTCAATATCTGCAGCATTTGAGAATTGAGACGACATTGGAGGATATGGACCTCAAAAGTTACGTAGTCTAATTTACTGGTTGGTGTTTCTTTCTTAGGCTGACATCAAAAGTTTTGTTGATTGATTTTTCAATCTTTTTTTTTTTTAAATATGTTTTGTTCATAATTAAATTAATATTTGTTGGTTGACCGATCTCTTCCCTTTATATGCTATAAAACATGATGAATTGATAGTTTTGCATAAGTTTTGCATTTGAACCACTTTGAGAAGTGCGTGACATTGATTTGCTGATAAAAAATAATTCTAATCATTAGTCAAATTTAATGATGTGCAAGCATTAACAACAATAAGGAAGACAAATGAAACCTAAAAAAAAAAAAAAAGACCAAAGAAGTCATCTAAAAATATTTTTGATGTGAATAAAAAATTTCCTATAATATTCAGAAAACCCTAACATAATTAAGTTAAAGAAAGACAATAATTTAAGGTATCTAAACTTCTGAAAGTATCAACTTCCACACGTAGTTGGAATAATTAATTGCTTTAATTCAATTATTGAATTTTTTTTATTTTAATTTTTGGGAATTGACCATTGAATTTGATTTTTTTAAATATGTTTACCTAACATAAACAAACATTTAGAAATTGTGATAATGAAAGAAGACATGTTTTAATTGTAGGTGACATAAAAATTTAATTCTTGAAATTTTCTATTCATGGAATTGTCAACAAATATCTGGGTGTGGCCTGTTTTGGACCGTGGACCTTCTGCTTTCTCATTTGACCAAAATTGAACTTCAGTATGTTTTTAATTACTTTTCTTATTTTCCTTTTAAATCTTAAATAAAAGTAGTTTCACGAAAATGTAAAAATAAATGCCTAACCGCCAACGTCAGACACGGCAATTCGCCGCGTCCACATTATAGCGGAGCTGAGCGGTCGTCTGTCGCCGGTTTCTTTTCTCCGCCTCCTGGAATGACTATTGAAACTTTCAGCTTTGACGTTTGTTAACCAGAATCGTTTCTGCCTATGAATAATGAAATACAACGGGCTTTTGCACGTATTTACATAAAGCAGCCCTTGAAATAGTATGCACTATTGACTATTTCCATTTTTTTTATGCACAAAAAATTATTAACTTAATCTTCTAAGTAAAAGCAAAATATTTTTAATTTGAGTTTGTGCATAGTCAAAAATAAACATCTTCTAAGTTATTCCATTTCTGATAATTGAACCCCTTTTCCACTAGGACGGTTCCTCTTTAACTGCGCTTAAAAGGAAACCTTATTTGTCCTTTACATGCAGGAAGGTCGCAATTGGACAGTTTTTATCTACAACGTGGTTGAAAGTTTTATGATGTTCTTCTGTTTCTTTATATTTTATTTTTTATTATACTTAAATAAACCCAAATCAAATTCATCTTGTGTGATTTATATAGTAGAAACTTATTTTTTAGATTTAAGCTCTTAAATAACAAATAAAATATGCGCTAAAAAAATAATTTTATTATTTCTATTATATACACTAAAATCTTTCATAATTAAACTTTTAGTATATGTAATAGAAATTGTCTAAGAGCATAGTTAGGTTTCGATTCCACTTTTTTTATAATTGGAATATACAGTTTTAGAACTATAGTCATGTCTACTTTGGTGTTGAAAAATGGTATACTTCAAAGAAATTAAAAGAGAGATTTTGCTTTAGATTTAGATATCGCACATTGTCTAATCAAATTCAATTATCTTTTATTTTTATTAGCAAATATAATTATATATATTAACTCCACGTACCTTCAATTTATTTGTCTCTTCTTTTATTTTCTCACACGCAAAATCAGAAAATTAGAACTAGTAAAAATTTACGAAATAAAGTATCAGTTCAACCAATGAAAGTGGTAGTCCAATTTCATAAGGTAAGCAATGGCAAATTCCGATGAATTAAAAATAAATAAATAAATGAACCTCCCAGTTCCTGATCACATGAAAGGTGGTTTTGGGGACTGTGATAGAGCTTACCAGTTTTTAATAGTTGGATTATATATTATATTTATCTGTCGGTATAGAGAAATGGGAACAGAACTCATTAGAAATATATTCTATTTAGTATTAAATTATTTGGAAGACGACTTAACGCTGACGGTGGTGAAATGATGTCTGTGGTATTGATTCCGTTCTTAGTTATGTGGGTCTTGAAGTTGGTTAAGAGCCTCTTTCTTGACTCTTTCCCAAAGCTCTTTTTTAATCTTTCCACAAAATAAAAATTAAGAAGCAATATTTTGATGCTCTATTGACAAGACTAAACGTTTTTGTGTTTAAAATTCAAATGTGCATTCACACTCAAGTGATTAACTATGTCATCAATAATAATCATAGTTAATTAACTTAATCAAGGTGGGACTAGACTTAAAGCATCGAGGGTTAAAAAAAAGAAAAAGAAAAAGCTCAGTCTAATCAATAAAATGAAAATATTTATTTATATATATATTAATCCTAATAAATTAAAGTTATACAGGCAGTTTGTATACATTAGTAGCATTCAAACTAATCCTAACTACTTCTTGAAATAGGAAAAAAAATAAGAATAATTGTATGGATTTCCGCAAATGTAATAAGAAATCTCAAAGAATGTCTTGAAATTTGCTAAATGCATACCCCTTTCTGCTTTGGGCCAACAAATTTTCCTTGGAAACATTTCAGTGGGTAAAGATCATGGTTTTGTTTTGCTAAAGTAATTAAAGCAAAACCTTACAAAACCACAAGCTATCATTATCACTTAAACTACAGATTATGCTTCATAATTAGATGCAGTTAAGATTTCCTTCCCTTAAAAGGGTTGGGCTCACAAGAAGAGCGTGTAGGATCCATCTGATTAAATCAGACGGCCCACAATGGATAGCTGACTTTTTCATTTGGTGAACAAAATTTAATAAATACACAAGACTAACCTGGTCAATTTTTAATTCTAGAAAAGGAAACTTGGAACAGTTTCATTAGGTTCCTTCCTCAACGTCCTTTACAAAATTCAATAATTAAAAAAAAAAAATCTCCATTTTCCCAACTATAAATACCCGTTACATGTTTCAACCCTCTCCTCCAAGCAAACCAGAACTCACATTTCTTGTTTATTACAACTCTCTTGTAAGAATTCTTTTTTTTCTGTTGTCATAACCATGGTGCTATCTAAAATCGCTTCAGAGTCTGACGTTTCCGTTCACTCCACCTTCGCCTCTCGCTATGTCCGGGAGTCACTTCCAAGGTAAAAGATCAGTAACAAAATCGGTTTAGCGTCTGACTTTTTTGTTCTTGTACATTTTTGTTGAATTGGGTGGTGTATTTTTTGACGTTTGCAGGTATAAGATGCCGGAAAACTCTATACCTAAGGAGGCGGCGTTTCAGATAATAAATGATGAGCTGATGCTTGATGGAAAGCCAAGGCTGAATTTGGCATCTTTTGTGACGACCTGGATGGAGCCTGAATGTGATAAGCTTATTATGGATGCCATGAACAAGAACTATGTTGACATGGATGAGTACCCTGTCACCACGGAGCTTCAGGCAACTCTCTTTTTCTGATATTGAAATTATTTATGATATACTTTTTTCTTTTGAAAATATTATTTAAAAAAAGTTCATACCCACTAAAAATTTTAATTGGGGTTTTAAAAGATTAATTAAAAGTTATACAGAACAATGTAAGGAAGCATCTTGTTTTAAATTCATATTAAGAAAGGAGCTTGGCAAGTCCACAGGTTTTCAGTCTACGGGTCATTCCTTCCTCAAGTCGCTCGCGTGTCCTAGCCAGAAATTCACACATAAATCTTCATAAAGAAGTAAAAAAAAATCTCCATTTTCAAGCAAGCTATCATACCCCTTTCCCTTTACAAGGTGTTTGGTGGCTTGTAATACATTGAACCAGGCCTCTGCTCTCGCTGAGGCCAAGGCAACGCACCGGAGGGGTCAATGCATTCTTTTACGCCTAACACATTTCATGTAGGTTCTTCACTATATGTAGCCACTTACTCTCCTTGTTCTCTAGGGTTGAAATATTTTGACATGTATTCTTTATTTCTGTTTGCATCATATCGCGGCATGGTGCTATCTATATAAATCGCTGTCAGAGTCTTGACGTCTTTCTCGTTCACCGCTCTGTCCAGCAGCTTGCTATCGCCTCTCGCTCATTGTCGGCGGGAGTCCACTTCTCATCTCGAAGTGTTGAGATTTTTGGAGCCCTATTTGAAGAAAAATAGGGCGCCTGAGTCCGGTGTAAACTCGATATCAATTCAATTTCACCTGGTTATTAACCGGCGCTGACTTCTTAGTTGTTCTCCTCATAGGTACGCTTCTTACTTTTAGGTGATATTGAAGAGGGGTTGGGTCGGTGTATTTTTTGACGTTCTGGCAGGTATAAGTCTATGCGTCCAAGGTATGCCCTACTCGGCTGGCCCCAGGAGATGGGTGGTCATTAAGAATTCGCGCATTAACGCCATGAAAACCTATGCTAATTTATCATGCTATGACGGCAAAATCGGTGCACTGGAGGGCGTGCGTTTCAGATAATATGATGAGGCTGATGCTTGCATGGATCCGGAAGCATGTTTGGAGGCCAGGCCTGAACTTTGGCATGCCTTTTGTGCAAAGTAGAATGCCTGTAAGATTGGAGCTCTCTTGTCGTGCATATTTACGGATACGAAGGCTTGCTTCGATTACATTATGGATAGGACAGCATTTACTCACAACAACCACAAAGTAGAGAAGTCATTGTGATTTCAATCTTTCATGGGGATGGCCATAGTCTGAACCCAGCCGGTGCTTCGGGCCCCAAAATCGGTGAGGATAACCCCTTTGGTGTTTGGAGCCCTCTTTGAGCCTGTTCCGGAGCCGATATCTTCTTTCGCCTCATGGGCTGTTTCAGTCGCTCCTATAGGCTCCTCTAGCGTGATATTTAAGGTCTTATGATCGGACACTTCAGGGGGCTATACGGCATTCTCTTTTCCTACTTGCAATTATGGTGAACTAGGGCCTATTCTATGATATTCAGCGGTTGTCCACTTTTAAAAATGAAATTCTGTTATACTAACCAAATATTCATACAATTCCTAGCACGTAAAAAAACTATTCTTAGATTGGGAGTTTTGCCTAAAAAATGATTCAAGTAAGTAAAAGCATTATTTTTGCCCATATTATTATGACTCGAGCGGCAAATTCATCTTTGTCTTCCCTTACCTATATAACGCCATTTCGACGGCAAAAACATTTCAATTGCTAACACATTAGCCGGCTTAGCATTGTGATCATTTTCTATGGTAGCCATGTCCGATGCGAAGTGCTATTCTGAGGCCCAAATCTGTAAGGTTATATTGATTGCAAAAGTTAGCACTTCGGTTGTTTATTGGTGTTTAATAGTACATTGTCTATGAAAGTTAGGCCTGTTGCGCGAGCAATACTTCTTTGGGCCTGACGGGCAGGTCCTATAGATGGGTCTTTCTTCTGTAGGCTTTGAGATGAAATTGGATCTAAAGTTTAAGGTTGATCTTATGGTGTAATTTCTCATATTCGGAACTCAATTGGCTCCTAATTCTGCGCTTTCTACCATGTACTAGAGGTGTCATTAAGATTGGCATGATGCAATAAAATCCATGCGTAAAATCGGATGCACCAAAAATTGTTCTTCTGCCACTAAAAGTCATGTAGGGCAAGTTTTTTGGTCAAAATTTGTGAATTATTCACAGTCAATGAACCAGCCACCAAGCAATTGCGGAGAACCGAGTATGGTGCTAAAGATCTACTAGACTCATGCTTCGGGTTCTCTGCTGTATGATCGCCATAAATACATGCTCCCATACACCTACGCAGAGAACTTTAAATATTTCATCTAAGACATGCGCTTAGGAAAAGACATTGTACATGCATTTCAATTTCGACAGGTAAGATATGTAACTATTTTTTCGGAGCCACAGGATTGCATTTTTTTTTTTAATTTCCAAATTAATTTACACGGCTGCGCATAAAATCTCTGGTAGGCTGATTAGTCAAGAATCGATGTGTAAGAAATGATGGGCCATTTTCCCCTTTTTCAAGTGTTTGTGAGCTGTATTTCGTAAGTATGGCATAATCCGGGGAAGGGGCGCCCCAGGTAGCAGGTCTTCTTTACGGGGTCGGAACCATGTAAAGCGGGAGTAAGCCCGGATAGGGCGCTATACTCATTTCTCAGGTGTATTCGCAGGGGTTTGTAGGAGTGATCCAAGAGTAAAATGAGTCCAATTCGGAAATGACAAGATGTAAACAGCTCGATATGAAATTCACTAAACGGCTGCCCATATGCAGACGTAATAGCCCAACTTGTACCGCCATACTGGAGCTCAATTGGTGTTGTTTGGAGGCCCTATTTGAAGGCACTGGTTCCGGAGGATCGATATCTTCCTTTCTAACGCTCTATGACTCGTGGGGGGGGGCGGTCCACACACACTCATGACGAGGTCATTCTTTCTAGGTGATTGAAATGTTAGTGATAAGGATCTTTTAATGAAGTGGAGCTCAAATCAGGATGGCTAAGCTGAAGGGTGGCTAGCTCGTATAATTCGGGGAACTGCCCAGCGCGGTGTACATAGTCAAGATGGCAGTGCATACGATCGCGAGTAAGATTATATATATTTTGTGCAAAAGTTAGACTTTATTTTTAATTAACAAGTTGGGTGTTTCTTGATTGAAGTCTAAGTTTATGACTGTAATTTTTTCGAACCTGCTATCCTTTTACATGTATAAACAAAAAATTGTCTTCTGCACTAAAAGTCATGTACAAGTTTTTGGTCAAAATTTGTGAATATGTCACAGTCAATGACACAGCCACAAGCAATTGACCGAATCTAAGACATTGCTGGGTCGGTAGAAAAATCACAACCCACAAAAATAATGCTGAAAGCCTTTCAAGACCTAAAATTAAATATTCAAATTTTTTTTTTTAATTCCAAATTAATTAACTGATTAATCTACACGTACAGAATCGATGTGTAAACATGATAGCACATTTATTCAATGCTCCATTGGGAGAATCGGAGGCGGCAGTCGGGGTCGGAACAGTAGGTTCATCGGAGGCTATAATGCTAGCAGGGCTTGCATTCAAGAGAAAATGGCAAAACAAGAGAAAAGCTGAAGGAAAACCATATGACAAGCCCAACATTGTAACTGGAGCCAATGTTCAAGTCTGCTGGGAGAAATTTGCAAGGTATTTTGAAGTAGAATTAAAGGAAGTAAAGCTAAGTGAAGGGTGCTATGTAATGGACCCAGTCAAGGCAGTAGAAATGGTAGATGAGAACACTATTTGTGTAGCTGCAATTTTGGGTTCTACACTTAATGGAGAATTTGAAGATGTGAAGCTATTGAATGATTTATTAGTAGAGAAAAATAAAGTTACAGGATGGGATACTCCTATCCATGTGGATGCAGCCAGTGGGGGATTCATTGCACCATTTTTGTGGCCAGAGCTTGAATGGGACTTTAGACTTCCATTGGTGAAGAGTATTAATGTTAGTGGACACAAATATGGGCTTGTCTATGCTGGTGTTGGGTGGGTTATTTGGAGGAGCAAAGAAGATTTGCCTGAAGAACTCATTTTTCATATTAACTATCTTGGAACTGATCAACCCACTTTCACTCTCAATTTTTCGAAAGGTTCAAGCCAAATCATTGCTCAATATTATCAACTAATCCGTCTCGGCTACGAGGTAAGCGAAATATAATAAACAATTGATTTCAAACTAGTTGGGATATACTGTATGTAACCTGACACAAAATTTTGATATTCATTATGACAGGGATACCGAAATGTGATGGAGAACTGCCACCAGAATGCAATAGTCCTGAAAGAGGGACTAGAAAAAACAGGACGGTTCAACATAGTGTCAAAGGACATTGGAGTTCCTCTAGTGGCATTTTCACTCAAGGACAATAGCAAACACACTGAGTTTGAAATAGCTGATATGCTACGTCGTTTTGGATGGATTGTGCCTGCCTACACAATGCCAGCGGATGCTCAACACATTACGGTGCTTCGCGTCGTCATTAGAGAAGATTTCTCGCGCACTCTCGCGGAGCGCCTTGTGCTTGATATCACGAAAGTGCTTCTTGAACTGGACATGCTACCCGCCAAGATTAACGCGAAATTGATTGTCGCTGCTGAGCAGAATAATGGGAAGAACGGGACGGTGGTGGTGAAGAAAACCGCCATTGAGACTCAGAGGGAAATTACTACTTACTGGAAAAATTTTGTTATGGCCAAGAAATCTAACAAGAACACTATTTGCTAAGGGTTTCTAGTTTACTGTCCCAAGGCGTCATCCGAAGTACTTTTTCTTTTCCTCCTATTCTTTTGAATTTTTTTAAATTTTGTTTTATTTTTGATATAAATGTGATAATGAGTCTTGTTTGTAACTTTCTGCACTAATTTTAATTAAATGGAATCCTACAAATACTTGGTATTTTTATATTTATTATTATTATTATTATTATTATTTTCCCTTCAAATATTTATAGTATTTGTTCCTTTAAGAATTGTTATTACGAAATTCCTTCAATTACTAACAATTTTTCAATTATCAACTTTGATTGAAATCTCTAGCACCAAATATATTTGGTCTTATTATTTGGTGTAAATCAGCTATTCTCGCATTTATATTTTTAAAATTGCTATTCAGAAAAATGAGAATTAGAATTTATTTAGACAATAATTTTAAAAAATAGGAATTCGTGCCAAAATGAGTAAATTATGAGATATTAAAAATGAGTAAAACGAACAAATGACGTTGATTTTGTTAGCTAGATAGATAATTGAAAATATGGGTTCCAATAGAGAATATAACTATTAAAATCATAGTGCTTTTGTGTTTCTAATAATAAAAATTTAATAATATTCCTTTGAATTAGAGCTCAATAATGTATGGACCATGTCAATCCGTCAAAGAACGAGTGTTTCTTTACGGTATCAATGAAAGAGTAAATTTTATTAACTAAAATTTAAAACATCACTGACATGGAATTAGCAATCCCCCAAAACAATCATATTAAAATTTTATTTTAAAATTAATTCAAGTGAGTTATATAAACCATTTGTTTTCATTATATTCTCTGTCCACATTATCTATAATCAATTCAATTGACAATAAAATTATGTGAACCATGTTATTGTAAATAGCTAACTTTATAGAACAAGTGTCCTTTTAATTCATCACCGAGAGTGTTGAGAGATAATCATACGACTCATTTTAGTCAATTTAATGATAATTGGACTTTATTACACGTTTAAACTTAATATAATTTATTTAGTAGACTATAATAATTAATATAATATAATTAAATACATTTTTAACGTATAAATATATATATTTCTACATCAAAACATTTTAGCGTAATCCCTTGCAATGTTAGTACATATATATTATCACACGTCTTTAGATATTGCATATGCCTCACGCGAAATTGACATATTATGGACTCCTAAGCATGCCAAATTGCCCATAAACATCCCATGCTCTAATTCTTCCATTCACACTAACTTTTCACTTCACCAACCCATAAATGTCTCCTAATTGCAAGAATAAAAAACAGAGAGTGCTTGAAGAAAACAAGAGAGAATCCAATATGGGTATGAACCAAAATCTAGTATGTGTCACTAATAGAAGCCATGACTCACTAACCAATTCCTTGTGTGAACATTTTCTTCAAATGATTAAATATCATTATTTTGAAAAAAGATTAGTGCACAATCCACATTCTTCTGCCACTTTTCCACAGGGCAACCACCCCACTAACAAAAGCATATTTATTTTTTTAAAACCCTTCAAAACATTAATGAAGCATCTATAAATATATGTCACGTTTTTATTTCAGTGCAAAAGTAAGTGTTGAAGGAGAGTTCAATTTTAGCTATCTATCTTTGAGGTGTAGAAAAAAAATGGTGACTTATAACATGAGAGATTGTCTTGCTACTTTCTTGGCTCTTTTAATAGCTTCAAATGCTTTCATTGGTGATGTTAATGCCGCCGGAGAGTGTGGGAAAACTCCAATTAGATCCGCAGCGATTAGCCTGAACCCGTGCTTGCTTGCAGCAGGAAATGCTAAGGCTAGTGTGCCTCCTGCTTGTTGCTCCAAGGTTGGTGCCTTGATCAACACTGCCCCAAAATGTCTTTGTGCCATTATATTGTCACCTTTGGCAAAACAAAGTGGAATCAATCCTGGGATTGCTATTACAATTCCAAAGCGTTGCAACATTAAGAATAGACCTGCTGGAAAGAAGTGTGGAAGTAAGTGACAATATATATATATATATATATATATTATTTAATTAACAACATTTTAGGGCGACTTAACCCCTATTTCGTCTGTGGGCAAGTGATTAGGGGTAAAAATCATAACAATGGTTCATACTAACAGCATGCGCGGATGCTATTGTGATCATCATCACTACGTTTCTTTCAGATTATTGGAGTATGCCTGACGCGCACAAATATGAATCATATTCTCGCAAGTGGGCCGAGAGTGCTCGCTAAGCATCTGCTCAAAATCCGGAGGCCCCATAAAAACATGCCCATCGCCTCTAATTCTTCCAACACCCATTTCCACATTGAGGTAACTAACTTTTCACTTGCACCAACACCATAAATGTCTCCTATTGGGGGCAAGAGCTAAAAAAAGAGAGTGCTTGAAGAAAAAAACAAGAGAAAAACGAATATGGGTATGAAACCAAAATCTAGTATGTGTCACTTAATAGAAGACCATGACTCAGTAACGCAAGTTCCTTGTGTGAAAGCATTTTCTTCAACATGATTCAAATATCATTATTTTGAAAAAGTTGTGGGCAGGCCCCCAACTCCACATTCTTCTGGACAACTTTCCACAGGGCAACCCCATAACAAACCAAAAGCATCATTTATTTTTCTTAAAACGGGCTTCAAACATTAATGAGCGCATCTATAACCATATATGTCACGTTTTTAATTTCAGCTGCAAAAGTAGTGTTGAGGAGAGTTCATCTTAGCTATCTATTTCTTTGATAAAAAAATGGTGGACTTATACATGAGCGATTGTCTTCGCTAACTCCCTCATCTTGCGCCTCTTTTAATTAGCTTCAAATGGCTTTCATTTGGTGATGTTTAATTGGTGTTTTAGAAAGAGCCTTTGTTGGAAGGCCTGGCGTATTGTCGGACCGAGCTCGGTGGGAGAAAACTCCAATTCAGAATCTCGATCCAGCGATTAGTTCTTTAGCTGAAGCCGCGTGCTTGCTTGGCAGCAGAAATGCTAAGCTCACCGTTGACGTGCCTCCTGCGGCTTGTTGGGGCTGCCAGGTTGGTGCGCTTGATCATTATATCCTATAAGACCGCATAAACTGCTAGTCTTTGGATTGTCCATATATATTTGTCACCTTTGGGTCGAAAACTATAAGTGGACATGACAATACGCTAGGGGAATTCTTATTGTCGAAGGCTATTCAGCACAATATCCAAAGCGTTTGGCAGACATTAAATAGAACCTGCTGGAAAGACAGTGTGGATACGGGGTAATGTGCAATATATACAATAATATATTAGCTACCGTAATCTTATATTATAAAATTTCTTTGGATCCCATTCATTATATAACCAGTATTCCGCTATTAACCAATTCATTGAGATGAATTTTATTTATCAGAGCAAACTGTTTATCTGAAAAGACAACAAATAACCTTTTTTTTTTTTTTTTTTAATGTGATCAATAAATAGGCTGTCTCAATGAGCTATAATACAGCTCCAATTCACAGGGATACGCATCGCTTTAAGTCTACACTCAGTTGAATGTGAAAAGGTATAGTTGGACCAGGTGTCCATTGGCTATAAGACCTATTAATTGCATATAGGGACTATGATTCGATATAAATCCACCATGCTCAAAATCCCAAGGTACGATTAATTGTTTTGGTAGGCTTTTCAAACTGTTTTAAATTATTAAGACTCCGCTCAGTTTGAATACATTTTTTAATAATAGCTAAAGACAGTTAATATTCTCAATTGAGTTAACTTTTTATAAAAAAATCATTATTTTAACGCTCTCACCAACTTAATTCAACCAGTGTTATATTACCAAATATAAAGAAATATATTTTTAGTATTTGATTAAAAATTATTTTAAGAACTTTTTTTTTTTTTTTTTAATGTGAATCAATAAGATAGGTGTCTAATGAGCTATAATAAGCTCAAACAAACGCACCTTTAGTCTACACTAGGTTGAATTGAAAAGGTATAGTTGCCGGCTATACTATTAGGATTGTTCGACCAAATTAATTGTTTTGGTAGCTTTTAACTGTTTTAATTATTAATTGTTTGAATAATTTTTTATATAACGCTAAAAGTTAAATATTCTATGAGTTAACTTTTTATAAAATATTATTTTAACCTCTCAAACTTAATTCAAGTGTTATATTACCAAATATAAAAAATAATTTTTAGTATTTTGATTAAAAATTATTTAAAACTTATTATCTTAACAGGATGGAAGTTTTGAATATTCGAAAATTAAAGTTTACTTGGGCCTCATATTTATGATGCATCCTCTAGTGTGGGCTTCAAAAGGCAAGCCCCTGGTGGCCCAAATAACCTAATTCAATAGATTATATAACCAGCTTGGGGTTTTTTTTTTTACCATCATTGCAGGGTACACTGTCCCATGAGAATAAACCAAGAGAGTCCAATCACTAGAGGAGAAGAGAACAAAAGGAAAAATGATGACAAATTGTAGTAGTAGACACAGAACAATGAGTGTGTATGTATGTGTTAAATAAGAGTTGCCGTTTAGGGTCATGTGTGCTTCATGATTGACCCACCAAGGCACTTGTGGCTTTATATACTGTTATGTTATGTTATGTTATGACATTAATTACATTAATGCTTATAATTAAGTAGGAGTTTATTCCTGTGCCTTATTGGTTGTTTTTATTGGACTGTACTATTTCTAATATGCTTTGGCTATTTCTTGTCCATAGCACTCATGTGCATTTATGACTACATAAACCCTAATCATTATGTACTACAATCCCCAGTATCATTCCCATGTGGTTTTTGGTGAGAGAACCAACTTCGAAATTTTAATCTCTTAATCATTGCAACTAAGGTAAAACTCAACTGAACAACAGCATTAAATAAATGCTTCACATTCTGCTTGGGACATGTTACATTCAAATTTTTCTCAACATATATATTCAAATAAAATTATTTAAAAATCCAAATTCAAGCTTTATCTAATAATATTTACTGTTTTAACAATTATGCAGTTATTGTGTTAGTTGTTAACTAAATGTTAAATATGTAATGTTTTAAATATAAAAATTATGTTAGTTAAAACGTTGAATGTTGTTCTATCCATTTCAATATATAAGTCGTTTAAAATTTTATAGGGAGATTAAAGAAGTAATTTCTAAAATTATAATTAAACAAAGGATAATTTTATCTTAAAATCAATAATAACTTGTAAAAATAGTTATTATATTTAATGTGAATAAAAATAAAATAAAAAAATATTATTTATTATTTTTTAAAATATTTAAAATGTCTTATATTTTAAAACGAATCAATTACCAAGAAGCTGTTATCAAACAGGGCGCGTAATTTATTAATCTACCTAACTAACGAAAAGAAGAGTAACAAAATTGAACAAAACAGTTGTTAGTACAAAAGAAAACGGTGCAAGTAAACCAGCTGTCAGTGGGTCTTTGATTAGACTAGAATGGTGGGAGGCATTCAAAATCCAGCCCAGCCCACTTTTAGTAAAAGGTCTGCTTTGAATCTTTTGATTGATTGATCAGCAGGGCACGAAACACCATATCACAATCTTCCTCTGCCGTCTGATAAACATCAATCAACTTGATCCACACAAACTAAAATGTGTGTGCAAAGTTGCAAGCCAAACACAACATTCAGACAATGCTTTTTTTTTGGACCATTCAAACTAACTGGTGGTCCCACATTAGCACAATGAATCAACCCCCGTCAGCATGCCAAGACGTGGACCCACCGGCAAAAAATGACTGCCATCACCCTTCTCTCTACGGCGGTCTATCAAAGCTTTATAATTACTACTAATTCCCAAATAATCCAGCTTAGTGTATTACAAGATTTTATTTTTTAAAATTATATTATGATATTTTAAAGAATTATAATTAGAGCTCTGTGTTTTACTATGTAATTTCTTATAATTTAAACCATACCTACATTAACTGTAATAACAGTGGATAACAAATTTGAATCCAATGGATTTTATTATTTCAATCATTAACTTCCATTCCATAGATTGTAAATTCATTAATGGGTCCAATTCAAAGAACAAATGGAATTCTCTGTAATAAATTGTAGAGGTGGAGAGATAACATAAATGACCCTACAATGGTGAAGAACGTGAAGGAAAAAGTATGATAAAGAGAGAAACAATGGTGCCCCATATAAGAAGGTAAGCTAAAAAGAAAGGAAAAGCTGAAATTTGAAATTGTGTGTACTAACCATATATTTTCCTTTGGTCCCATTATCTTTCTTTCTTCTTTCTTTCTCTCTCACACACACACACACACACATATATATTTTTCTTGCTTTACATGCACCAAACAGCAACAACATGGTATGATCACCTTTGCCATTATTTGGCCCCCCCAAAACATTATTATTATTATTATTATATACAAAATATGAAAAATAATAAAAGTGGTGACCACATTTCCGTATCCCAAGACACAACCCTTTCTTCTTTATTGTGTTTATCATTATTTTTCTTTCCCTTTTATCGCCGTTGACTGACTCTACTTCTAAAATCATCTACCCATGTCATGTTTCTCACTCTCTTTTCCACAACCACTACATACATAAATAGCACTCTTTTGTTCCCTTCGTTTTAGTATATAGAAATAAACAAGCAAACAAACTCACTCCATGGCTTTTACTTCTACTGCTAATTTCGTCCATGGATCTTCCTTAGCTTGCTGGGATCTTCAAAATCTTGGACTTCTCAATCCAGACATGTCTTTAGGTACTATTACTGATTTGCTAACATTTTTTGAAAAATTAGATTGTTTTGGTTGATTCTTTTAATTTTTTTGCAGCTTCTTCTTCTTCTCCGTTTTTCTCTTCTCTGGACTCTGATTTCTCTACTGGGTATTTAGAAGATGCTTTGCTCGAATTTAGTGAACGTTCAAAGCGACGACGTTTGCTTTTGTACACTGGTGATCATCATCAGATCAAAAAATCAAATGATCATCTTGCAAAGGTATAAATATCATTAAGGGATTAATTTATTATGATAATTTTCAATGATTAATTGATGCTAATGTTACGTAGAGCTACTGCAATGCAAACTATGATTGGGAAATGTCTGAGAATTTTAGTTGCATGAGCTACATTACGAGCAGCATTAATGGAGTTTCAGGTGATTATTTTTATTTTAATTATTAAAAATTTAATAATCATTGCCTGTTTTACTTAATGAAGTATGTATAGATCAATTATTTTTCTTAAATATGCGCAGATGGACCCATAAGCACATCAATAAGCGATATAAGCGAGGAAGCAAACGCAATTACAGAAATGAAAACACCAGAAGAGGAATTAATATCAGCTTCCCATGAAACTCTCGATTCATCATCTTCTCCCTATAAAGACTCAGCTAAGACCAAATCCATTTTCGACAAGGAAAACCAGTTTCAATCAGGTAAGTAAAGCAGGAATCCCATTTTTCACTTTTTATTCAGGTAATAACAGTCCTGACTCCAGGTTTGGAACCTAGTCTTACAAGTTTTGATTAATTTATTTGGTGTTTTTAGATGATGAAGAGAAGAGAAAGAAGAGGGTAATAACAAGGGTAGTATATCCATTTGCACTGGTGAAACCAGGAGGAGTTGAAGGAGACATGACTATAAATGATATAAACGAAAGGATCTTGATGCCGCCAACGAGGCCGGTAAGGCATCCTGTAGGTGATTTTGCTTGTAGGCCATGTGTGTCGGCAGACGGACTAGGCCTTTCAGGGAAAGCTGTGGTGGCTCTTACAAGAATTCACACGCAAGGGAGAGGCACAATCACTATTATTAGAACCAAAGGTTAAATCTCAGAAATATGAAATATCAGTACTCGTTTTGCTGTGCTTAGTTAGTTCTTGTTTTCTCTCTCTCCCTCTTTGTTTGAATTGTATAGAAAATATATGGTTGTAAAATAGTCACTTTCTAGAGTTATAGACTCTATTTGCTTATTAATGTTGAAACCTCAAACTTCATCTTCCAAATAGTACAAGAAAAAACAGTTTCAACGGTCAAAATGAATTTTACTTAGTAATTTTACCCGTCCAGACTCGAGGATTCAGTTCTATTAATTTATCTATGAATCAAATCAATCAAAATAAAAAATTTATTCAGTTCTATTAATTTATCTATGAATCAAATCAATCAAAATAAAAAATTTATTCAGTTCTATTAATTTATCTATGAATCAAATCAATCAAAATAAAAAATTTATTCAGTTCTATTAATTTATCTATGAATCAAATCAATCAAAATAAAAAATTTCGATCAGGGACGATGAGTTTCATGCAGTTCACTATTACGCTAAAAAACAAAAGGTTAAATGCCGAAATATAAATTATCAGTAGCTCCGTTTTTGCTGTGCTTAAGTTAGTTCTGTTTTCTCTCTCGTACGCTCCTTTGTTTGAATTGTTAGTAGGAAATATATGGTGCTGTAAATAGTCAGCTTATTTCTGAGAGTTATAAGACTCTATTCCTTAGGGCTTATTAAATTAGTTAAACCTCAACCCACTTCATCTTCCAAATAGTGACAATCAGAAAAAACAGAATTTCAAGCGGTCAAAAATGATCGTTTTATGGCTTATAAATAACTTAACGCGCGTCCGACTGCGAGATTTCAGTTCTATAATTTATCTATGAATCAAATCAATCAAAATCAAAATTCAGTTCTATTAATTTATCTATGAATCAAATCAATCAAAATAAAAAATTTATTCAGTTCTATTAATTTATCTATGAATCAAATCAATCAAAATAAAAAATTTTAAAAAATTATTTTCATTTTGTACCTTTTATTTTTCCGTAAATGATCAGAAATAATCTCATTTAAATAAGTAATAACTTTTTATTAGTTTGGTCCATGATAAAATAAGTATAGGTGAGTCAATTTCTTGCTTGCAAGGTACCAAATGTATATGTAAAGGAAAAAAAATTAACTATTATGAAATTTTTAATATTAAAACAAGAAAATTAACTTCAAATTTGAATTCTAATGATTTTTAAAGTAACATTTTTCTTATTGATGTTATCATATATATAATTCTTTTTGTCAAATATCAGTTTAAAGAATAATATGGAAGAAAATTTTATAAGTAGACTTATAAGATTTTATAGAAGTTATGGTTTATATATATGGTGGTGGTTAAAGATTGGTAAACCCAACAAGAAAAGTTTTCTTTGATCTGAACTCGAATGGAAGTGTGTAAGGGAAAAAAGAAAAAAGTGAAAAAAAGAAAGTGAGAAGAAGAAGAAGAAGAAGAAGAAAAAGAAAAAGTAACATATATATATATATATATTAATGGAATCCAAAATGAAGAGTGGCTAAAAATTGTTTGTCAGACAGAGACACAACTCCATTGATGTCATGCCAATGTTTTGGTATGGTTTGGTACAATGGTAAAAGTTGATGAACAATAGATCTGCATGCCTGCCCTGAAGCAACCTCTCTCTCACAATTCACCAAATAAGGCTGGCACTACCTGATATAATTGTATGTAGTGGGATTCGTCAGGTATATTCACATTTTTTTTTTTTTATCATATATATATCATCACCTAGCATGGAATCCAATCTTCAACTTCTCATAATTAATCTAATTAAGCATAGACAAGATCTTTAATTTCTCACAATGAAAAATCAAAATATATGTATCAACACAAACACTCCATGAAGATTGGTGTTTTAACTGGTGAATGAATGATGAAACAAAACCAAGTCAAAAATGATAAATAGTTATTTCTGGTTTTTTCTTCAAAACAATGCATGTCTTCTTTTTTTGGCACATTGGAAACACAATTCTTCTATCATGACATGATTACTTAGGTATAATAATAAAAGACTGCATGCCCACTCTGTTTGGGAATGGAATCTAGCTAATTACAAAGACATTATCAACTATACTATTTTTGTATGTGGATATACAGTCTCACTTCTGTTTCTCATTCTACGTGTACCCATTATAGACTATTCAAGTTAACAAATAAGCATATATATATATATATATATGTTTGGGAATGGAATCTAGCTAATTACAAAGACATTATCAACTATACTATTTTTGTATGTGGATATACAGTCTCACTTCTGTTTCTCATTCTACGTGTACCCATTATAGACTATTCAAGTTAACAAATAAGCATATATATATATATATATATATTCAATATTGATTTGAGTGGTAATTTTTGGAACAACGAGAATATAAATTGAATTAAAAAAAAAAAAACTTATTTGGAAGGAAAAAAAAGAAGTCACACTTCTAATAGAAAATAAGTAGATATATAGGCAGGCAAGATAGCTCCTAAAATTCATAGTGCTGAAACCAGCATTAGTCAAATATAATTGTTAATTTTAGAGTTGTTATCTAAATTCTTCATCTGCTGTAGCTGTAGAATGTCCTCTTCTACATATGTCAACACCCACCATGTTCAAAAGTCACGAACTTGAAGACAATATCTAACACGTGGGTCCCAATATCAGACACACCTGAACCAAACCTTTGTCTATCAGTATCTGCATCCTTGATCACCACCATTAAACACTCTCAATCAAGACTTATTCATCTAATCCTGCGGTGTTGATTTGAGTCAGCCCAACACATGTATGAAAGACATCGCATTCATAGCTGGACTGCAAAAAAAAGTCCATGTAGTGGCTGAAACGTTGGGTTGGGTGGGTTGTGACAAATTAAGTTATTATATATACAGTGGTACAGTATAAGAATTAGGGTTTTGTCTCTTTCCTTTGACAATGATTACTATGGTTTAGGTGAAGAAGCTTTTGACCTTTGGATGACATGTTTGTTTTCATTGCAAAATCTAATCATAATGTAGGCCCCACTTAGATAATTGTCTGATTTTAATTTAAATTTCAAGTTAGCTTTACTTAAATAAAATTGTTTACTCTTTATCTTAATTTCTAAATTCATTTGATTTTTTCATAATTTATATTACATATCTATTTTTCAAATTTCTTGAATATTATAGAATAAATAGATTAAATTATTTTTAATGAAGAATGTTTTCTATTTTTTAAATTATTACAATTTATATGAAATATTTAGAATTTAAAAAGTAAAGATATAATTGATTAATTATATAAAGTGGAAGGTTTTTAATTAGATAAGGGAAGGATGTAGAATTGGTTTCTTTTCCTGGTAGACCTGCCATCACTTTTGTCTTTGGCATGGAGAATAAATAATATATTCTACCAGTCATACAAAAGGTATATATATTGTACTTTATTTTTATTTTTATTTTTTGTTCATTATTCTATGCAAAGAGAGAAACAGTAAAATAGAAATAGAAAAAGAAAAACCTAGATATACGTGAGAATATCTTTAACTGCTTTTGCTTTATTTATTTATTTTTTCCAAATCCCAAATGGAGAGAATTGGATTCTCCTTGTAATTTTATTATTGGGATTTCCACCAAAGATTTAATTATGTATACTTTTAGGAGATAATATCAACTTAAACGGTTACTTAATTACTAATTAATTAATCAGCTCTTTCTGGTTGCCAAAAATGATGTCAAAAAGACCATTCTGTGATGTCAGGTGCTTTTTGGAATTATTTGCAAAGAAAAAAGGTTTGTATATTTTTGCACTTGGGCCAATGTCCGGACTGCGTAAGGCCCATCCATTTGCAAATCCAACAGGATAAAGACTGTCTGGGTTCAATTGGCCCAATTGGTTATCAAACTGGCCTGATTAACCCCAAAACCTGCAATGGAATCCATTACCATTTATTCAGGCCCGTCTTGTTTGGTATTATTTTTTGATTTTTTATTATTAATTTTTAAAGAAAAATCTATTATTGAAATATATTTATTTTTGTTCTCTTAAAACAAAAAGACACTTTTTTTTTTTTGATATTTTAAAAGAGTTATATCTTATTTTCAAATCTTAAAGGAGTAAAACAAGTTTTTTTATAACTAAAAACCACAAATAGAGAAAAGATTATTCAATATATTTTCTAAATTAAATATAAAATTTACTAATATATAACAAAACAAAAAAGTGATGGGAAAATTCCTTTTTAAAATTGGTCGAGTAAAATTGTTTTATGTCATTTTTTATGATTTTTTCTGACTTTATCTGTAAATATATATTATATTTTTTATTTTGAAAATAAACAATTTATAACTTAATAGCATTCTTTATTTGTCCAGCACTAATGAATGTAACCAAAAAAAAAAAAAAATGCACAACTATGAATGTAACCAAAAAAAAAAAAATCGATAAATAACGTAATTAGTCATAAATACATAAAAAAAAAAAAGATTTTTAATCATTAAAGAATTAAAATTTTAAAAAAAAAAGTTCCAATCAATGCCCATAATTTTTTGTTCGTCACCTAAAATTAATCTGGGAAAAAAACGACAAAAAAAAAAAAAAATCGATAAATACGTAATTAGTCATAAATACAAAAAAAAAAAAAAAAGATTTTTAATCATTAAAGAATTAAAATTTTAAAAAAAAAAAGTCAATCAATGCCCCATAATTTTTTGTTCGTCACCTAATTAATCTGGAAAAAAACGACAAATTTTCCTCAATATTGCTATCTCATCCCTCTTTAATTATCCTAATTAAAAGATAAACTCCATAACGAAGAAAAACAAGTAGAAAAAACGAGAACTTGAACAATTAACTGAATCCATCAAAGTCTTTCTGATTCATGTAGCTTATCATCTTCCATTATTTAATTAATCACAGTTTTGATACCCGAACGCAGCAGCTTTACTAACATTTACGTCTAAAAAAAAACTTTAGTTTAATAATTTATTAATTTAATTAATTAAATACGGAATAAAAATATATGGGTAGATGTTGGTAGGTAACGAAGGACTCTTATTATGAAACCTAATTAGAGTATCTGTATCACTTTCAGCATCTTCTATAAATATCTCATGGCTTGTTTTATTCAATTAGCTAGAGAACATGCATGTTATATATATGTGTGTGTGTGTGTGTTTAACTTGTTAAGCGAAATTCCTAGGTCAAAGATTTCAAGTTCTTGAAATAATGGGAAAGAAAGTAAGTTCAAGAATACCCAAGAATGAGAAGAAGCAACTGATGATCAACAATTTGATTGGTGAGTTAAGGCCTAAGGTTTATATCACTGACACGTCAAGCTTCAAGAGGCTTGTTCAAGAGCTAACTAGTAATAGAGACACAATTTTACCAGTGCAGAGTAGAGGAAGTGAAATGGTGTCTGTGCGAGATACGGCAGAGGTCCAAGAATGTAACAATAACTTGGAAACATCTGTAAGTGATGGTTCTGTTGATTCGTTTGATGATTTGCAGAAACAAGAACATTTATTGATCAATCAAACGGTGGATGGTTATAAGGATATTGAATCTTGGCTCTTGGATTCATATTAGTTTGACATGTCCAAAAATTTCATTTGCGACTGCATGAAAGCTATCCCGTTATTCTCCTCCTTGCTAATTCAAAGAAGGTTTACCCCAGTTTTACGATAGACAATCCTATGAAGCTATCAGAAGAAACAAGATTTCACTGTTATCCCTTCATTATATTTATTCATTAGTTATTTTAGAGGAAATTTCAATTTCATAACCAATTATTCATGATTGGCCAAATCATTGGCAAAAATAATATCCAAATACCTTAATTATTTTGTTTGAAATAATTACTTGGTCAAGAAAAGTTTATACCAGAAAAGACAACGTGTTTGTTATAGTTGAAATTCTTTAGTTCAATTTAACTTTCGTTTATTTTGGTTTAAAAAAAAAAAAAGAAAAGTTAAAGTTTGTCCTAAATTTTTCACCGACTGATATATGGATATCCTTTTATTTAAAGCTTCGTTTATTTCTAAAAATAACTCATCTTTAATAAATACTAGCATTAGAATCTGCGCATCTATAATATTTAAAAATAAAATAATTTTTTATAATTTCGACATAAACATAATATGAAAATTAGACGGTTAACACGGATATAACACGTTTAACCCCGTTTAATATCATAAACATATTGAGTGGGTCGTGTTGACTCATATACAATTCGTGTAACCCGCTTAATATTATAAATAGGTTAAATGGATGCGTTGACTAAGGAGTATGAACCACATCCACATATGGTTGTTGTGGACTAGAAAATATCAGATGAGTTTATTAATCAAGTATCATCATCATCTCAAAGAAATTATTAAATGAATGTTTAGCATGAGATATAGACCCATCACGTATGCCGAAACACACCGCAAAAGTATTGAAGCAGATACTATATATGGAAATGGAGTTGCCTAGTCGTCACATCTCAAAATACTATTTTCCTATGAACTTTTTGTTGACTAGTAGTCACATACTATACTTGCACTAAAACTACCAAACGAATTGTATGTTTTAGTGAAAAGGCAAATTGATAACTTAAAATTTTCATTTTGTATTGAAACCACCGATTGGGTTGATGGTCTCAATACAAAATAAAAATTAAATTTTATTCATATAATTACTTTTTGCTACTTATCACTGTGGGTTACTTTTTCTATCAAACTGAAACCGCCAATTGAGTTGTGGTTTTAGTGCAACACTCTCCTTCCGTAGCAAGATAAATATTAGATCGGTGAATAGTTTTGAAACTGACAAATACTTTTTTAAAGAGTATTATTTTTGTCAAAAACCCTTAATCTCATGCATATAAATAATTACCACTGGTTATACTTAAAAAAAAAAAAAAGCGCGGTGCGTAAGCAACAACGACCAATTCCAAAGACCAACAGATGAATAGAAAATTAGTAATGAGTCGCGAGAGGAGACTTGAAACTAGCAGGAGTCAGCACTTGTTGAGAGCGAGAGCGAGGCTTATGACAAGAACAAGAACAAGAACGAGTATTATAAATCCTACACACGCCTCCTTACTCGGTAAGAACGCGTTATTGCTCTTCTCTTAATAATCATGTCGGTAAGAACCAGGTGTCACCACGATCCATCTAACATTCTCCCTCCTCGTCTTTCTCACTCTCTGTTTTTTTCTTGTCGTCCATTACGTGTCTGCTCCGCCGCTCCACATGGAAGCACCGCCAAAACCATCACGGCGAAGCGCCGCCGCTTCTCCTCGCTTGATTCCTAAACGAGGCGGAATTCTCAATAATTCTATAAAAGAAATCTGCTCTTTTTTGTGTTTCTGTTTCGGAAAACAGAGTAGTCCTTCTGAGAAAAGCGCTTAATTAGTTCTTTAGGTACTTTTAAATAATCTGATTAACTTAATTAGTTATTAAGTCTAAAAGACAAATTACCCTTAATTAAGTTAAACTAGTATTGGCGATTTTGGTTATCTTGCTTCAGTTTCGTTCTCTGTGTTTTCTTCAACAATGTAGCTTTAGAATGTTTTTGACTCTGAATTTGTAACTGTCAGAATTTAATGGAATTCATTTGCAATTTTTGCCTTTCTAACTGTTCGGCATTGCTTTCTAAAGAAAATTTACGTAACTAAATGTGATATATATATATATGCATTTCATTACTGATGTTCTTTCTTCTAATAATAATAATAAAAAAAACTTTTAATTATTGATGACAACGATTCAGTTGGAAATTAGAACCAACGAAAATCCAAACTATTAAAACTAGAATCAAATTATTAAACAATTTTAGTTTCAAATTAGAATTGATTTTCGGGTGTTTACAATTTTATTTTGATTTCTTATTTTTTAAATCGAAATAAGTTTGGCTCCACACTGACAATTTCTATTTGAATTCGTAAAAAGAAATTATAAAATTAAAGACTGTAAAATAAACTTAATAGTCTTTCATTTTTTAAAATAAGTTTAGATATTATTAAATTTTTTTCATCTTTTTTACTCTTACTTATTATTATTATTATTATTATTATGCCACAAAATTAAAAGAAAAATTGAAAAAGTTATCTGATCTCGGTTCCAAACTGGAACCGAACTGACCGTTTCGGAATCACCTTAGAGCGATTTGGTCGTGGTTCTATCCTTTTTGGAACCAAACCAAATTCGAAACCCGTGGTTATTGAGCTGTGGTCATCCGCACGAGTAAACGGGACAAGTGGACACTCTGAAATTGGTAGTCTTCCCTCTGCAAAATCATTGTCTATTCTATGGTCTAAGATATAGGATATAGAATAGAAAAGAAATACGTAACTAACTCATCTTGGTTATCTGTGCCATACATAGAGAAAAAATTTTTGAAATAAGGGTAAACAATGGAAGGAGGCGGGGCAGCGGCGGCGATGGGGCTGAGGGAGGTGGTGGTTGACTCCACTTCCCCTCACATCCTCAACACTCACCTCATTCAGTACCATAATGGTTTCACTCCACCTAAGTGTCACACCAAGGTAGGTTCTCTCTTCTTCTCTGTATAAACGCATTCTGAATCTTCGGTTTTGATTAAACAGTTCTTTTTGAAATGTAGAATCTTCTTTGAGTTTCGATTGATGGGTTGTTAAAATTTGTTAGGAATTTTGGTTTTTACTGCGAGTAATTGTGCATATCAGGAAAAGGGATGGTGGAGGACAGTAGTACTAGCATATAAGACACTTGGAGTAGTATTTGGAGGGCTTGTAACTTCACCTCTATACGTGTACCCATCAATGCCATTGAAGTCTCCAACGGAAGAGGACTACCTTGGAATCTATAGTATCATGTTTTGGACTCTTACTCTTATTGGGGTAGTCAAATATTGCTGTTTAGCCCTCATGGCTGATGATCACGGTGAAGGTATATATACATCCAACCAATTTTAGTTTTTTACGTTATAGTAATGTGGTTCTTCACTTTGTTACTGTAATTTGTAAACCTTCAAGAAGTTTTCCTTTGGATTAGCTGATAAAAATGTTGGTAGCAGCATTAATTTTTACCTTTTTAATAGCTTGGTTTACACATTCTGGGGTTTCTAAAGAAAAATTGTCATTTTATTATTCTCGACTTGGATTTCAAATGAAATATTTAGACCTTGCAGAATTCTTGAATTGTACATGTATTATACTATAAAAATACCCACTTATTTATTATTTGAATAGGACAATCTAAATGAATTGTGATTGTCATATCATTGAAGTTTGTTCTTATAGTTGATGTGATTAAGCCCTGATTTTTTCAGTAGTTGGTATCTGCAAGCAAGAGGTTATTTCTTATCGTCGAGTAACAATCAAAAAGTATTAAAGGCCAATTATTTTCTGATATTCAATCCTTAATTCGTTAGACAGGAAACGCAAATAGTTGTTGACATTGTGATAACTGATTCCTGCAGGTGGAACATTTGCCTTGTACTCTTTGCTATGCAGAAATATAAATATCAAAATCCTTTCTTCCAAAAGGGTAGAGTCAAGCTCACGCTCTGTCTCTCATGAAGGCATTGGTAGTAAGAGTTGGCTCGGCAAATTTTTTGAAAGAAGTATAGTTGCTAGAAGGGTGCTACTTTTCATTGCTATGTTAGGAACGTGTATGCTAATTGGAGATGGCATACTTACCCCGGCAATCTCAGGTTTTTCTCACACTTTCTTTTTTAAGTAAAATTTCAAAAATGTGTTTTTCTCCCCCCTGTTTTGATTGTTTTCTTTAAGTTTATATCTCTTGCCAGTATTGTCTGCAATGGATGGAGTGAGAGCACCATTTCCTTCGGTCAAGAAATGTAAGTATTCACCTCGAATTCCATAACTTGTGAGCAATCTTGAGAAACATATAAATTACACCATCAAATGTTAAGAGCAGCCTATGTGCGCTCAGCTCTTGTCCGATTAATCCAAGTCTCTATGGAACGATTCACTTTGACTATGATGTAATTCCACTTTTTATAGCTTAAATAAAATATAATATTAAAAAGCTCAAGAAAAATACTTTAATGTGGTGTTCTGCAAGATTTTGGTAATCGGTATGTACTTTATTTTGGAAGTTATGTTTAATGAGTGGCTATGCTCAGAAGTTATCCTTGTGTCACTTGAAAATGAAATTTCATAACTTTAGTGAATTATTGTGCTTTTATTTTTAGTTTTTGCAATTGGGCTTGTTCCTCATGAGATTAAAAAGTTACTGGTATATGATGCTGCAGCTTTGGTGGAAGTTCTTTCTGCAGTGATTCTGGTTGTTCTGTTTCTGTTACAAAAGTTTGGCACCTCTCGAGTATGTTTTCTTTTTTCCCCTATCATGGGTGCGTGGACCTTGTGTACTCCACTGGTGGGGACTTATAGCATACTACGACATTACCCAAGCATTTTCAAAGCTTTGTCACCACATTACATATTCCACTACTTTTGGAGAAATGGAAAGGAAGGCTGGTTGTCGCTCGGTGGTACTATTCTCTGTATCACAGGTGAGCTGCTTTAATTTATGCTGGTCTTGAACCATAAATTCAGCCCTTTTCATCCATTTAATGTTGACTTATATGAATTCACCCACTCTTCAGTTGGCCCTCAAATAAATTGCCATCAAACGTACAGCACTATCATTTTCTTATTTGAACAATTTGGAGAAGGCTAAATATCTATCCCAGCCATCTGAAATAGTCTAGACCGTATGGGAACTTCCAGATTTTGATTTCCAAAAAGAAACTTATGTATTAAATTGCAAGGAAATATTAATTTTGGTTTAGAGATTTCAAGTCTGATCCTCCATTAGATGGTGAGAGTTGCGGAATTTAGTTGCATTATAATATCTGATTTCCTTATAAGTTGTTCTTTCTGCACACAGGCTCTGAGGCAATGTTTGCTGATCTTGGTCATTTTAACAGGAGTTCTATCCAGGTTAACTTTTAATTTTCATCATTGTTTTTGTTTTTTGGTTTAATGTACACGTATAATGTGGCTTCCTCAAAAATTCTTTCCCAACAGATCGCTTTTTTGTTTACAATATATCCCTCACTTGTTCTGACGTATGCGGGGCAAACAGCATACCTTATCAAGAACCCTAATGATCATAATGATGGATTTTACAAGTTTATTCCGCATAAAGTTTATTGGCCAATCTTTGTGATTTCCACATTGGCAGCAATCGTTGCAAGCCAGTCACTGATATCAGCCACCTTTTCTGTCATCAAGCAATCTGTAGTCCTGGACTATTTCCCTCGAGTTAAGGTGGTGCATACATCTTCTAACAAAGAGGGTGAAGTTTACTCCCCAGAAGTCAATTACATCCTTATGGTCCTTTGCATTGCAGTTATACTTATTTTTGGAGACGGAAAAGATATCGGAAATGCTTTTGGTTAGTAAAACCAACTTTCTTTATATTGCGTTGAGCTGCCATTAACTGCTATTTCTGGTTGCTTTGTTGTGATTTAAGGGTGTGAAAAACACGTGTCTAAAATTGGTTGATTGAATCTTGCGATTAGATCATTACATATTGATTGTCTTTGATCCATCATTTTCAGTTTGAAAAACTAATTAATTTTTATATTGCTCGTCCAACCTATTCACTTGTTGAACCTTGTTTTCAGGTGTTGTTGTTAGTCTAGTAATGCTGATTACCACAGTATTACTTGCACTAGTAATGATCATAATTTGGAGGACTCCACCATTGCTGGTTGCACTTTACCTCTCTGTATTTTTTACAATGGAAGGTGTTTATGTCAGTTCAGTTTTAACTAAAATATCTGAGGGTGGATGGATTCCATTTGCCATATCTTTTATCCTTGCATTCATCATGTTTGGCTGGTTCTATGGAAGGCAAAGAAAGACAGATTATGAGTTAACTCACAAGATAGACATGGGAAGACTTGAAATGTTATTGTCCGAGCCGGGCGTCCAACGGGTTCCTGGATTATGTTTCTTTTACACAAATATTCAAGATGGCCTGACTCCGATCCTCGGACATTATGTTAAAAACATGAAATCTCTACACAAAGTAACTATTTTCACCACGCTTCGATACTTGTTGGTTCCTAAGGTTGATCCAAATGAGAGGACTGTTGTCAACAAATTGGGTCACAGAACTTATGGGTGTGTAATTCAATATGGCTATGCAGATTCTCTAAATCTTGAAGGAGATGACTTTGTAACTCAAGTTACTGATAGCTTGCGGCTGCATATACAAAACGGTCGCGGCTGTTTACCAGATGATTCTCTAGAGGTTCAAGAAGAGATGTCCGCCTTCGAAGAGGCAAAGCGGGCTGGCGTTGTTCACATTCGGGGGAAGACGAGGTTTTATATAGGCAAGAACTGTGGCTGGTTTGATAGAATCATGCTTGCATTTTATGAAGTCATGCACAGTAATTGTAGGTCTGCACTGCCAGCTCTTGGTGTGCCGCCACAACAACGAATTGAGGTTGGAATGTTATACGAGGCTTGAATTAATGTTATGATGGGATTTAATTACACTTTTTATATCTGAGTTGTATACACAGGAATAAAAAATTATCATGGCAGGAGATTACAGAGTGAATTTAATTATGTAACATTTTTTAATCCACTAAGAAGGATGAATAAAAATACATTCTTTATTCTTATGCTTAGACCATTGAGTTGTGGTATTTCTTTTCCTGTTTTATAGTAGTTCTATCCAGCGGCGAGTAAATTCATTGAGTTGAATCTCATGCACGGTTTTAAATGAGAGAAAGAAGTGAGAAATTCTCTTTTCAACTAATTTCATCGAGCAACAGTGAACGAGAGCTGGAAATTTGAGGAAAAGAAGATCAAAGATCTCAGGCATTGTTTTTGGTGAGTTTCTTGTTGGAATTAGATGCTTAGCTTTGTTCACTCGTATAGTTGTGACATTATAAGTGATATGTAAAACGTCTCCAGTCAACCACCAGTGATTGAAATTTAGTGTCAACATTTTTACGACTCTGACTGATGGTGGAATTTAAGAGGAAGCAGGGGGATAATTAGGTCAAAAGATCATTTTAATTTGCTAGCAAATATTGAACTTTGGTATTGGATCTGGAAAATGCGTTTCATTCAAAAGAACTTTTATAAAAGGAAACTCCATTCATGCAGAATTCCTTTACTCGTTGGCAACATTTATAAGTTACTCATCATCTCACCACTGTGGTGTATTTCTGATTTTCTATTAAATGCTTATAAGGTTAATGCATTGTTTCACCTGAGCTTGAGCTTTATGTTGTGCGTAATTTCACTTTATTTTGACTTGTATGTTAATTTCACTTTGATTTTTAGCTGACACAGATGTATTAAGTTAATTCAAATCTAAAGTCAAGAGTAAACACTACAACAATGTATTTTTTTTTATTCACAATTTAAGTCTTAATTCAATTTAGGGTAGGGTACTATTATAACGGAAAGTCAAAGTTCAAGATAAAATTGACATAAAGATCAAATGTTGATCAGGTATGCGAAATTTGAGGGAATAGCAATTACAGCTCATTTGATTCATTGAATAGCATATGAGAATAGCAAAATTATAACTCTAAATTTGTTGAATTTCTAAATATGTAAATTTAAAGGGTTTTAATTTGAAATAAACGAAGCCATCTAATCCATTCCACTGGTAAGCACCCGAAAACTAAAAAGAAAAAGAATTCCACTCATCCAACCATTCACTATAAGACTCGAGTTTCACAGCCTCCTGCAAACTCTAATTTATTATTTAATTGCTTGTTTGACAACCTAATCATCACATTGAACGAAAGCTGAATTGAGGATAGGCACAAAGCAAAAACAAACCAACAAGTATCATCGACACACTAGACATATCCATTACATCATTCTCATACTGATTTTTCAATGTGTTTGACTGCTACAACTTGGTCAATGAGATTATCCATAATCCCTCGACATTCTCCACTTATGCTTTGACCAAAGAACCAAAGAACCAAAGCAAGGATACTGGCATTTCTATTACAAATGATGGAACAAAGATACAAATTTAAGTTTCATGCTCAATATCAATTAAACAAACTTTCTAAATTACTCAATATACCTTCTCATGCAGATACTTTTCAACACAGGAGCACCAAATTCAATTAAACTCAACATAAGATATTCACAATGCAATTTTAAGTAGCTTGACGAAAGGAAAGCCTACTTGGTGAGTCGATTCTTATTATGTGGTCATCTTCGGGACCAGATTCATCACTTGAATCATCTAAGGCATGGCTCTCGTTTCTGTCTGTATTCTGTTGTAGGGGAATAGGAACATTGGATGCTGACTTAGGCCTTTTTATTCCCAGGTTCTTCCTTACAGTAGTAGATCCTTCTGATTTAACAGAAACCAGTATATGGCTCTTAAATGATGTAGCTCTTGGGAATGACATGCTTTGTGATCGTTGGACTAGATGGCTTGAAGATGCTCTCGTACGCCATTGCATGTCAACCTGATGAAACGGAAAAATAATACAGTAAATTCAAAAGCACATTATTTGTGATTACACAAGCAATGATTTCAGTGAACCTATAACATTCATCAGCGGTCATTCAAAAGCACACTTAAATGACTGCAACAGGCCCTTTAATTTTTCTCCAAAAGTAAACTGCTATAAATTATTGAACAAAAAATCTTCCTATCTATCACTATATGATTAAGTATACAACCCCAAAGATAGTTTATCACTATATGATTAAGTATACAACCCCAAAGATAGTTTATCGTGCATGCAGTTATTATCCTATGGGAACAAAAGTAAATTGACCATACCATGCTGCCAAAGATGCTCAGCTGCATTGCTCTTGCAGACAAGCTATTTGGTTGTCTATTTTCAAGGTCCTTTTGAGATTTTGCCTTGTAGAAACTATCAGGCCAGCTCATAAGTTCATGCTCTTTGCTTGGAGGTCTATGGAGATGTTCGCCTGTATGTGGTACAAAAGAAGAAATTCTTCGCATAGCAGTATCAGCTTCAAAGGCTGCCATGTCAAAAATTATCACTCTCGATCTTGTCTCAACTTGATACCAGGATCTTTGATGAGAGAAACTGGCTGACTTGGAACCTGCATGTACCGGTTCAATAAACTTAATTTTATATTTTATTTGTCAAGGCTCACTACAAAACAAAAGAAACAGCTGATAGCTCAACATATCAAAATTAAAATGCATCTGAAAGTAGTTGATCTTGCTCACTAATCAAAATGGATACGAGTAATTAGAAATAGTGACAAAGATATAAACAGTGACAAAAATAAAAATCCAACAGAGTATACATCGTCAGATACTTCATCAATTCATTATTAGCATAAAAATTGAAAATGATTATATTATTATTCTTTGATCCATTTGTATTTTGAAAAGAATTGCGTGAGAGCATGTTCAGATTGTTTTTTTAACTGTTACACTGCTATTTATATATTATTCCTTATAATATCTTTGACACCAAAATTCTAGAATTTGGAAATAGAAGTCATAAATAATACAACAAACCCTGTAGCAATGCCTTCTAAAAGGAACCAATTAAATCGTGATAATCTTTTGCCGAACCTGAAAATACCAACATGACCTGCTTAAGAGATAGGGTTAAAACTTGATTAATCCCATTCTAGATCTCAGATGGCCTACAAACCCAAATGAACGTCTACAATTCTTAGTAGTTATAAAAAATCCCCAAAATTAAGAAATTTACTAAAATCAAGGAACAAAAAATAAAACCACAAACTTCAACCAGCCCAGAAATGATGGTTTAGGTGTTAGGGCTCAACCCAAAATCAATCCAACCTGGCCAGTTGTCACCTCTAGGGGCAACTCCAACTTGGTAATGCTGTTTCATTGTGCTCTCTTATTCTCCTCTTCCTTGTTTCATTTCTTAAATGAATAAAAAATGCAAATTTGAAAAGGCAAACATATCACAAAAGTTTCACCAGCAGCCAAACCATTCAGTGACATAAACTTGGATGTCTATAATATGTAAGCATATATATGCAGAAGCATCAAACATAGACATCATATGAACCTGCTAAGACCTTGCATTCACCCAATAGTAAAATAGTGTAATTATTAATCACGATGAAAATAAAATATATAACTAAAAGATAAAAATAAAATTATGTCAACCTCCTCTTTTTTTTATTGCTTCAAATTACCAGTTAATTCTTCACTTTGAATGCTTTGATTTCCATTTGCATGTCCGAAGCTCAGGTTTCCATGCGAAGGCAACAATGCTGCAGGTGATGTAATTAATTCCCCATGCAAGCCATGGGATTTTACATATCCTTCTAATAAAAAGCCAATGGAATGGTGAGGCAATTCTATTGTTTCTCCCCTTATGTGTGTGCCCATCATTGACCTATCTGAAACAAGTGCTCTCAAATCTTGCATTGCCATTTTTTCAAATATTTGAGGAAGCAAAACTTTGGCAAGTACTATAGCACTTTCCTGGAAAGGCAAAAGAAACCGCAGTGCTCAAGATAGCGTTAATGGTAGACCAAGAATTGTGTAAATGTACATTTTAGTCATTTTATTGTTATCATGTTAACCAGACATTAAAAAGCAACAAATCTTGTTTTGCCTTGCATATATTTGGCAACAGCATAAGTAATTTGATCACCAAGGGAATGGATACTCTTGTCCAAGTCCAAGTAACATAGGCATCACAACAGCCAAATGAAATTGATGCCATCTTGTTCTTCCCTCTCATGATTGCTCTCTTCTTTCAAATAATGAAATTTGGAAATTCAAGGTACCACTAAAAGTTAGTGTTTTTGTTTGGTCCCAAGTTCTAAAAAAGGTGAATGGTAATGAAGTTAAAAGAAAATAAGGCCAAATGGGGCTTTATCCCCTGATATGGGGTGTCATTGCTGTAAGCAGTGAGTCTCACTCTCATTTCTTTTTGCATTTTAAAGTGGGCTTGGTTAATACAGAACCACCATTTTATTTTTTTATTTTTTTTTTATTTTTTTCTTTTTTGAGAGAACTGCACAAATCAAAAATTTTTAAAATGGAATTTTGGTGGCTTCAAGTGGCGAGGATATGGTGTGAACAAATGCATAAATTCACGGCTTTCCCTGCAGTTTATGCAGATTTGGATGGAAAGAAAAGCTCACATTTGCAAAAACCATTTTTCGGTCCTTTAATTCACTGCAGGAGAAGGTGCTCGTTTTTTGCTTCTCTTTGGACTTCTGGCTTCAGGGCTTTTCAAGGGACTTTAAGTGTTATTCAATTTAATTGGCGAGCACCTTGTTCATAGCATTCTCTTTAAAGGCTTTTCTGTTCTTTTTTTCTTGTCTATCAATTGAGGAGTCTTTAATCCTACTTCCTGTATTTTCTCTATTTCTTATCAGTAAAACGGAAAAAAAAAAAAAAAAAACCGTTTATTTATTATAGTTGATTTTTGTTTTTAGATTGTATAAAATTAAAATAATGAATATATAAGATTGCATTTTCTGGAAACCTTTGTCTACTGTTTTTGCCTAAAATGTCTTTGTTGAGTCAGCCAGTTACAGAACTAGAAAATCGAACTGCTATATATATCTAAAATTTTAAAATGGAATTTGGTTGCAATGTACTGAAGACTTTCAAAGTGTGCGAGGGAATGACTAGCGCTGCCTTAGAAGTTTGACTAACAAAATGCATAAATTCTAACATCTAGAGCCGTTGAGGCGTGGTTTCCATGTTCTCATAGCAGTTTATGCAGATTTGGATGGAAAACACACCCGTGTAAGAGAAGCGCTCCGACAAACTATACTCATTAGGAGGGACCATCAACAAGAAAGACTACCAGTTTTAATTTTACTTGATGGATTATTGCTAAAACGGCCTTTAATTCACCCATTGCAAGTGAGATGAAGATTTGAGAACTCGTTTTTCCTAATGAAGAATATATGCTGTTGTTATTGGACCTTCTGGCTCAATAGGCTGTCTTAAATAGAATTGTACACAAAGGAATTGCTATATTAAGTTTATTCATTTAAAATTCGGCGAGCACCTTGTTCATCAAGCATTTCCTTTAAAGGCCTTCTGTTCTTTTTTTCTGTCTATATTGGGAGTTTTAATGCCCACTACTGACATTCCGATTACTTATATTTAGTTCTGATTATTGAAACATTACTTCTTTTATTCATCTGAAAAAATATAAATAAACAATGAAACCGGAAAAGTCTAAGAAGATAAAACACAATAATCCAAATAAACTAGACTAACACCAAGTGGATCGACACATTACCACAAAAGTCCTCTACTGTTACCACGCTTGAATAAGGGGTCTAAGAGACCTATCGAGACTTCCAATTGGACAAAGTGAAAAAAAGCGTAAGTGGGTAAGTTTTTGTCAACTTCAACAAAAAAGCAAGAGTGACCCCACAGAATCGTTATCAAGTCACAGATGTAAGGCTTGCGTCAAACTAGGCACTCAAATCATTTGCTTATATCAAATATCCCCCAGCTGTGCTCACACTTTGGGTGATGGCTGCATCATGTATTGTGTGCATTAAAATTGTTTTGTGCAGACTTGGATAAATGGGGGACGTTTTGGTCTGGCGCTTCCTCTCAGTTTAGTCACTGATCCTAAAATGTTTATCCTGAAATTAACACACTACTTCACCCGCTTGCCTAGGAACACCAACTGCCAGAAAACAGTATCTGCCGGTAAATTATAGAATTCTGAGGAATATTGTAATTGTCTTAAAGGTCAACTAAACAGTTTAACGCAATATTATCTGGATGGAAAACGAGATTCAGGAGGAAGTATTAATACACATACATAACTGGAAACGAGCTAACCTTCTTAAAAGTGCAACTTGCTTGGATACATTTACCTTGACAACTGTGTGGAGTCATTCCAACCACGCTTTTTGTCAAATCGTGTCCAATTTTTGCTGCAGATCAAAGAGAAAAGATGAGGATAATATGCATCTTGACTGACGAAATGAGGCAAAAGCAGTAAACAAAAAACAGCTCTTGATAATATTAAGTCTTTAGAACGGCTGGAGCCCCACCTCCTATGCCAGATCCATTGAATAAAAAGAGTTTTGCTACCCTAACCCTAGAAGAACATTCACGTGGTTTCATATAAAAAAAAAAAAAAAAATACCTTCCACAGAAAGTCCTCTACTGCAGGGTCTGACCTTGCTGCTGAAAGTATTTTGTCACTTTCAACAAAAAAGCAGAGTACCACAGAATCTGTTATCATGTCACAGATGTAAGGCTTCTCAACTAGCACTTCATATATGCCCAGTGTGCTCCCATGTGTAAAAGTTGGATGTAAAGAGTGCTTGTTCCTTATGTGGTTACCACCCCACTGCCAAACGGTAATTAACAGTTGTTTAACTAAAAAAGATGAGGAGATTCAGGAGGAAGAAAAAAAAACGTACTTCTTAAAAGCAACTTGCTCATTTACCTTGACAACGCCATTAGAAATAAGCCAAACACCATTCGGCTTGGAGCCCTCTTTGTAAAGTGCCACACCACGTGGTTTCATTGTTCCTTTCGTAGAACCTTCAAGTGGTTCACGTACTGTAGAAGGAAGGGCTCCCAATACAGGATGGGTGCTAATCAAATCAGTTAATTTGGGAATCTTTACCAGAGGAGGATTCCTTAGAAGCCTTTTCAAGTCAGTCTGAAACAAAAGGAAAAAATCAATTTCTAAATTAAGATACAAGATGTGCAACACAATGGCCAAACACTTGCATTCTAATCACGAAACTAAGAACCTGGACAGCATCTTGAAGATGCAGCATCTCCTTTTCTTCCAACAGTCCAGCCATCTCAAGATGTTGGACATAATCGATCAAATGGTTCAGCACAGAATAAGTAACTTGCCTGGTTTTCACAACACGCAAAACCTGAATATTATTGAATAATTAGTTCATATTCTAGCATCACCTAAGTCTACCGATACAACTTGGCTAAAATCTAGAGACAAAACAAAGTTTTTAATATTTAACATCATACTTCTTCTCAAAAAAAAATGGTCAAATCACAACTTGGCTAAAAAAATCTAGAGACACATAACACACAATTTTAAGCTCTTATAAATTTCTATGAAATTCTAATAATTCCTTACATAAATCATAAAGATTAGTACTAAAGTGATTTTATAAGTATTGTCACAAGACGCAGCAAACATTCATCAATACAATATAACTTATCTCTCTATATCTATATATATATACTATATATATTAATATTTTTGTTGTTTGGCCAAAATATCTAATTGAATACCAAATGTAAAAAACGTTTGAATTCAGGAAAAATTTTAAGGAAACAAGGAGAAAGACCAGGCAAAGCCATGAGCAAATGCATATGCTTCCTAAGCTATGTATTGGATGGTAATAACATAAAAAGTATTAAGGTTCTTTGAAAGTGTTGGTGTTATAGATTTGATCCCATTTTGGGAATCGGTCAGTTCAGCTATGGCATTTCATCATGTCAGGAAGTGCAATTTAATGTATGCAGAATATGGAATGTGTGATTTAAATTAATAAATAAAAAAAAAATGATTATCAATCAATTATCGAGAATATGGGAATTACTCTTTTAATTCCCCATGGATGTATTATAGATTTATTAATTACTGAAATTGTCACTATTAAACCATTTATTTGTCTCTTCAATTCAATTTTATACATTCTCTTACAAATATTTATCTTCAACATCTAAAAATATCAATCTTATATTCTATCGCAATAAATCTGGCACCCATCAATGAAGAACATTATCATTAACTCTTTAATTTCTTTGATAAATTGGCGGTAATCTGAGGACCGAGTAGAATCCCGAGCAACAGATTCACAGTTCTAAGGAAATCGAGAACGAAGAAATCCGACTTAGCAACTAAGTCAACAATCACAATTTCAAACGAGATAAATCCTCTGCTGTGTTTACTATATTATTTTCTCTGTTTAAATCCTTTCTCACCCAAGAGAAATCAGGAAATTCTCCGGAATCCACTACGTTAGAGCTTTTTCTGCGAAATAACCAGGGAATCTAATTATGCTGCTTTTCTCCTTCTGCCTTACTTTCACTGAATGACTGTAACAGCAATTTCACTAATCACCACATAGAATTATATGCAGTCCAATCGAGAGCGGATAGTGGTACTATAAACTTTTTTTTCTCTAAATTTGCATTGAAAATTCGTTAGAGTAAATCAGAGAGGTAAATTGATACATTTATTTGAAAATAGATGTAATAATGTCCATACAAGAGGAAAAAATGTTATTTCAGTCTCCATAATCAATTCAGACATATCTGAAACATGCTACTCGTAGGAAATTACCATTTCTATTCCTGTACAGTATGTTATTTTAGAGCAGAAAAAACTACAATTCTTAAATTAAAGCGCAATGAGATCAATCAATGTTACCATATTAGCCTAAAAAACCATTGTCTAACCATGAGCGTTTAAATAAGATAACAATATGTACAATATTGGATCATCTACTCGAGATAATAAAGAAAATAGTTAAACATTATTTATATCAACAGTAAAAAACAAGAAGTAATAGGAGGTGAGTGATGTTGAAATTCAAAATAAAAAAGAAAGAATTGCGAAGATTATGAAAGATTAATATGTAATAAACTTGGATAAATCAAAAGTGTGTAGGAAACTCAACAAAGGTTAATAATATCTCTTATATGAGCGAGACAGTGCACTTTCAGCCCGCGAATAATGTACAAAGTCCGAAACGATTGAAAAAGAACACGAGTGAGGCTTATAGAATGGAGTAACAAAATCAAATGGAGGGAAGAAAAAACCATTTCACAAAGGTTCAAAAGAAATCCCAAAACTGCAATTGGGTTTACAACATAATAGATCAAACCCAGTTTGCGCAAAAAAAACTTGTGTCAGGAATATGCGGTCCCACGTTTGAACTCGACTGCTGAGCATAGAAAATCAACAAAGAATCGGGTTCTAATTCATCAACCCACAGACTTGAGTACGCCCCAACAGCACCAATTTAACTTACCTTGCAATCGAAATACAAATAATTACAACAAGATAAACATGATGTAAGAAACCACAGCAAAATATAAATTTTGTGCAATGAATAACACGGAACGACAGTGTTAGTACTAGAATGGAAGAGCGAAGTAAGGATGAGAGTGTGATTACTACTTAATGGACACAAAAGCGTAACGACAACAGATCCCCATACGATATTTAACGGAGTGAACTATCGGTTATCAAATAAGGCAAAGTACAATGGTCGAACTATGAGCAAAAATGTGTCATTAGGCCATTAAAACCTAACGTCTTATTAACTCTCGAGTCTCCATTAATCCAGCTCACAGTCTTCCTCCTTCCATAGTTACAAAGATCCTACACAGTGCAGCTTTCATTTCAAAAAGGAACTGTCACCCATAACGTTCACTGAGTACTATCTCCTCATATCTCTCTCTTCACTTCTCACCAAACCCACACCTGTCACTTACATGTAAATAGTCATAAAGGGTGTTCATATGAAATAAAAATGAACTCATTGTTATTTTTATCTTCCCTAACATCAATTTATTTTGGCTGTAATAACACTTCAAAAACTTTGCATTAAATAATATATTTGGCCAGGAGAGAAATTGGAACCAAGCACGAACAAAATGTAAGCTTTACTTAACAAGTAGATGGTAGTTATCTCTGCAATTAGCTTATCCTACAGTTCTTGACAACCTTCAAAATCGTAGAATGCCATCAGGTTGCTGGTAAGCAATTCTTATATAAAGGAATAATTAAATTAAATTGTATTTTGCGATTTTTTGTATTCAATGTACTTGCCGCAACTTCTTAAAAAAATCTTTGATTCCCATATATATTTAATATCATACTCCATATGGTACTAAACTAACTGATTCCAATCAGAATCCAGTCTAAGGAAAAATCGAAACACAGAGCTATCTAAATTCACAAACCTCTGGGAATGTAACACGAACATCTTCCAAGAATTCTCTTGCTTCTTCTCCTTCTGCCTTACTTTCACTGATGACTGTAGAAGCAATTTCACTATCACCTAGAATTATAAATGCATCAAAGAAGTCAAACTTCTCATAAAATTGTAAACAAGAGGTAAATACAATGTTCCAATACAAGGGAAAAAAATGTTATTGTACTGACAGCTATGTAAGGTGTATTAAATTATCATCATCATCATCATAACCAAAACAGCATTTTAAATTATTCAAAAGAAAAACATTTTCAATACGAAAGAGGATGTTTTCTAAGGAACAAAAAATTATTATGGATGAAATGTAACAACAGAAAAATAAGGATTCTTCAAGCCAAATGAAAATCAATTGAGACAAATTCATGGAGGGGAAAAGAAAAACCATTTCACAAGGTTTCCAGAAATCCCAACCTGCAATTGGGTTACAACATAAAATCACCAAAAATTGTGGTCCATTGGACCACTGCTAATAATTGAAAAACATGTAGCAAAGCATGCTATGGAATACAAGATGACCACAAATTTTGTGCATATAACATTTTGGAGAGGTAGGGGTGATCTTCGTACAACAATAATGTCACTCTATTGTCAATTTATTATTATCTAGGTTATGGGTTAAAACCACAGAACCAATCCCCTATAATGCAAGGGTGTTCATCCACATCTTAATATACAATTATACCCTCAACTTTACCAAATTATTGTAATTACACCCCAATTTAAACTTTGTGACAACCATACCCCAAATGAAGTGTTGAGAGTTTTTACGCCCCAAAGTGAAATTAGGATTAGGGTTTCCAACAGAAAATTATTTCCATGAGCCCCACATCTGAGCATGGGTTAACCTAACCCAAGCTCAGTTACTCTTAAGCAAAATGGTACAGTTTTATAAAAACAAAAATCGCTAAAATATCTCTCATCCTTTCCCCTGTGCTCCCTCTCTCTCTCTCAACCTTCATCCTGCACTCTCTCTCTCTCTCTCTCTCTCTCTCTCTCTTCAATCTCTCTGTCTGCATTTAGCTTCCAAATGAGTAGATCTTGCTAAGAGTTTGAGAGATGCAGGTTCAATAAGTGGTCCTAATTTGAAAGAGATGCAGGTTTGTCATGCTTTTTGAATGTCTCACCGTGCAATTTATTTCCTAACTAAGAGGGAAAGATCATCGAAGCTACTGTGGTCTTCCACTCTTTTGCAGGGAACACGAAATGCAACGAGATGCAGAATGAAACCATGCTTCGGCATTTTATTTAAATAAACTAAATTGGTGATGCAATACCTTGAGACTCCAATAGACAAAAAGATCATTGTGAGGCACAAGTGAACCATATCGTTACCATATGAAGCAGTCTAATTTGAAGTTGCCAGTGAACCCCATAAGACAGCTTATTCTTGATTATTGATTAGAAATAGTATATCAAACATGCAAACAATTTTATCATATCTGCATTCTGCACTAAATTCCATAATCCTAAATGGAATTTCTATTGCACAATGATGTAGTAATAAGTGACTCTTTAAAATCTTAATTTGTCCACAATTTGGAAAAGAGAAAACAGATAGAAAACTAGATAAATATAACATACTACTTGTGAATTGAAATTTTGACTTTCCATCAAGTATGCTCTCAACTTCTTTCATGTACAGCTTTAACATCTCTCGGAGGAAGTAGAATTACTCTTAAACAGTCAACAAAAGATCAACTTCCAAAGATCTCTAAAATCCCTATAACACTACATTCAAGACCATACACCAGAAATCACAATCTAGGCAATTAACAAAAAACCTTCAGATCCTGGAAGCCTTATCTGCACTATGCATAGGCATGCAAATTTAACTGAACAATAGAGACTCAACTGCTCCAGCAGTACTAGAAAGGTTTCAGAAGGAACCATTCAAGTACGACTTTTCTTTTTTCTCTCTTATTTATGCCTTACAGTTACCAACCAACATTTTACAGCAAATCTAATTCCATGGTTACTGATCTATACCCTAAAATCCCACCCTAAACCCTGCCTCAATGGCTCAGTACTGCCACTACATTGCCATCTTATGCAAACCTCGCTAATGCTCAGCCATAAATCTTCAACTGCTATTTCCCTTTCCTTTATCCCAAGCCACTGCCACACATTCCTAGCAACTGTCAGCAAACTATGATCAGACTCTCTCTCTCTCTCTGCTAACAATTATTAGATTTGTTCAAAAGTCAAAGAAAAATAATTTTCCATGGACCTCAGAGGATGATAACAAAATTTCATGATACAGGGCCTAAGAACTCTAATGCCATACCTAATTAATTGTCATATTTGGACACACAGAAGATAACAGAGAAACAGTTCTTCCACGTCTCATCAGTTGATGCATGTAATAGAAAAATAAAAATCCAGGAGACAGTTTCTAGCATCTCATTTAGAAATGGTCAATGACACCACACCAGTATTACAAATACAAGATGGGGACCTAGGAGATAAGCAATACCCCCAAAATTCAAATAGTGCCTCTGCCAACAGAAACTCTTATTACAAAAATAGTACATTCCATTCAATTGCAGACTGTAATCATCTAAAATGAGAAGCTTAACAAATCACTAAAATAAAAAAGGGTCATAGTTTGACCATAATGATCATGTGAAGTCTGGTTTTCTATGGAGGATCAGAAATTTTTTCAAGGGGAGGAGGGGGCTGCTAGTGTTTGGACCCTGCCTCCTATACTATGAGGCACACTAGGCCACTAGCTCAATGGTAATGTAAGGTCCAATAACTTTTTTTTTTTTTTTTTTCTTTCTTCTTTTGTGACAGCAGCAGCCTTGAGATTAAATTCTGTACACACTCACAGTGATCAAAGCAGCACTTTCATTACAATGTTGCCAATTGCATGGCTGAAATGTTTTAAAACTATGTCTTATGCATGATTCACAATTCTGCAGACTTCATTCAAAGAATAGTAAAAGAACTTTAAAGAAGATACCAAAATTAACGATTTATCATTGAAAAAGGACCTAATAGCCTAAACCAAAGAAGAGTTTACCTATAAAGTCATGCAGTTTTCGTCGTGCAATTCTATGGGCACGCAGAAATGCAGCACAAATGTAGCATGCAGATTCCAATCTCCCTACAATGAAGTAAGTAACCAATCTTCGTGGCCAAACACCTGACTGAAGGAATCTGTAATAACTCGGGAAGTGAACATTAGCTTTTAAGCCCTTCCAATCACATAAGGGCCCATGAGATGCCGAGTCAATTGCTTCTTCTACTGATTTCATCAGAATATTTGCAGTTATTTGTGTTATCCTTCCCTCATCAAGCATACCCCAGTAAGCAGCTTGGACACCTGGTATGAGAAAAGATCTCCCAATCAACAAATCAGTCTTTCACATATAATATTCAATATAATAGCTTCTAATCATATTTTGGGATTGTACGGCAATTTTCTTACTTTTAGTATTATCTAATATATCTCTTTAAAGAATTGCTGTCAGCTATTAACAAATTTTTCATAAAAGGAGCTAGAGATAAAAGGTTTGATCAATATACACAGGCACATTTTACATGTTACAAGCTAAAATTAATTAGTTACTGTTAAGGATTAGTTGTAAATAGAACTCTATTAGGAGTTGTAAATAGAACTCTATTAGGAGTTAGATTCTTAATAGGTTTATAGTATCTTGTATGTATGTGTATATATATGTGTCCCTAATTGATGAAATCAAAACAGAAAAATAATTTCCCTCAAGTAAATATCTACATGGATCAAGAGCCTTGCTCGTTAAAGTAAACCTTTTTTTTTTCCGTTTGCGTGAAATTCTTTTTTTCCGTTTGCGTTGAAATTCCAGCGGCTGTCGGTCTCGGTGACAGTTCTAGGGTCACCGTTTTGTCTCACCACCTACCTCAGAAGGTTCCCCAAGCTGCCGATCGGCGTTCCCTCCAAATCCGGTCACCGGATTCCCTGCGCGTGGGCCCCACGCACCGCTTTTGTGTTTCTGCTGCAGTACCACGCGCCGGCGCGTCCGGCTATTTCCGGCGATCGGAAATAGTTCTCTGGCTTCGTTTCAACTTCAGCAATCTACTCAGGTGGTTGTTTTTTCCGATCCGGCGAAGTTTTGGTAGGGGCGTTCTCAGTTTTTGTCAATTTGGCGTTTTCAGGTTACTGTTTGCTCCTGTTTGCTTTTGAAAGGCTTTGAAAGGCTATTTTTTTTTTGGATCTCTTCTGGGTTGCTGGTAGGGTGTTTAGTTTTTTTGTTATAATGGATCCTCCAACTACAGATTCTAAAACTACTATTACTGAATAATCCCAGCATGATATAAGATTTCACAGAACATTAAATTTTGAAAAGAACTAATTATTTAGATTGGATTAAGACAATTTGAGTTTATTTGCAAGCGTTTGAAAAGATGATCATTTAATTGATGATCCACCAACTGATACACTATGGCAACGTATGGCTCAGGAAAATGCTTAAGTTTATTCCTACTGATTATTCGCAATTCTATTGACAGTGAAGTGGTTGGATTAATCAATCATTGTGAGTTTGTTAAAGAATTAATGGAATATCTTGAATTCTTGTACTCGGGAGAAGGTAATCTGTCTCGTATGTATGAGATCTGCAAAGGATTTTATCGGGCTGACCAGCGAGATAAGCCCCTTACAGCTTATTTCATGGAATTTAAAAAGATTTACGAGGAACTTAATGTTTTGTTGCCTTTTAGTCCCGATGTTAAGGTTCAACAAACGCAGCGAGAACAAATGGCTGTGATGAGTTTTCTTGTAGGTCTTGCTCCAGTTTTTGAAACTGCCAAACTGCCAAATCACAAGTTCTTTTCAGGCAGTGATTGTTACCTCTCTTTACCTCTCTTCAGGAGACTTTTGCTAGATTGCTACGTACTGAAGGTTCTCATACACCTTCCCCTTCTGATAATAGTGCCCTTATGAGTCGTAATCAGGTAGCTAGACATCCAGGAAATAGAGGAAGAGGAGGAAATAACCGCAGTAATGGACCAATCACTCGGGAGACAAGCATTCGTATCTACCATTATTGTCATGAACCTGGTCACACTAAACGGTATTGCAAGAAACTAATAAATAAGCCACCAAGGGTAAATATGGCACATCAAAATTATGCAGTTCTTCTGACAACAATGTAACAATTTCTGTTGCGGAGTATGCTGAGCTCTCTAGATACCGTTCCTCTAAGTCTACTGATTCCTCAATTGCTGCTGCTTTTGCTTGCTGCTGCCACTCAGGTACTCCTTCCTTCTTGTCTTATGATCTACCTTCATCAGAGTGGGTCATTGATTCTGTTGCATCCGATCACATGACACGTAACCCTAGTCTCTTATCCTCATTTAAAAAGAAACCTAAACCAATTTTAATTCGTCATGTTACTCTAGCTGATGGGTCCACATCTCCTGCAAATGTATTGGCACTGCCAATTCCCATTCCATCTCTTCCATTGTTTCTGTTTTTTGTTTGCCTCGTTTTTTCGTTTAATCTATTATCTGTTAGCAAAATTACTCGTACTGAATTGTTGTGTTCAAATTTTATCCTACATATTTGTGTGTTTCAGGATCTTTTGACGAAGGCGGATTATTGGTCGAGGACGTTGAGTCTTGGTGCCTTTATCTTCTGGGATGAACACGTTTCATTTATCTCTGGCTTGTGCTGGTGCTCTATCTCCTCTTTGAGGTTCATTGTCGTTTGGGTCATCCATCATTGTCTACTTTTAAAGAAAATTGTGTCCGCAGTTTCAGTTCTTTATCAAGTTTTAGAATTGTGAATCTTTGTCAATTTGCCAACATCATCGTTTACCTTTAGTTCCTCGAGTCAATAAACGGGTTTCATCCCCTTTTTGGAGTTAGTTCATTTTGATGTTTGGGGTCCATGTCTGTGTTTATTTCTAAAACTGGCTTTCGGTATTTTGTAACTTTTGGTGATGTTATTCTCGGTTACTTGGTTATTTTTAATGAAAACTTCGTCTGAGATATTCTCTATTTTCTGTTCTTTTTATGTGCTGAAATTAAAAACTCAATTTAATACTTCTGTTCGCATATTGCACAGTGATAATGCTTAAAGAATACCTATCTAGTTCCTTCAATCTTATATGTCACAAACAATGGTTATTCTCCCATCAAACATCTTCTGTTGTTTGCATACTCCTTCTCAAAATGGGGGTTGCAGAAAGAAAGAATCCATCTTCTTGAAGTTGCTAGGGCACTTTTATCAAATGGAAAGTCCCTAAACATTTTTGGGGCTGATGCTGTCCCTTACTGCATGTTTTTGAATTAATCGCATTGCCTTTCTTCTGTGCTTAATGGTGCAATTCCTTATAATTGTCTTGTTTCCTTTCTAAAACTTCTATTCCCCATTGAACCTCGTATTTTGTGTGTACTTGTTTTGTTCGTGATGTTCGTCCACAGGTTTCCAAATTAGATCTAAAGTCCCTTTCGTTGTGTTTTCCTTGGGTATTTCTTCGGCATCAAAAGAGGGTATCCGTTGTTTCCTCCTGATCTTGCCGTTATTCTTCTTTTTTTCTGCAGATGTCACATTTTTGAGAATACTCCATTTTTTCCTTCTTCTATATATAAGATTTGAGAGGGAGGATTGATGACCTTTTAGTCTATGCTATCCAGTTAAGTTTCATAAACTCTCCTGCTCCTTGCTCGTATTCCTGACCTTTGCTCCTGCTCCTTACTCCATGTCTGCTGCTCCTATTCTATTCCCGCTCCTGCACCAGCATCTACACGCCCTCGTTTTGAACAGGTTTATTCCAGGAGACCAGGAACTCTTGACTCACTTCCTCCACCTGCCGTTTCACCAGAAGATCCGGTTCTCTCCACTCAACCTGAGCCTGTGCCATGCACTCCCCAGTCAGACTTTGACCTTCCCATTTCTCTTAGAAAAGGTAAACGCAAATGTACCTACCCTATTTCCTCTTTTGTTAGTTATGATCATCTTTCTTCTTCATCTCGTTGTTTTGTAAGTAACTTAGACTCTGTCTCTATTCCTAAAACTGTTCTTGTTTTCCAAGCCTTTGTTTCCCGATCCTGATTGGTGTGCAGCAATGAAAGAGGAGATGCGCTTGCCTTAGATACTAATGGTACTTGGGATTTCTTGTTGCCTCTCCCGGCAGGTAAGAAAAGCTTATTGGTTGTAAAGTGGGTTTTCACCGTTAAAGTGAATCCTGATTGGGACTGCCTGCTCGGTCTCAAGGCTCAATTTAGTTTGCAAAGGCGATTAGTTGCAAAGGGCTATTCTCAGATCTATGGCTTGATTATTCTGATACTTTCTCTTGTTACCAAATTGTCTTCTGTTCATTTATTTATTTCATTAGCAGCTACTTTTGACTGGCCTTTACATCAGCTGGACGTTAAGAATGCCTTTCTTCATGGGAATCTTCAGGAGGAAGTTTACATGAAGCAACCACCAGACTTTGTTGCTCAGGGGAGTCGGGTAAAGTATGTAAACTTCGAAAATCTCTTTATGGCCTAAAACAGAGTCCTCGAGCTTGGTTTAGTAGATTTTGCAATGTGGTAAATCAGTTTGGCATGCAGATGAGTACTTCTGATCATTCTGTATTTTTCAGAAGTACTAAGACTGGTTTGATTCTACTTGTGGTTTATGTTGATGACATTGTTATTACAGGGAGTGAATTGTTATTACAGGGAGTGATTTCAGCCGGCATACATTCACTCAAATCATTCTCCAGACCCAGTTCCAGACAAAAAGACTTAGGCTTGTTGAAAAGTATTTTTTGGGTTATTGAAGTATCTTAGGTGTAAGAGAGGCATTCTTCTTATCTAAAGGAAGTATGTCCTTGACTTATTGAAGGAAACCGGAAAGTTGGGAGCCAAGCCATGCAGTGCTCCATGACTCCAAATATTGCAAACTTTCCAACTTTCAATTGGTGGTGAGCTATTTGATGATCCTGAGATGTATAGAAGATTGGTGGGCAAACTGAATTATCTTACGGTAACACATCCAAATATTGCTTACTCTTGTAAGCGTTTTAAGCCAATTTGTGTCTTTTCCTACTGTTATACATTGGGAAGCTTTGGGACAGATTTTATGCTACTTGAAAGGTAATCCAAGCCGTGGGCTCCTTTACAGTAATCATGGGCATTTGGACATTGAGTTTTTTTCAAATGCGGATTGGGTAGGTTCGAAGGTTAATAGAAGATCAACTTCAGGATATTGTGTCTTTGTGGGTGAAAACTTGATTTCGTAGAGGAGCAAGAAACAAAATGTAGTCTCACGACGAGCAAGAAACAAAATGTTGTCTCATGATCGAGTGCTGGCGAGCTATGGCACAATCTGCTTGTGAATTAATTTGGATTCGTCAGTTGTTAGAGGAAATTGGCTTCAAGTCATCCTTGCCTGCAAAGTTATGGTGCGATAATCAAGTTGCTCTTCACATTGCATCAAATCCAGTATTCCATGAACGAACAAAACATATCTAGATTGATTGTCATTTCATTCATGAAAAGATACAATAGGGTGTTATCTCTACAGGACACGTTAAAACAAGTGAACAGTTAGGGGATATCTTTACAAAAGCTCTAAATGGACCCCGAGTTGACTATCTTTGTAACAAGTTAGGCATGATTAATATCTATGATCCAACTTGAGGGGGAGTGTTAAGGATTAGTTGTAAATAGAACTCTATTAGGGATGTGTTAAATTAGAACTCTTATTAGGAGTTAGGATCTTAATAGGTTTTATAGTATCTTGTATGTGTATATATGTGTCCCTATTGATGAATCAATACAGAATAGGTTTATAGTATCTTGTATGTGTATATATATGTGTCCCTATTGATGAATCAAATACAGAAAAATATTTTCCCACATTAAATCTACAAAAGTGAAACTAAACCTTGTGTTTCAAGTGATTTTCCTAAATTAGGCTCCTTCAGCATTTTTACTACCATATATCAAAGCGAACTTCTCAATTGTTTGCTTCTGACAAACTTATCACAAATTTCTCATTCTGATAGGCTTGCTAGTAGAAGGAAACTTAAAAGAAAAAAATAGGTCCCGCAAAAATCAAGACAGATTAATAGCTTAGTGTCAAGTTATGTACTAGAAGGTAAAATGTTTGTGCACACCTGCTGGCTTCAATGAGTGGTAAGTGATCATTGTGAGGCTTCTCTATCACATTCTGCACCTGCAAACCCAAAATATAATTATGCAACAAGTTGGCCCTAAAGCTGGATATTTGTCATTTTTACTACTTAATTTAGAACTTTCTTGGCACCTTGCCAGTAAATGCTCAAAATCATTTTCCTTCAACATCCGCATAAGCTCCATTTATTCCTAGAATTTGAGTTCAAATATATGCAAAACAATAATTAAAAAATTAAGATTCCCACATTTGAAGCATCATCCCTTCAGCCACTACCAACTCCTTGTGATTATATAATCATACTCAACAGAAGACAATGATCAAAGCAACAAACCAGGTAATAAACAGGCTGGCCACGAGAGTTTCACACTGTATAAGATTGTGAATAGTTCAAAAGAAATTAGGAGTTGTATTGCCCTTGTGTAAACAGAAATCTTTCTTTTGACTAACTGTACAACCGGCACGGATTGGGTCCTTAAAATATTGTGACTTTCACAGACATATAATTTCAAACAAACTGAATTATATGGTATGCACATGTACTTGTTTGACTAGACAAGACTAGAATTCACCCTGAAACAACTATATAAATACAAATAAAAACACCTCCAAAAGTGCAATAATAATAACCGGCAGATGGTCAGAGTATTGCATGAATAAATATCATAATTAAACTCTTACTTTGGCCAATAACTCCTGGCTCTCAGATGGTTGCTTTTTCAAACTTTGAGGCAAGATCACTGTAAGCAGCTCTGGTTTCTCTGCCCTTAAAGCACCTCTAATAACAGCTGCATTAGTCCCAGAAGCACCAGATGTATAAATGTGATTTTTCTGCAACCAAAATTTATGCAGGAACTTGATAAATATCTATAATATTTATAATTTATAATATGTATAAAGTACAAAAGGGGAGTGGAACATTATGACCAACAAAAAAAAGACATGGTAAATTTAATAATGAGAAATTACCCTCTATTTTGATTGGCTAAAAAATAAAATAAAATAATTATTCTTAAGAAACTTTTAATTTGATTGATTACGTTAGTTTACTACTTAAACCAAATACTACTCTGTTAAGGAATATAATTCTATTAACAATTTTTTAAACCACAAAAATTTGTGAAAACTCTAAACCAAAAGAACCAGTTAAAGACATTAAAGATTCCTATAGGGACTGTTTATGAGCAGATTATTCAAATATTTTTAGTTAAAATATTAATTCGGAACTACTAATAAATAAACAGGAAACTAAGTGTATGATTAAAAGATTTCGTCAATCTAAATATCTAAATGGGAAACTAAGTGACAAATCAATTTTTTAATTAAAAGATTCCAAATTAAAAGATTTTCATCAAATTATTTTTATAAATTAAAGGGTCAATTACTAAATATTTCTATTATATTAATTAACAGTTTTTAATTTATATTTAAATTAGGAATTTTAATTAGTACACAACTTCTCAATTATGATTTAGATTACAATTGTTGTGCACTATATAAGAAACTGCAATACACGTTCCTTTTATTTATCATCAACAAGACAAAAAGGTTCTCCGTGCTATTTATTCTCCTTTAAATCACGTTGAAAATGTTCTTATTACTATTTACCATCCATATTAAAAAGTTTTCTTAATTTTACGTTTGTGTATTCTTATTAGGCACGTTCTCTTAGTTTTTATCTCAATTAGTCTTCTTAGTTCTCATTATCGCCAAATTTTTAGAATTTACTTTTAATTCTACATAGTAGTGATTCCTGTAGTTCTGTAATGTTTTTGTTTACACCAACCCTATTGGATCCTCAGGCGTAAAACACTAGGATGCAATTATATGTAAATTAGGAACTTCAAGAAAAAAGGGAAACCAAGTGAAAGAATTAATACACTCAGAATCCATGGGAGAGGGATTGTTTGAAGACTATATTGCACAGGGTTAAGGTTTGTATTTGAGAACGAAAAGCATAATAGCATGGTGGATTTATTGGAGATTTTTTGGAGTATAATTAGTGGGTTTGGGTATAACATTTATTTTAATTAAAGTTAAAGATGTGTAAAACATCAAGCTACAACTATATTCACATTAGGAATTTTAAGCAAAAGGGAAAACTAAGTGAAAGAATTAATATCATATTAATTATTAATACTGAGTGGGAAGCTAAGTGAAGGAATTAAATTAGTTATTAAGAATTTATATAGATATTCTCAACCATTTTTTTTAATTAAAAGATTTCATGATTTTCACTAAGTTTTAAACGAATTATTCCTATTAGTATTAGTTAAAAGAATTTCTATTAAACTACTACTTTATTATAGATTACCATTATATCTTTATTTATAGATTACCATTATATATAATATATATATATATATATATATATAATATATATATTATATATTATAATCTCTCTAGAAAAAAAAATACCATATATTATTAATCTCTCTAGAAAAAAAAATACCATCTAATATTATAATTAGAAACAAGGATGAATATTTTAGCTCTAACTTATCTACTAAGTAGATTTATTATTATGATAGTGACTAATATCTGAACTTTATTTTAATTCAATTATGAATCTTAAACAGAGATATTTTACTATGATAATAAAAGAATAATACTCGAATTAAATTAGCAACCCCATGTATAAAAAAATTATATATATAAAAAAAATTAAATGACGAGTATGTATGACAGGTATAAACAATGTGCAAAGAAGTGAAGACTCAGCATTGAGTAGATAACTGATGTTGAGTAAATAACCATAGGCCACACGTAAAACTAAAATATAAAGACTGAAGTAATGCATCTTACAGTTATAACCAAAGCATAACTAAGGATCTCAATGAGTTCTTGATGCATGAATCCCATATTCCTTGTCCCAAAAAAGCCAATAGATCGAGGCCCTTGTTGTTGAATGGCCAATAGCTCCTGCAAAAAAGAATATGTGTATGTAAAACTTAGTGCCGAAGACAGATTTCAAAGACCCTAAGAATTAACTGAATAAGAAAAAGAAGATGAAGCAAGTTGAAAGAGATTTGAAACTTGAAATTTGTGACTTAAGAGTGTGATCAAAGCATCACGCACATGGCATAACTTAAAAGAAATAATTCTTTTGAGAAGCAACACACTACAAATGGCAAGCATAGAAGAAAGACAATCTAATTGAGTTTCTTCGTGTTTTCCTGAACATTTCTATTCGAAAGGAAGATTTTCATCTATGATAAACTGCTAGCGTTCGATTGTCAAAGACCATTTAACCATTCTAATGATAAAATTGAAACGTGCATGAATTATCGTGATTAAACTTTCTCCATAGCCCGACCGAAATATCAAAGCAGCATAGTGTTTGTTTGGCATTTAAAAGAGTTGGATCACAGTGTCGTCACCAGGCACTTAGGCGGTCGCCTAGGTGCTAAGACAAGGCAAGGCGAGGGGTAGGCACCTTGTATACCTTGACGAGGCACCTTCAACTAGGCACCAACGCAGCAAAGCAACATGAGATTCAGGCAAGTGCCTCAAAACTAATTTGGCTATTTCCCTATGCAGATATTAATATCAACGATTAATAGAAGTACATATATGGAAAGTTTGACAACCGTTAAATTAGATCTAAATCTAATCTAACAGTTAAAAATAAGTACATCAAATATGGAAACAAAAGAAAGTGGATACAAATTGGGAAGTTTGACAACCAATAAAAGAATTAGGGTAAATTAAATCTAATAGTTAAAAAAGAAGTATTTAGGCAATTCTGTTGCATGAAAAGACAAAGCATGTTACACGAACGTGAAGAAGAAAATAGCGAATAGAACAACTCAATGTGAAGAACAACACAACAACAGTCATACATAAGTACTAGAGACGACGACTAGAAATGAGAAACCTTAGGAAATAGGGTTTTAAGTTTCCATGACATAGTTTAGATTCGTCAACAATTCATCTAGAATTCTAAATTATCTAATGTGCTTTCTGGAACTAATCTTTGGATGCATAATTCTAAATGCATGACATAGTTTTCATTCTTTAACAATAAATCTAGAATTTTATACTATCTAATGCTTTTTGGACCAATGTAGAATACTACATTTTGAGTTATTTAGAATTCCTCAATTTACTTGGGCAAGCGCCTTGAGTGGCGCCTCGTGCGATGGAGAACCTTGTTGCCTCAAGGGCGGCTAGTGCTTTTGATGACACTGGGATTAGGTTGGATTTTTCACTTTTTTACAATGACTCAGGAAACAATGTCTCAACTAAACAACAAGGTTACTATGGAAAGATTACCCACCTGTAGATAGTCTACATCAGGAATAGGCTTATACTCTGACACTGCAGTAGTGCTTGATCCTTCCACAATAGATTGGGCTTGACTTGGAATTTGGGTACCAGTATCTCCATTACGATCAAACAAGGATGCCATAATCTCCTCTTGATCTTTCCAGTAATCCATGTCCTGATCTCTTCTTATATGTCCACAAAGCCACTATTGCCAGTAAATAAAAACAGAGGACCTGGTAGTAAATCATTAGTGAAAACCAACTGAACACAAACAGTGGTGATCAAACAATCTCAGCTCATATTAGCTTTCAGGTATCTTTTCAATAAGTTTACTTTCCTTTTTTTCATTCTTTTTTAAATACTAGGCACCTAGCAAGCTTATATAAAGCTTGAGTCTGCTTGATCACCGCCGCACTACTATATAAGAAGCACAAAGATTATAATATCAGCTCAATTTGGCAAAGCATTATATCAGCAACTAGAATCAATAGATGAATAATGTTTGAAAGTGTTTGGAAAATAAATACAGGAAATTCTAAGGTGTCAAATATGAGGGGATCATTAGGACACATTGACAAGTCTCAAAATATATATCTGTTTAATGGTGAATGATAATCTATTTAGTAAGCTTTAAATCCTTGCGGTTTTTAATTGAATAAGGAAACATTGGATTTGATGGGCTTACAAAAGCTTGAAATGTAAACATCTTCGAATATCGTATCAGAACACGAAATTAGGAATACCTATCAGAGAACAAATCATGATTAAGGCTCCATAATATACCTCGTATCATTAGATGCATAGCATCTCAAAAATTTTAACCAAAAGGCATGGTCTTCTTAGGAATCACTATTCTATAAGTAGAAAACAGGCCTTACTCACGCGTGCACAAATACAGAACCAACTCATTTCATTAGACACCAAAAAACAAACAATACCCACATCTAAAAATCTCATTTTTGAACCAAATAAATTAAGCACTGTCATTGTGGATACAAAGAAATTCTCTCAAATCCAATTCAGAGATAAATACTTGTTCAATTTTGCATCTAAAAAGAATATGTCCACAAAAACCCAACATTTAAACACCATGACATAACAAAACAGAGCTAACAAAGACACCATTTTTACAGAAAGGGATGTACCGTCGGGTTGGAGAGAAATTGGCTTTTCCTTCTGGAAAGATATGTATGATTGAGAATAGGGTTTCCTGTTTTAAGAGATTTCGAGGGAAAGTCTAAAGAATAAGAAGAAAAAAGAGAAGTAGTGGATGCAGTTGTTAACAAGAGCCTCATAGTAGCTAAGGCCGTGGACATCTCTCACAATTTTCTCTTTTACCCAATGTCTCTATTGCTGATTTCTCTTTTCTTTTCGCAGAAAGGTTGCTCTATTTATCCTTTTTTTTTTTCCTCCTTTTCCAGAAACAACTTTTCCTGCAAATTTATAAATGGAAAGGCAGAGAGAATATGGAAGAAACAGAGAATTGTTTATCAGAATATATCTAGAGGAAAGATATATATGAGATTTGAGCAAAATTTTGATTGTAAAAAAAAAAGGGTTGCTTTTTGTTTTTTAACTTATAATTTACTTTTGACTTCTTATCCGTAGAATCTAATGGGGTTTGTGATTTGGAACGTGGCACTAGGTTAGATCAAAGTCATAAATAGTTGGATATTTAATTATTATTATTATTATGAAGGCTATTTGAATTGTAGGATTTAGGGTAAAATCATTTTAATCATACAATTAAGATAATTTTAGGAAATTATTAGGTGTAAAATTATGTTTTTAAAATTTTAACTAATCAAGAAAAATATATACTACTTGTTAAATATGACATAATATTTAAAAGATTATTTTTAGTAATATAAGTATTTTATCATAAACTAAATACTATTTTTGTTCCATAATACTTGTTATATTTGAAAATTCATGTCTCTTAAAAAAATTATTAAATTTATCTAAATTATAATAAATTATTGAGTAAATTTATTATATTACCCGTAAATTCATAACAATTCTCTAAACATTAAATTGAAGTAATAATTATTGATTATATACAAATAGTTGATATGAAAAAAGATTTATTGCACTTTGAAATTACAAATAGGTCAAGTATCTTAGAATAAATAATTTTTTCATATGCGACAAATATTACGGTACAGAGATAGAACTTTTTTTTTTTTTTTCAATATAAGTATTAGGGTAAAAACCAATATGGGCTTCTTCTCTAAAAAAAAACACAATATGGGCTTGCTTTCCGATGTACCCAAAGAAAAGGATTGTGGGCCGAAACAGATCACATAAGATCCAAAAACGGAACAGTAATAAAAATATAGAGAGACGGTCAGAAAACAGTTTGCCTTTATCTAACGATAACTGAACAAAAGCCTGAGCGGTGAGCTACGATGCTGCCTCTGCTCTTCATTTCCCTCTCTATCCTTCTTCTTCTTGTGTTACTCTTTAAGTTCCTCACTTGCGATGGTACTTCTTCCAACTTTATTGTTTACCTTTTTTTTTTTTTTTTTTTTTTTTTTTTTTAACTATGTATATTAGCTTTCATGTTGCCAATTATCAGCTCCTTGTATCAACTTTAATGTTTATGTATATATGTAATTTAAGGGGACTTCACGTTGATGTCCAAGAGGCATGTTAAGAAAGAAGAAATTGAGGATAAGGTAATCTGAGTTTTCGATATTTACGAAATTTGTTTTCCCTTTTTATTTTAAATTCATTTCTTTTATTTTGTGCGGCTTGTTTCTGAATTATTTGATTCCTTTTAGGTTGTTTGGATTACTGGAGCCAGTCGTGGAATAGGTACCAAGTACTTCTTTGTGTTTGAAATTCTTGTATTTTTAATTAATATCCAATTTTTGGTTGTTGAAATGCAATTTATACAACAAATATGTAAATTTTCTGGGCTTTGTTATGTGCTGCATTTGTTTAGAATTGCATTGTTATCATTACTGGATCATTGTTGCAGAGGAGCATGACCGACTCTAAAAATTCTCCCTTTGTTACTAAAAAGTTGTTGTAGTTGGTTAGATATTAAGGATGGAGCCTTGTTGGCCGAATCTTGGGCTGTTGCTCCATTTGTGAAAGAAAATGCCAAATCTTGCATTGGTAATGGAGGAATGGGCTTATTCTGTGTAGTAATTTGGCCTTTTTCTTTTGATTTTGATGGTGGTAAATTCTCTTCAATCGAAACGATGCCATCCAAATATGAAATTGTTGAATGTGCTTTATCTCATTGATCATGGATGATTGATCAACATCTAACTCAGTAGAACCTATTGCAATTAAAATACCTAGGGGTGTTCTTTGTTTTGTGTCATTTGTCGAGAAATAATAATTTGACCACATTTAGGGTATGTTAACCAACTATGTTTTTGAGGGTCACTACTCATTTTTGTAGATTCTTTATCCTTTTTTTCTTTATTATCTTTTTTTTTTTTCTTTACCCTTTGAATTTGATGGTGGATTTCAGGTGAAATTCTTGCTAAGCAATTGGCAAGTTTAGGTGCCAGGCTTATTCTTTCTGCACGGAATGAAGCTGAATTGGAGCGAGTTAAGAAGGAACTCACAGGTTTATCCATTCATCTGAAGTTATATGAGTCTTTCATTCCTATTATTATTGACATGCAGCTGAGACACCCACAGGCAAACATGCACCCGATGAAGTGAAGATTTTACCTTTGGATTTGGCATCTGGTGAAGCTTCTCTTAAAGTGGCAGTTGAAAAAGCAGAGTCTTTTTTCTCTGGAGCTGGTGTTGATTATATGATTCATAATGCTGCTTATGAGCGCCCTGTAAGTGGATATTTGTAATTAATTTAGGATTTGAAGATATCGACAATTTGGCATAGATGCATATAATAGCTTTGACTCCATGCAAATTTTTTTTTTTTTGTCAGTATTAGATAAAACTAATATTGTGAGATCTTGAAAGAAAAAGAATTCAAATGAGTATGCATGATTTTTTTTTTTTTTTGTCAGTATTAGATAAAACTAATATTGTGAGATCTTGAAAGAAAAAGAATTCAAATGAGTATGCATGATTTTTTTTTTTTTTTGTCAGTATTAGATAAAACTAATATTGTGAGATCTTGAAAGAAAAAGAATTCAAATGAGTATGCATGTGTGAGATCTTGAAAGAAAAAGAATTCAAATGAGTATGCATGGGCGCACTTGGCTGGGGAAGGGTGAGCAAATTGCACAGTAATAGAATAGATAAGAGAAGAGGACAGTGGCTATTACAGAAACTAAAATATCTATTTGAAAGTGATCATAGTACAATATGGTAAATTTTAACCTGCAGTATAGTGAATGGGTTTATTGTAATGCCAACATGCTATTATTAATGATCTATTTTATATTGTAATGCATTAGATCTCACATTGTGGAAAATATGTTACAAAGTGTAAACTATCTTATGAAGTTTATAAAGAGAGTTTGCCAGGCTAGATTTCCATTTGTGCTGGTTAGGTTGAGTAGATTTATCAAAAATTAAATATGTCATATTTAGATATAGTCCACTGGTATGAAAATGTACCACAGCTTGACATGAAAGATTAAATACTTTTCCAAAAGCAAGTGACAGAACAAGGTGCTAGATGCGTTTTTTTCTATAAATTGAATATGCAGAAATCACCAGACTGCAGCTCCATTATTGATTTTGTGCCTTTGGTGCGTAAATGTGATAGCTTGCTAATACCTCATAAAGTGATTCACATCTTGAGCAAATGATGACTTTTATTGATCCACCTCTTTCTTTTGGCAGAAATCAGCAGCTCTGGATGTAACTGAGGAAGATCTTAAGGTAACACGTGAATGAAAATATTAGGCACTCTGATGGTTAGACCTTGTGCAATTGCTATTATTATTTTTTGCAATTACTATTATTATTTTTTTCTTAAACAAAGATTGGCCCATTATTCAGTTAGCTGCTCACTTTCACAAGTTAACTCTAGTCAACTAGATAAATTTATGCAAGGATTACCAATGTACTAGGTCCTATTTCTTTTGGTCTTCCCTTGAAGGACTACTGATGATACTTTTTTGTTTGAATAGGCTACAGTCAACGTTAATGTTCTAGGGACAATATCTCTTACACGGCTATTGGCACCGTTCATGCTGAATCGAGGGAGGGGCCAATTTGTTGTGGTATGTTGAGATCAACAATATCTTTAGTAGTATCTGTTTTTAATATGCACCAAAACTAAAGCAGTGAGACATGTGAAGCATGGCACCTCGCTGATTGACCTTGGGATATAGTTATCACACAGATAATCCTTTCCGTCTAAAGTTTAACCATTTTTTTATGCAATCTATTACATTACATTTATTGCCATTCACATGATATGAGTTATACGTTATGGGTAGATGAGCAGTGCTGCAGGCAAGGTACCGACACCAGGACAGGCTGTATACTCTGCTTCTAAGTTTGCATTGAATGGGTACTTCCAATCCTTTCGTTCCGAGGTATATACTTATTTTTCAACAAAAGAATGAGGATGTTTTATGTTGTCCTTCTCTTGCATTATAGACATGTCCAACTTAGAACATAGATACAGCCATTTTGGAGCTTATGATAGTCGACCCGGGGGGGGGGGAATGGGGGGGGTTTCGGGAATTTTACTTGGTGGAATGGGGGGTGTTCGGGGAATTTTACTTTGGTCAGTTAATTAATTGCTTTGGGGGGGGGGGAATGGGGGGTGTTTCGGGAATTTTACTTGGTCAGTTAAATTAATTGCTTTTAAACCACTGGCTACTCTTAATTATAGTTGCTCAGTCTCCCTTAGACTATAAAATCATTAACTTTTAATTGATGGAAGTTACATGTTTATGCTTTTCTCTATAGTTAATGCGTTCCAGAATGATATTTATGTAGTGTCCTTTTGTTACAGTGATGTCGGTAATTTAACTTCTGTCATTTTGGTGATCATAGGATCAATGAATTTGTCAGCCTATATTCAAAATAAAGCCATGTGAGAGCAATAGCCATCCTGGAGTTGTTAAACCTTTCCTCCAAACCATAAGTGAAATGAAAATAAACAAGCAAATGGACAAAACTACATGAGGACTGTGTCTGATTGACTAGGTTGCTGACAAGTTGTGTTTGCTATTGATTATATTACTTGGTCTTGCTTTTTAGTATTGGGGCACATGGTTAATATTTTCAGCATAAAGTCCAATGCTGAAGAATACAATACTTTATCCCATGAAAAATTTTCACAATCATGTTCTCTATGTCTGGTTCTTATGGACATCTCAATGTTGTGTTACTTGCAGCTCTGTCAAAAGGGGATTAAGGTGACCATTGTTTGTCCTGGGCCAATAGAGACATCAAATGGCTACACTACAGCAAAAAAGGGTTCTGAGGTGATCTTCTCACTGTATTTATAAATTGGCTTTCACTTGTAACTTATTTTATCTCTACCTCTTTTGGAGATACCAGATGTTGTATGGTAGATGAAGAATGAGGTGGATTATAAGAGGACTACTTTTTGTATTGGCAGAACATATTTCTTCCAATTTCACATCTTTATCCTTTATTTGATGTTTTTTTCCTGTCCTGCCTGTTTAATTTTAACTAAATTCTATCATGTTGACAGAAGCGTGTGTCATCAGAGAGGTGTGCGGAACTGACAATTATTGCTATGACCCATGGTCTAAAGGAAGCTTGGATATCATACCAGGTAATTGCTTTTGTATTAGATTTTTTTTTTGCTGTTCCTTGGAATTCTATATTTTATTTAATTCAATTGAAGTACTTCAATTATGCAGAAGGCTATGATCATTAACCATGTTATTGTCTGTTGTGGTATAATTTAGCCTTTTGTAATAAACTCTTAATGATTTGTATATCCTCCATCCAAAGCAAAGTATATCCTATTCTTGTTTGCATCTGCAGCATTATTCTAGTAATGTGCTAATCTAATATCTTGATCTTTCTTTCAGCCTGTACTAGCCGTTATGTATCTAGTACAGTACATGCCAACCATTGGTTACTGGCTTATGGACCAGGTACCTTCTATTAACTGCCGAATCATTTTTGTGTAGTTTCTTGTATTATGAGCTACTCAAATGGAATTCATGATTGACTTAGATCGGGGCAAAGCGAGTTGAAGCGGCTTCTGAGAAAGGCAACACATATGCATGGAGCTTATTGTTCGGAAAGAAGAAGGCAACCTGAATCTCTTCTTCCATAGCTTAGACTTTGTAATCCCAGAAAATCCTAAACCAGTAGAGTGCTTTTTCGTTAGAATTTGAGAATTAGAAGAGCACTGAGAAGCGGTAACAATTTCATATTTATGTACTCTTATTTGCTTATATAATCTACAATCATAATTTCATAATAAACATGTGCACCATCGACACAATTTATTATATATAATTGCAATTAGCTTGGAGTATTAATTTATGCATGCACCAATAGATCATGTCTGCAGGCAATAGAATATGCTGTCCTCTAGTAAATTACGGAAATAGAAACAGCAGGCTTGAGTTGTCAATATTAAGAATTACAGATGCGGTATTCTTGGAAAATGAACAACCTTTTGTATTCATATAATAATTAACTGGAAGATTAAGATGCAACTCTGTTATAGGGAGCCTGAAAAAATGGCAAATGACCTAAGCTAATTTAGCTGTGGAGACCAGTATTGGGAGTCATTTCTAATGAGATTTTGGATTTTTTGTGCAAAGCTGCAGATTGACCTCAGTCGGTGAATATTCATTACTTCATCTGTAATCTTTCTTCTTTGGGTTTCTTCCTTCTATTATATATGTAAAGTTCATATTCTTCAGTCATTGATAAACAGTTTGAATATAGGGAAAAGAAGTAGTAATATAAAATGTATGGATCTAGCCTTAGTTTAAAAGTAAAAAGAGAAGAAACAGAGGGAAAAGAGGTATTAACATAAAAGAGTGAGTTTTACCTTAAAAGCTTAGATTTTCTTAAAAAAAAAAAAAAAATACTATCTTAAAGATCTTGAAAAAGGGAATAACATATTATATTTTGGTGAGGAGGAGATGAGATTTCAGTGGTGTTTTAGGCTTTAGAATTTTCGACCATTAGGGTTCTTAGGTGTTAGTAAGATGAGTTGAGGAAGAAGAAGAAGTAAGGAAGAAGGAGATGAGAGGAGGGTGATGTGGGATGTCATAGGAGATGATTTTGTGTGGTTGGTGCACATTTTGCATTAAAATTCTAGTGGTTGATGAGATTGCAATAGGATAGAATAGATGTTTGGAGATTTTATTTAGATAAGATGCTTGTGACATTGTAGGAAAAATGAGAGATAAGATGAGTTTGATTTGTCTTATAGTGACTTGAAAAGTAGTTTGTATTTAGCTCATGTGTTTTACATGTTTTGTTCTTTGTGTTTGCATGTATGGTATAGGTCAAAACCTATTTGCAATTTGTTTTCTCTTGTAAACTTAAAAGCTAGAATCACACACACATGCATGGCAGATTAATTAAGTGACATTATTATTACACTGTGTTTTCAAAACACAGTCTCATAATACTGTAAATTATTAAAACACCCTTATGACACTATAATTTATCAGAATCACTGTAATTCATCCAGAATCATAATTAAATCATACTAATACATAATTAGACTATAAAAATGATTTTATGCATGCTAATGACATGGTATAAAAATGTGGACGTGACAGTTCTTTCTAAAAAAAGTTTGTGTTAACAAGGGATGATTATTTTTTTGTGGTTGAATGAATTTCAAGCACTTTAGCTGGCTTGGCTGGCTGTTGCTATAAATATGGTAGCATGAGGTACAGGTACATCGCACCAAGTACACCAAGTCTTCTTCCATAGCCTTCTCTCAGTACTTAATTACCTAACTCAAACTGCTCCTCTATCTATGGCTTTCAATATGGTTGATGCTAATGCTCTTAAATCTAACAGCCTCAAAGTCATATCGGAGGCTAGCAGGTTGAAAGGCCAACAAGTTGTTCAAATTCAAAAGGCTGCCCTCTATAGTCTTATAAAGTCTATTTCTGATAAGCAAGAAGAAGCTGAACCCTTTTATCTTATTGATTTAGGGGTTGTTATAAGACTAATGGATAAATGGAATCAATCTCTGCCAAATGTAAAACCTTTTTATGCCGTTAAATGCAATACTGAGCCTGCATTACTTCTATCACTTGCAACACTCGGTGCAAACTTTGACTGTGCAAGTCAAGCTGAGATTGAAACCATGTTAAAATCCCTAGTAGCTTTAAATCCTTAATTTCTTTTCGTCAAATATTGTTGCTTAATTTCTTTTTGTTCTCTTTTATTTATTTAATTTAATTTTTTTAAAATAATCCCCTTTATTGCCGTTAAAATAATAATAGGTTAACATAATTTTGGTACTTGGTATGGCAAGTCTGTGCAAGTCAAGCTGAGATTGAAACCATACTTGGCCTCGGTGTTAATCCTGACAGGATTGTGTATGCCAATCCATGCAAGTCTGTGTCCCATATAAAATATGCAGCTAGGGTTGGAGTCAACCTGACAACCTTTGATTCCAAGCAAGAAGTTGATAAGATAAAAAAATGGCATCCAAAATGTGAACTACTGCTTAGACTTAAAGTTCCAAGCGAAAATTCATCCTGGCGTCCATTTGGTAACAAATACGGTGCATTAACTGAGGAGGTGGCTTCTCTACTCCAACATGCAAACCAGGCTGGTCTTAAAGTTGTTGGAGTGTCATTCCATGTGGGTTCTATAGCATCAGACCCACAAGTGTATCACAGCGCAATTGCTACAGCAAGATTTGCATTTGATACTGCCATTAAGCTCGAAATGCCTGCAATGCATATTCTTAACATTGGTGGCGGGTTTAGGGCGAACCCATTATTTGATGAGATTGGTAAAACTGTAAACGACTCAGTTCAAGAATTTTTTCCAGATGAACTGACATCGCTGACAATGATAGCAGAGCCAGGCAGATATTTTGTAGAAACTGCATTCATTCTGGTGACTAATGTTATTGGGAAGCGAGTGAGAGGTGAGCAAATTGATTATTGGATTGACGATGGGGTTCACGGATCATTTAACCTTGGAGCGTATGACCGTGCTTCTTTGTCGTATAAGGTTTTCCCGCAAAATGAAGATGACTTAGCAGGTCTAATTACTTCCTCGACAATTTTTGGACTGACCTGTGATTCATTAGACGTTGTGGTAAGTGGGTGCAAGCTACCAGAGCTACAAGTCAATGATTTGATCGTGTTCTATAACATGGGTGCCTACACAACAGCTCCTGCAAGCAAGTTTAATGGGTTTAACAGGTTTGATTTGCCCACCTATCTTGTATTTACAAGTGCAGATTGAAGCGTGGACATATCAGATAATTAACCTTTGTATTTTATCTTCCCTTTCTTCTCTTGTCTTTCCTATCTTCCAATCACTCCAGCAAGACAACAATTTTACACTCAATAATATTATTATTTTCTTACTAGAATTGGACATTAGCTATTACAGAAACTAGAATATCTATTTGAAAGTTATCATAGTACAATAAAGTAAACTTTAACCTGCATTATAGTTAATGGATGTAATTGTAATGCCAACATGCTATTTATTAATGAATCTATTTTATATTGTAATGCATTAGATGTCACATTGTGGAAAATATGTTACAATTTCCTGAATTTCTTTTTCCATAGTTTTTACACTCTGTAATCATAAATATCCTGAACTTCACTCAATAATTCACATTGTAAATTGTTGCCAAGGTTGTCTTTTTTTTTACTCTAATCATCTAGTATCTGAAATTAACTTGCTCGATTAATCTGAATTCGCACCGGATAGACCAAAAAGGGACTCTTAGTCGAGAAGTAAAAAGGTTATCTTCTCGGTAATGTGCACCACCCAGACATAATAAACATGGCACCACCGACACAATTCAACATATATAATTGCAATCAGTTCATTTTGTTTTGTATACTGGTCTTTTTCAACATGTGTTTCGCGTATTTGTAGTTCTTGATTTTACACGTAATTTGTTTACTCTTTTTTTATTATATAATAATATTATTTTTTTAATTTAATTTTAAATATCTTAAAAAAAAAAAGAGAAAAAAATTCTTAAAACTTGATTTTTCAACCTATTGAAGTGTGCAAGTGCCTGTCAGAGTTTGATCTACATGTCGCTATATAGTGCAGATAAGAACAATAGAACAAATGCAAGAACAATAAAGTAAGGTCAAATATGTAAAATTGTATAATATATGAGCTAAAATAGGTAATTTAAACCAAAATCACTGTTATATTAACAGTGTTTTTGGTTTTAGTTTTAATACATATATATATGAGTTGCATGTATTTTATCCTAATGCAGTGAAGGACTTTTTTTTTTTTTTTTTTTTTTTTTTTTTTTTTTTTTTTTTGCTTTTTTATTTTTTTTTTTGAATTTAATGTTTTTTTTTTTTTTTTTTGAATTTAATGTATTAGGATTTTATTAATAACTTCAAAAAGCCATACAAATAACAAAGAGAGGATATGACATCTCTTATAACTAAAATAGCACAAACCATAAGATATTTTATTTGAAAATTGAAAGATGAATTTGAAAAAAATTGATAGAACTTCAAAGTGAGTGGCTATACAAATTATTTGAATTTTTTGTACATAATCTCGTTACACGTAAACTAGTTGGTTATGACAGATATAAAGAATTTGAACAATTAAATCTAATGAAAGAATAGATTGTACTATCGGACTCTAAAATATAGAGATCATTTATTTAATAAATTATCCACATATTGCACGTCTGTCTAAATAAAAACAAACTAAATGAAAAAAAGAATCGAAATAAATACTCTACATAAATAGAAATATCACAAACTCCAACAAGATGGGGAGAAAACACTACAAAACAATGAAAATGTGAAAAACAAGAAAAAAAGAGAGAGGGGTTGTCGTAAGAGACAAGGACTGGCCCTTCCACCATAACCACATAGTTGATTCTTGTGTTTTAATGAAAAAAACAGGGAAAAAAAATTAATGAAGAACAAGAAAAGAGAGAGAGAGAGAGAGAGAAAACCTCCAATTTTTTTTTTTTTTTTTTTTTTTTTTTTTTTTTTTTTTTGTGTTTTTTTTTTTTTGGGTTTTTTAGTAACCGTTTTTTTTTTTTTTTTTTTTTTTTTTTGGTTTTTTAGTAACCGTTCCAACCAATAGATGTTTGCTAGTTAATGTAGTGGAGGACTTGAGTCACCCAACATAGCTTGGCACTACATTATTACCTAATTGGCCAATTGGCTAAGAGAACAAGATCCACCGCCCCTAAAGACAGATTACTCAAAGGCCATTAAGGGTTTAAGCAAATTAATTATATAAATTATCTCAAATTATTACATTTGTCAATATACAAGACTTGAGGTGCACACCGCGATATAGCCTAATGCTAAAATGCATATACGACTTGACAATAGATTTATGTTCAAATCTCCTCCTTAATTCAAAGGTTGTGCATTTAATAACCTTTTACGAGATATAAGAAACTGTGAGCAACACAACAAACGGTTCTTTAATATAATGATTAAAGCAACAACATTTGAATTGCAAGTTCAATCATTTAGAATTCATTTGAGATAAAAAATCGCATTTTCAAAGAATAGGCTATTTATTACTTTTCCAAATTTTTTGATAGTAAATTCATTTGAATTAATAATTGATTGACTTTATAATTTTACGTTTGTATATACATGTTTTTCATTATATGGTACTCGTTGTTCTCACTTGTATTTTAATTATTGTATATCTATAAACTTCTTGTTAATTCATTATTTTCCTAAATTAGTCTTGAATTATATGGACCGGTTTGAGCTAAGCTATAGCTACGATTCCTAAAATTACTATTCGAGATTGGATTTGGTCGAATAGTTAATCAAATGTGAAATTAACAATCAAATTCATACTTCTTATAATATTTTCCTTAATTTAGTATATAATCTATAAGATTTAGCGAAATTAAGATTGGAACCATTGCTAGCAGTAGCTGAGGTGTGTCGGTGTAAAGCCAAAATAAATCTAAACTGATATATTGTAATGAAATCATTAATTAATATTATGAATATTTTATCACATTCTTAGCAAAATTTTGTTTTATAGATTATTTTGTATATTCAATATTGCAAATAATTAAATCCATAAGCTAACTTGGTATATTCAATTATTTATTTTCTTGAAAATTTGAATGTTGGAGAAGGTAATAACTATTTTCTAAAGTAAAATATAAAAATAAATATATAACAAAATGCAATATTTATCTTACAATCAGCCAAAATATAAAAATTCATTCTTGTGATTAACACTCTAATACTCATTCTTTTTGTGAGTATCATCACATTGAACATAGTTTGATCTTCCATATCATTGTCATCTTCTACAAAATTATTAAAAAAAATAATTAAATAGCATATGCAGTTATATACAAAACAATTATTAGGCTTCATAGCAAAACCAAAAATTATTGATAGAAAAATAAATATTTTCTTAATAGCCAAAAGCAATTAAAACTATCTTAATAGCCAAAAGCAATTAAAACTATAGATATATGATATATATTATATATATATATATATAATAGTAGATATATTATATTAGTATATATTATATATATTATATATATTATATATTTATACTCATATATACTCACACGTATAGTGATATGATAAGACGAAACTTTTCCACGATAGAATTCTAACAGCTCAATGCATGAATTTGACCATGTATTTTCAGCGATTATCCTTGTGGCCCTCGAACTATACGAGGAATTCATGTGACCCTGCACTTTCGAATTTTAATAATCATTATATCCCTTGCTAAAATAAAATGCAGTAGCGTAACGTCATGATTGAACCCTACAAAGATATTTCATTTTGTTTAATGACATAATTATTATTGAAATGTCAAAATAAATGATCATGATTAAATCCTCGTTAAATTCAATGAGTCACGAGGATAATTAGCCAAAGTTCAGCTTCAAATTTATTTATTTGGGCGGATTCTAATTCCTAATTACTAAGAAACTTTAGTAATAAAATAATATGATCAATGCAAATTGTAAATAGTATTTGTCTAACCACTTGTTTTAGCTTATAATTTACTTTTGACTTCTTATCCATAGAATCTAATGGGCTTTGTGATTTGCAACTTGGTACTAAGTTTAGGTTAGAACAAAGTCATAAATAGCTGGATATTTAATTATTATTATTATTATTATTATAAAGGCTATTTGAATTGTAGGATTTAGGGTAAAATCATTTTAATTATACAATTAAGATAATTTTAGGAAATTATTAGGTGTAAAATTATGTTTTTAAAATTTTAACTAATCAAGAAAAATATATACTACGTGTTAAATGTGACATAGTATTTAAAAGATTTTTAGTAATATAAGTATTTTATCATAAACTAAATACTACTTCTGTTCCATAATACTTGTCACATTTGAAAATTCACGTCTTTAAAAAAATCATAAAATTTATCGAAATTATAATAAATTATTGAGTATTTACTATATTACCCGTAAATTAATAATAATTCTCTAAAAACACCATTAAATTGAAATAATAATTATTGGTCATATACAAAGAGTAAATATGAAAAAAGAATTATTGCTCCTTGAAATCATAAATATGAAAAATATTTTAGAACAAACTATTTTTTCAGATATTACAAGTATTATAGAACAAAGAAGGTACTAAATTTTTTTTTTTAATATAAATATTAGGATAAAAACCAATATGGGCTTATTCTCTAAAAAAAACAAAATATGGGCTTCCTTTCCGATGTGCCCAAAGAAAAGGATTTTGGGCCGAAACAGATCACGTGAGATCCAAAAACTGAACAGTAATAAAAATATAGAGAGACCGTCTAAATACAGATCACATGAGCTAAGCTAATTTAGCTGTAGAGGCCAGTATTGGGAGTCATTTCTAATGAGATTTTGGATTTTTTGTGCAGAGCGGCAGATTGACCTCAGTCGGTCAATATTCATTACTTCATCTGTAATCTTTCTTTTTTGGGTTTCTTCCCTCTATTATATATAATATGTTCATATTTTTCGATGGTTGATAAATAATTTGAATATAGAGAAAAGAAGTAGTAATATAAAATATATGGATATAGCCTTAATTTAAAAGTAAAAAGAGAAAAAATAAAGGGAAAAGAAGAGTAATTTTTACTTTGAAAGCTTAGATTTTCTTGAAAAAAAAAAAATTATCTTAAAGATTTTAAAAAGCGGAATAACATATTATATTTTGGTGAGGAGGAGATGAGATTTCAGTGGTGTTTTAGGCTTTAGAATTTTCGACCATTAGGATTCTTAGGTGTTAGTACGATGAGTTGAGGAAGAAGAAGAAGTAAGGAAGAAGGAGATGAGAGGAGGGTGATGTGGAATTTTTAGGAGATGCTATTGTGTGGTAAGGTGCACCTTTTGCATTAAAATTCTAGTGGTTGATAGAATAGGTGTTTGAAGATTTTATTTAGACAAGATGCTTATCTGACATTGTAGAAAAAATGACACATAATATGAGTTTGATTTGTCTTACACTGACCTGAAAAGTAGTTTGATTTGTCTTTACGTTTTGTTTGTTGTGTTTGAATGT